TGAAAGAGGCATTCACGTCGTGAATTCGTAATTTCCTTTGATCGTCTTGTTATTTTCTTGTGTATCCTTCTCGATCAATTTGCTATTTAGGAATTTTGGGGATTTCTGTTCGTTTTCACAATCATCGCATTTCACTGATAATGAGGATTTTAATGAATGGCGGTTACGTCCATTATCCAGGCTGTTTTGATTGCTTACTCGGACACTCGCACCGGCCGGCGGCCGTTCCACGACCGGCTGGTCCGTCGCCGACATTTCGCCAGCCGGTCGCCAGCCGGTATTACTCGAACGGCCGCTAGCCGGTATTCGTCAGTGGCGCAAGGCGGCACTGGGCCACAGTATTTCCTTCTCTGAATACTTGCTTTCATTCAGCGCCGTAATGCTAATACAGGGTGCGAATCTACATCAACATATTTATTATCATCACCAGTGCGTCACCTCCGCTTCGCGGAGGTTCGCACTGGCTCTCCTTCCGTATACCTTTCTCATATTCGAATGATGATGACTTTCAAACTCACCACGCGACGCTGAACATCACAAATGAATCGTAAGCAACTCATTTTCGAAGCATCTTCATGTAAGATCGGTAATTTTGAGAAAGAATACCTTTTTGCCGAGGAACTTATGCGAATTTGAATAGTTTACTGAATTCGTTTTGGCTTGGTAGTCGTTATAAGGATAATAGCCACTTTAAGCTACATTTACGTGCAAAAATCCTTTCAAATTGCAAATCAAAACCTTGCCAAATCGACTATATAAGCGATCACCACTTTTTAACGCCGCTTTTGGGCTAGAATTCATGGCACGCAGATTTACGTGTCAGGCAAATCATGACTTTGCAAAAAGTCGAATGAGCGACCTAGTTTCGCCTGCCAAAAGCCGCGTGGACCCGTTTGACGCGCTAAATGGATCCGTTCATCGAACCGACTCGTCCTTGTGCATAGTCATAGTGGACCTACATGCTGGTGGGGTATGTTTTGCAAAATTGAAGCTCGATAGCTTGGCTGCAGCTTCCTTCATGAATTTCGTGACAGACAGACATACAGACACACGCACAAAAAGATAGACGCTAAGCGCTTTATTATAATCACCAGTGCGTCACCTCCGCTTCGCGGAGGTTCGCACTGGCTCCCGTATGCCTTCTTCATGTTCGCATAATGATGACTTTGAAACTCACCACGTGATGCTGAACATCACAAATGAATCGTAAACAACTGTTCATTTTTGAAGCATCTCCATGTAAGATCGGTAATTTTGAGAAAAGAAACTTGCCGAGGGAAAAATGAGAATTTGAATGGATTACTGATTTTGTTTCGGCTTGGTAGTTGTTATAAGGATAATAGTCACTTTTAGCTACATTTCCGTGCAAAAATCCTTTCAAAATTCGAGGTAAAACCTTGCTAAATCGACTATATAGCAATTACCAATTTTTGGCGCTGTTTTCGCAGAAAAACAGACTTTTTGAATACCTTTTGGGCTAGAATTCATGGCACGCAGATTTACGTGTCAGGCAAATCATGACTTTGCAAGAAGTCGAATTAGCGACCTAGGCCTGCCAAAAGCCGCGTGGACCCGTTTGACGCGCTAATTTTTATGGATCCGTTCATCGAACCGACTCGTCCTTGTGCATAGTCATAGTGGACCTACATGCTGGTGGGGTATGTTTTGCAAAATTGTAGCTCGATAGCTTGGCTGCAGCTCCCTTGATGAATTTCGTGACAGACAGACATACAGACACACGCACAAAAAGATAGACGCTTAGCGCTTTATTATAAGTCATGATCATAATGCAATGCGAAGAAGACTTGACAAAAAAGAATGTCGCACAGAGATGAAAGATTCTTTGAAGCTGCAAAGCTAGTAACTTGTTATTTATACGGAAGATCATTGACGCAGCAGGTTCACATCGTTGAGCAACCGTTCCGAATGCACCGGTATTGACAGAATGTTCTATTTTTGTATTTCTGAATGCCGCCTTACCAGACGCAAGCAATAATACGTTGCATTCTATAACCTGTAAATGAAGCAAACTATTGACAATTTATTAACTGACACCAGAACTTACATGTTATGCAGAGTGGCGACAATGTCTATCAGCAGAGTACCAAAAACATAAGCATCTACGGACGGTTAGAATAGGTGATTGTATCAGTCTTTAAAAAACTGCAACGCTATTTTTGAATGATGTTAAAAAAAACTTACATCTTTAGAGTGCACCCAGCAGCCGTGACCATCAGATTAGCAGTAATGCGGTAGGATGCAGATAGCCTTTTAAACCGTAAATGTTGTCAGCATAGTGGCAACTGCCAGATGAACGATATCCAGATGAATTTAGAATACTCAGCAAATCAGAAATAGTCTAGAAAATTAAAGAAATGGGAGTATTTATGGGAGCATCCATTAGGAGCAATACTCGATTTTACGAATAACAACTAACAGCAGTAAATTAATCAGAACGCTAACACCATACATATTGAACTTGTCCCCTGAAAAACATGATCATTCAATGTGTACTTCTTTAGTTCACACCCAAAAAGAATGCGACACATAGATTCGCTCCTCAGCAAATGGGCATCTGATTTCACTCATGTTCTGTTTCTTCGCTATGCATCAAAAAGAGCAGGATAATAGAAAGAAAAAGCTACAGACATTACAGAGTTTCTTCATATGTGGAAAAGGGATCGTTCAGACCGTCTCGTCTCGTCTCGTTTATCTCGATACACACACACCCTCACACACGCCTTCGTGCGCCTTTGTGCGCCTTGGTGCGCGGTCTGAACGATCCCAAAGAGAGCGCAATCATAGTAAAGATGGGCACGTAAACATAAAGTAACCCTAATGGAAAACCACAACAGTAGTAAAGGAAATAACAACAGTATTAATAAAGGCGAATAAGTAAGACGAGCTTGCTACTTAGCAGGCTCAATCACGCGATATTCAAAATTAGTTTCTTATTGCATTCGCAGTCCCTTGTGCTTGTCGTGTTTTTGCACACTGGAACGGCAGCCGGTCGGCATGATTTACTCGCACAGTGGCCAGTCGACATTTAGCTTCGCCCAAAATAATGGAACGGCCGCCGGCCGGAAGGCCGTCGTCGAACGGTCGCCGGCCGGCGCGAGTGTCTGAGTATAGTGATCTTTAACCTTGGCAGATTTTGTGTAAAGCAGTTTTTGCATCGCAGCGCAGCCTGTAATTATAGTGCTGTCGTGCTGGAACTCCTGTACGAAGACGATTTGCTGGAGAAGAGCATATGAATGAGAAAACGAGAATTTGTTGAATATAGATTTGAGGGAAGTGTACAGATTGGCTAGAACGTATCGCACATCAGGGCTGCCTACCGAATACTATAATATCCTAGGCCGTGTTCGAGACACTGTCATATCACTGATGCCGCATCTACAATGCGAAATCGTATAGCATTCTTATGGCCAGTAAACCCGAAGATGCTTCATTGTATGCTGTGCGAAAATTGCTTCTCATCAAAAATGTGTTCAGTCGTTTGAGGATTTGAGAAGTTACAATGGAAAATTGTACAGCTCTTTTATGGAAGCGGCGAAGGCAGCAGGATACATTAAGTAGAGTTTGGAATGGAAGAATTGCTTACGGTGCGTTTCTGTACCGTAGAAATGCCATCAGCACTAAGAAGTTGCGCTTATTGTGCGGTATTACAAGCTCTGCAATCCACTTGAATTATGGCATAAGTTGAAGCGGATATTCTAAGCAGTGTAAGGAAGCGGTTGCAATAGAAGGCTTGAATTCATTGCGCCACAATGAGCATATATTGGCCTCAATGGCATGAAAATGAACTATTGTGGACTATACGGAATCGTCAACGATTTCAGCGATGATGTGCAAGTTCAGTCGGAGACTTTGGCGAAAGTGACAACGACAAGGCGTACTTCCATTAAGAAGCTGAGGTATGCTCAATAAAAAAGAGCGGCTAAACTAAAGAAAAACTGTGATAAAGGTATGTTTTATATCTATGGAAGTATTCTAAGGATGTAACTTTTATCTTGAACACGCTGATTCGCCAGCTCAAGCATATGGGTCTAGAGTTGCAACGGCTTCTACGGGCATAGCTGCAACTCTTCTCGAAAATGTAGTACACTACACTGCACTGCTCATAGTACCTTTTCTCTTCCTTTGCAATGTATACGCATTTCTGCCGACGTTGTAGCAAATGTGGATGTTTCTTCTGTCCAACGAATGTGTTACGTGATGTTGATTGATTATATGGGTTGAGATATCCATGCAAAGCCGATTCGTGATAGAAACTGTGGACAGGCTTCGTCATGATATAACTGCACCGGAAAATAGAATGAACTCGTTTGATGGTGTTGTGGTATGTGGAGGAGACTGGTGTCACTTTCTCTCTGTTCTGCATGGAGCTTCAAAACTGGACACAATCAACAAGACTTCGAGAGCGAGTTATTCAGGGAAGATTGTGCAAGTTTTTGTTTTTGGTGAGACTATGAGGCTTCGTCCTGGTCCTGGTGAGGAGGACTTTGGCAGAATTAAATAAACGATGCTGCATTTGTAACTCGCGACAAAGTCAACTCAATACCTGATAATGAATGCCTCCTAATACAAAAGAAGAAAGTCATGAAAAAAAAACTCGCAAATATTAAGTGTCATCTAACATTGATGCGCAAGGTAATAGTTTTTGCGTGTTAGGAGTCAATTCAGAAAGAGCAAAAGTGGTTTTCATCTGTTTTTTTTTGAAGCAGAAATTACTCTCCACATCGCCATAACCAGCGGAAAATTACAAACAATATACTCAATCTCAATTGGCAGGGCTTCAACTTCAAACTTGGCCTTACAAAAGCCAAGATTGGCTCGTTGTTCAAGTTACGTCACCATTTGGTAGTGAATTTGGGCCTCACAGGATGAACTGTATGTTTTGATCTATCCATTATCATTCTGTATCTGGAGAGGAGCGGTATAAAAGGGGATCTATAGCTTGAAAAAAGTCATTTTGTTCAAGTTGCAGTTTCGGGCTGATGGTCAGCCATTACTTTGGAGTGCTTTCAGTCACTGGGATCCAGCATTTGCAGAAATCCTATGTTGTCGTGGATACAGTAGCTGGGATCAAGCGAGAGGTGGCCCACAATTATAGGCGCCATGAGAAGAATCTTGTCCTTCTACCATACCATGAAGAACTGACGTGTGAATTGGACGCCCGCTTCGATCACATAAAGCACGGGATCGTTATAGCAGTTTTGGTGAACGAACAAAGACCAGCTCTAAGGAACTTCATATTTGCTTTAAAGATGTGAGTACTTCTATACCCGATAACGAACTAATAAAGATCAGTTTCAGGTACCTTTCCGTGTACGGATTTCATTTTACGAGAGAGGACCATCTTCAGATAATCGAATTGCTATATCTGATTCTAGTAAGAAAACACCAGTGGCATGATATTGTGACATACACTGCTAAGACTCTAGAAGACTTAGCAAAGTGAGATGTCTCAATTTGTCAGATGACTTCAAGCTTCATGATTTCATTCCAGTAAATGTTACTTTGGTTACAAGGACCTGACATTGGATTGGGAACCGTTATTTGATCTTTATTATGGGGCAAACTATGGAAAGCTTATGGAAGAAATCGAAGGAAAAAATCTAAAAAATGCGGTCTTCTTGTTGAAGAGATTCTATCGTCCCTCAGATACTCCAAAAATTTGGGACAGGGTGCGTTCAATTGATTATCGCTTTATTAAGGGCAATTTTGAGTGTGTACGACTGCAATCTGACTGTACGGCCACAAAATGAAAAGCGAAGTTGAGCTATCTGATTTTACTTGCAATTCATTTGAGCAAAGTCTTTTCTGTAGAGCGGTGGATTGCATGGTCTGAGCAGATGTATTCGTCTGCTGTGAACAGATTAAACTTGTCCAATATGACTGGCAGAAACAAAAATTAATGATTGATGAATTTCGTCTTACGCATATCGGCGCCAATTTCATCTCAAAGAGCAAAGAACAAGAGCGACCATTGATTTTCATGCAGTTCTGATAGTGCGTAATTGCGTAAAGGTAGCAGAATTGGCCAGGAGAGATCCTTTGCGTGGCTGTATAACGTGGCGGTGATCTGTCAACATGGATGGGCTATCATCTGGTAATGGTATTTTCCTGCTTTATTTCGGGGAATTTTTTTCAAAGTTCAAGTTTACAGTCGACATTATTGCACACATAGAATCTCACTCAAATTCGCGGATGACGGTAAGATTGATGTCATGTTGCTTGGACGTCATTTGCATCACCAAATACGCGATAATCGCCGCGATGTCTGCCGTGGAGACTGTTCTTTGACTTCAACGCCAAGACAGTCTCTAAAAACGCTCCTCCTTCATAAACGCTGCAAGGCACAACGAATACCAGTACTCAGACATCGGGTTGAGTTTTGCAAGAGTCCGCTCACAAAATGAAAATTGCGGAAAAAGCCACGGCCCGAAACTCGTTTTTTTACCGAATTCAGGGCCGTGTGTATATAACGCGATCTCAACATCCCGGCTCTAATGATGGGACAAAATCGTTTCTAGCAAGACTACCTTCTTTTCGCGAATTTCATTTTATTAGTGGACCCTTGCGGAAATTAACCACAAATGTCTGAGTATCGTTTTGCAGGAGAGGATTTCAGGAACAAGGGCGCGGTGATGAGACTCTTGATGATTTGAAGGTTCCCCCCTGTCGGAGGTCTGGGCTTTCTAATCAACCCTATCGCTTATTTTGTAAATCTGTATGAGACTCTACCACCTCGACTGAGCATGAGACCACGATTCCCACATCTGCGCGCTCCACGTCAGAGACCTTCACCATTATAACTGCGGCTCTTCAACATCAGCAGCAGACAAATTAGAAGTGTATGCTATTTACGAAGATCTGGAGGAAAATGTCCGCAATTAGAAGTCTTCCCACAAAATTGTCTTGATTTCGACTAGAATAGAATGCCATTAGAAAAGTATGTAGATAGGATCCGAAGAGAAATTGCCCTATGAAACGACACGCAGAAGGCTTCTTACAAAGGTGAAGCCAGTGGCTCCAATCACCGCAAATGTATGACACTCCCGAGCTGATAAGGAAGCTCTGCCTTAGCTTTGCAAAAAATAAAGTCGGCTATGGAGGTGGCAAACTGGAGGAACCCTACCTTGAAAAGGTTGGCTTTTCGATGAAGACCCAACGTACGACTACGACCGGCTTCTGAGACGATTGCGAATCTGTGGATTGCCCTAACAAAGTGAGAAGAAACCTGGAGCGAGTTCCGGAAAACCACTAGAAATTGGCTCGAGAGAGGAGCCTTGAGGCAGAATATGAATGTAACTCATCTTGATCAACTGACAGCGAAAGCTATTCAAAGTAGCTTTGCTCTGCATCGAAAATGCAGGTGAGCTGAGATGTCGGAATTATTTGAAAGAAGGCGAACTCTTAGGAATTCCGAACGAATTTCTGTCAGAGTATCGCTTGAAACCTGAGACTGGCGGGCCGCCTCAACGTGACGTGTTTATGACAGTGGGTGTCGAACTACGGGTAGACAGCCGAGCGTATACTCTGGTAGGATGCCGGGTGGTAGCAAGAACGATGTCAGGGTCCTTGGGGCGGCTTTTGGATCAGATAAATACGACACGTTTGCCCGGACGACACGTTAGAGACTGCTTCATGGTCTATACCTACAACGCCAGGACATTCTCCACAAACACCGACCTTCATGCTCTTCCCGACGGCTGCAGAACACACCAAGCACCACTCATCGCTCTGCAGGAAACGAAGCCCAGAAAGAAGCGTGCGACAGATGAGTGATGGGACCCTCATCTTTCGTGGTGAAAAGGTTCCATCATGAAACGTTGGAGTCGCTGGCTTTGTCGTTCACCCATCTATCATCCATCTTGTCGATTCGCATGAGATCCTGTCACCTCGACTAGCCATCCTTCCTCCTACTAAGACTTCCACGTCAGAATACCATCAGCATCATCAAGTGCTACTCTCCAACATAAGCAGCTGACGACTCAAAACAAGATGCTCTACGAAGACGTGGTATCCGCAACGATAAGTCCTTCTACAAGTTTGTTGTGGGCGACTTCAATGCGACAATTGGGACGCCACTAGAGAAGAAATACAGGATCGGGAAGTTTAATATGGACCCGGAATGCAAGGTTTTGTTGTTCTCCCAGCCGCACAACTTTTCCATGGAAACTCCATCTTCATGAAGAAAGAACATCGCCGGTGGACTTAAGAATCACCCAACGGAACGACTCGTGCTGAGATCGACCACATTCTCACCAACCGAAGGTGGAGCTTGCTCGATGACTCAGTAATTCCATCCTTCTGCAGTGGCTCCGATCACCGCCTACTTCGAGCGCAGATACGACTCAGCCGAAGTCTGGAAAAGAATATCTGTCACGGTGCCGCGAGAAGGAAGGAAGTCGTTTATGACGGTAACAGGCTGGAGGAGCTCATATCAAGTTGTGACTGGCCCATCGAGGATGACCCATCGTACGACTACGACCGGCTTCTGAAAGGATTGCGAGCTTGCGGAGAGTGCGCCTCAGTGAGTTCCGAGAAGAACGTGGAACGCGTTTCGAAGACCACCAAGGAAATGCTCGAAAAAAGAAGATTTCTGAGGCAAAATCCGAATGCAATCCATCTCGAGCGACTGATAGCCAACGCCAGTTGCAACACAGCTTTGCAGGAGGATCTCAGGAAGTACAGGCAAGCCAAGATACTGGAAGCAGCCGAAAAAAGACGAAGTCTCAAGAAATCCCGAAGGGACCTCTGCAAATACCACGTACCGCTGGCTGCACTATTAAACGAAGACCGGTTTCCGACTTCTTCCCGTTACAAGATGGAATCTATCGCGAAGAACTTTATACCAACCTCTTCCGCTCATCAACATCCGTGCCGATGCCTGTTGTTCCCACTGGAGAAGTACTATCACGACACCTGCTGAAGTGCACACCGCGATACAGACCATGAAGACGTCCACGGCTCCAGGATCAGATCATCTTTCCGTTGAATTTATGCGAGCTCGAGGACAACGTTTACACGAGGTTTTCGCATCGTACCTGATATCTTACCACCAGAAAGAAAGGATTCTCGACCAGTGAAGAAGGAAGAACCGTCCTCCACAGAAGGGTGAACGGGAGGATCTTCGGAACTACCGTCCAATATGCCTGTTACCTTCTGAGTGGGTTGTACAAGGTTTTCACGAAAATCATCCTCGCTCGCAAATATAGACGCTGGATTAAGCCCAACTGCAAGAACAAGCATGATTTCGCAAAGAATTCAGCTGCTTGGACCACGTCCAGACGTTTCGAGGGTCGTAGAAGTCTGCCAAAAGTAGCGACTGCCTCTCGTCCTAAGGCCCCGGACAGACCGCGATTTGATCGTCGGACTCAATCGCCGACATTTCCATTCATTTTCATTTCACATTCAAAATTTCGGGCTGGAAAAGTACCACAGCCGAAATGCAAGTTGATCGGCATGGAATGCTGTTGTAACAGTTGTCTGTCGCGATTCAGTCGCGACGATCAAATCGCGTGAAGTCTGTCCGGGGCCTAAGGGAGCCATAGGTTGCCGGCAACGGTTGTCGGTGTTGTCGGGGTTGTCGGAGTTGCTGGAGTCAGAGACAGTTTAGAGAGCGCGCGAAACGTGGAGGCTATCATGAGGTCCTACAACGACCAGCAACCTCGGCAATCGCGATTACATCGACAACCCCGACAACACCGATAACCTCGACAACACCGACGACCGTTGCCGGCAACCTATGGCCGTTCCCTAGCCTTCGTCCACTATGAAGAAGCCTTTGACAGCGTCGAAACCAGTGCCATCCTGTCAGGACTAGTTGAACCGAGAGTGGACCCAGCTTATGTGAGGACGTTAGCCACTGCTACAAGGACTGTACAACGACAATGCAGCCATTCCGTCGCCCCTGACCATCCCGATTGGGAAGGAGTCCGACAGAGCGACACAATCTCGCCGAAGCTGTTCACCGCAGCCTTGCAGTGGGTGATGAAGTCACTGGACTGGGACGAGAGAGGCATACGAGTTGATGGGAGATTCCTGTCCAAGCTTCGTTTTGCGGACGACATCGTTCTCTTCTTGAGCAGTATCACTGAAGCAGAGACGATGCGGAAGGAACTAAACGAAGCAGGGAATCGGATTGCGAGTAAATCGGAAGATGACTCGGTTCATGAAGAACGTCTTTTGCGACGATACAGGGAATTGGAAGTTACCCCCATTATGGTGACGTCTTCTTACGTGTATCGCGGACGTTCGATGAACATGGAGGACGAATTGAGGGAAGAACCTAACAAGAGAAGAAGAGCAGTTTGGGCCGCCTTCGGGCTTCTGAAGGAAGCCACCGACCAACTGACGGACCCGGAGCTTCGTGCTTTCTGTTCGACTTAACCGTGCTCCCGCCGCTGTGGTACACAGCTGAGACTTAGGCTGACACTGTAGCTCCGTCGAAAGCTTCAAGGACCACCCACAGTGACAGCGGAATACATTGCGAAAGCGCAACACAGATGGGCCGGTCACATCATGGGAAGAACAGACGACAGATGGACACTAAAAACAACGCAGTGGATTCCTTGCATAGCAGAACGTCCCGAGAAAGACTTCCAGCGAGTTGGGCAGACGTGTTCGTGGAAAAAGTGGACCAGCTGAGAAATCAACTGTATACGATCGCATTTGGAACTCGTGGACGCAGCCACCCGACAATTCGAAGCGAGGGACAGGGAAAGTGGAAACTTCTGCTGGGGCCTGCACGTCACGTGAAGGCGGGCTAAAAATCTATTGGTAAGTAAGCTATTATGTCACTTGGAAATTGCTGAGTTGGCCAAAAGTAAGCGCTCTTAAAGGCACTGTCCGGGCAGAAATTCGATTTTGAGATGTTTTGCTAATCCGGACATATTCGCTATGCTGAATCCGAAAATCCACACTGGAGAGCGCGAAAACGGCGAAAATGGGCTTCAACGCAGGAAGGATAGCAGGTGGGCGAGGTCTTCCTCCCTGCGCCGCACTGTGCTGAAACTGTTCCGGAACTGTGCTGCATGTGCTGCATCGCCCCGCACGCAGCTTTTCTCAACCCCAGGAGAAGAGGGGAAGAAGAGAGAACGGAGAAGCAACATATGGAAAAATTAAAGGGACTGAGAATGCTCAAAAAGCAACTCATCAGAAAACAGAGCAAAGTTCCCATTTCCGCATTTTCAGAATGTTCGCATGTTTTAATTCGAGGCAGATGCCTGCGGAAACCACACAGTTTCTTCTTGAAACAAATGGAATAGGTTTGTGCTAAAGAAAACGAAGCGAGAATGGACGAGCAAGAACAGACACTTCGTCGGATAGCAGAGCAGAAAAGCACTCATTCTTCAACTCCGCGTCGAGAAAGTTCTATGATTGAAAGGGGAAGCGGGGTAGAGGAAGAGGGCCAAAACGAGAGGAATCTGGAAGAAAAACCGTTAAAAACTGTCAAACGTCTTCAATTCCCACCGTTCAAAATGCGTGCGGGGCGATGCAGCGCATGCAGCAAAGTTCCGAAACAGTTCCAGCACAGTGCGGGAACTGTGCGGAGCAGTTCCGGTACATAAAAATCAGCATGAATTCAGCCTTAGCGAAATCGATAAGATCGCTTCAGAGACTGGGAGTGTGAATTCGCAGGGGGAAGACTTCGCCCACCTGCTGATTTCCCTCCTGCGTTAGAGCCCTTTTTGCTGTTTTCGCGCTCTCCAGTGTGGATTTTCGGACTCAGCGAGGATAGTAAGATAATAGATAGGTTGATTCAGCAAATTTCAAACAAATTTAAAACAATTTCATGCTGTTTTCGCGCTCTCCAGTGTGGATTTTCGGACTCAGCGAGGATAGTAAGATAATAGATAGGTTGATTCAGCAAATTTCAAACAAATTTAAAACAATTTCAAACAGCAAATTTGGCCTAAAACCGTCTCCGGCGTCGAAGACATCATATGCAAAGTTTCAGCTCAATCAATTGAGCGGCGCGCGTTTTTATAACGCACATACCCTCCAAACGGACAATTTTAGAGCTTTGTATACAGGGCGTCCCAAAAGTATGTATACACAGTTTGATCTTAATATCTCCTTTCCCAAGAAGTCCTTTGCCCACCTTCAGTTACCATTTGGTAGAGCTGGCTTCAACTTGTATCACAGTATGGAGCGAATCACTGATCGCTCTTCACTACTGTAGGATTACGGTAGGAATTTGAAGTGTGTTTAAGTTTTAAGTTTGAGTTTTTAAGTTTTTAAGTTAAAGTTTTAAAGTTTTGTTTGCGCATTAAGCATGTTACAAAAAAGTTTCCAAAAAATCTAAAAAGTGGTGTACCGGGGTTTTACGCTCGCTGTCATTATTACTCAAGTTTTTACGGGTTTGCAAAGCTTTCCAAATGGTGCAAGCACAATTTTATGGAGCACTAGCTGGCTTACCCGGCTCCGCCGTATGTTCCGAATAGAAAATTCCATTTCTTAACCAGTTCGGACCAAACTTGGCACACATACACTTCGGGCCCCGGCGGGTGTCATAGGCTACTTTTCGTATCGATCGATATCGATTTTATCGATTTTTTGCAAAATTTGAGCTACGGGGCTGGGAGTTGGCACAGGGGGTAATCGAGCATGCTGATTACGAATACAATATTAGTTTTCGAAACCGTGCATTACTTTTATCGATTTTATCGATTTTTCTGCAAAATTTGAGCTAGGGGGCTGGAATTTGGCAGGGGGTGTAATCGAGCATGCTGATCATCCCCCCGTAGCTCAAATTTTGCAAAAAATCGATAAAATCGATATCGATCGATACGAAAAGTAGCCTATGACACCCGCCGGGGCCCGAAGTGTATGTGTGCCAAGTTTGGTCCCGATCGGTTCAGAAATGGAATTTCCTATTCGGGAACATACGTACACACAGACATACAGACAGACATACAGACAGACATACAGACAGACAGACAAACAGACATTCAGCTTTATATATAAGATTGTAAAAACAGATATTGCGGTTTACTCTATAAAGGAAGCATTGCGGTAAGGTGCAACCATCATATTTAGTTTTATCGGCTCGAACTAGCCTAGCATAAAAGTATTTGTGTTGTTTGTTTGCATTCTGAGGCAAAACAGGGTTCCTAATGACTCAAAGCTCCTGCCTGAAGTTTCTACCATAATCCTACAGTAACATAGAGCGATCAGTGATTCGCTTCATAGTGTAAATCTAACAATAAGCGGAAGTTAGCTCTACAAAATGGAAACTGAAGATGGGCAAAAGACTTCTTGGAAGAAGAGATGTCAACGATCAAACAGTGTATGCATACTTTTGGGACACCCTAGAGACCATTACATATAGAGACACACAGAGAAATTCACATGCTTGTTTCTTAGGAACCTGACAAAATTCTCGTCATATGGTACAGAGAATGTCACTCAACTTTTCTGAGTTAGTCTGCTCAATACTGCCGAATTTGCGCAAATTGGCGACAGATAGGCATAGCCCCCAAAATCCGGCAGTGTATAGTGCTTCTGTCAACCTGCGCCCGAGCTTTTAAGGCATATGAAAGAAAACTTGGGACGAATCAGGTTTTACAGATACAAGTATACTTGTCGCCTCGATACTCTACAAAGGAATTTTGTGATTTGTCCCTAATGTTCCTTCCGATCAGAATGACAACGCAGGTTGAATTTACTTTGGTGGTATGAGTCCGAACGACCGGCTTTTCAAGGAGCACAAGCAATTTGGCGCAGTATTATGGTTCGATACATTGTGGAAGATGTACGAAATGGTTGAAATGGGCAATAAGTGGGGCGAAGAGTTGCCAAATTTGTTTGCAACGTACTGAATCTTTTTTTGCTACGCCCATAGGTTAAAAAATATTCTTCAGCCTTGCTTACAATAACCCCGACTTTATGGATTGGTCACCATTGTACGATACTATCTTCACGCGTACCATCCGAACACTGGGACTCAGCGTACGAGAAGGAAAACTTACAGTGAGCTGTTTCGTAAATGCATATATTTTCTGATGCCACAAAAAACGACTTTAGACTGGCGAAACCGTTGGACCCTTGAGTATGGGTGGATTAGCTCGCATGGTGGTTGCTACACTGGGCGGTCCATATGGGTGAGTACGACAAGGGGGCAAAACAGTGAACATTCTTTTGAATAGTCATTTCAACTCATTTAGGTGTCAGAAGCATTTGGAGAGAATGATGCAGTTAATAGAACCATTTATGCACCCTTCAAACGAGAGCGGTCATACTCTTCTCGTCCTGGTATTTTTACAGAATGTGTTAACAGAAGTGGTCAACCGATATAGAGAAGAAAGAGTTAAGAAGCATAAACGAAAAGTTTGATTTTGTGTAGTAAAAAAAGCATTTGTTCTCAAGTAGATTGTTCGTTGCAGGTTCCAGAGAAGTTTTACCTGACAGATGAAGACATCGCAAAATTTACTGACGCTATATTGCAATCATTGCTCTATTCACTTTACACTAAGGATGGGAAAGCGAGCAAAGTCACCTTTCAAGAGTATATTTAGATGTGGCTCAAATAAAAGGCTGGATTTAGGCACCAGCCAGAATGGTTATGATACTAGGATCGTTGTGCCCGGGACGTGTTTTTCCAAAATTTTTTGAACAGTGAGCACTTAGTTTACAAAGAACTCTCTCGTCATTGAGCTTTTATAGTGCTTATCCTGCCATTTTTGCTGTTGATGAGCCTCATCGCCTGACGCAAACATTAGACTGCCTCTTTGAAGTCGTTTTCCTCATTGCCCACGATGACGACCCTAAGACCAAGCGGCTGCCGTATGAAAAGGATTGGATTGCAGAGATGGAAAAGGTTTGCCATTGAAGTTTTCAATGCAACTATTATCAAAATATTAGTTTAGGTTCGCTCGCCAGACTCGCCAATAGCTAAATACTCGATTAGTAAACTCACCCAAACCGCAAAATTCAAGATTAAAGATAGTTTAACGGGTTTTCGCTGCCATTTGTTCTACTTTTTGGAAATGCTGATTGAGGGGATTGACATCAATGATGTTGCAAAAGCTAACATTGTCATTCACGTCAGTTTCTCTCTTTTCTTCACATTCACCATAGTCGATCATATTCTACAGAATCTCATGCTCATCTTCTTCATAGTACCCATTCTTGATTACTCGGAATGCATCAAATATCACAATGACCTCACTGACGAGGAGAAAGCTTTATGTCTGCTGTCTGTACGACTACCTATACTTGCCGAGATGGCTCTCGACAAGTAAGTCAATCTTTTTTCTTTTGTCTACCCAACAAAGAATGGTCACTTAACCTAGCCGTTCAAACAAGCTGTATGCCATCGAACTCGATTGAAACGCTGATCTCAAATACACTTTCACACCTGACGAATGACTACTATCTCGAAGGAGTTATGAGCGCTAAAATGTGCATTTGTCAGTATTCTGAAGCGCATGTTCCACACGAAGAACGTTCCAAAAACACTTAATTAGTTTTTTGGTGAATGTGCTTTTTCCTTGTAATTAAAATACTCATAATTAATGCAGTTACGCGCCCTCAGGCTGCTTTTAACGAAACATATTCATTGATTTGATGATTTCTCAAATTACGCTCATAATTTCTTCCAGATAGTCGTTTGGCAGATAAAAAACGTATGCTTAAAATCAGCCTTTTAAGGCGAGTTCAATGATATTTGATATTTATTGCACTTAAGTGCACCATTCTAATCATAATGCATTGAGTGTAGACAACAAAAACACAAAAAATCCAGTAGAATAGAAAAAACGATATGTACCCTAAAATCCGTCATATAAGAGCGGACTTATCTGCAGTTTTGGCAGGAAAATCGATGGAAAAACGCCGCAAAGGGTGTCACAGATAAGTCCGCCTATATCGTCTCGCAGATACGTCCGTCTGTCCTGAGCATGAGCAAGCGCGACCTAGGAGCACAGACGCGCGCGACCGCTCGCGTGGCTTGCCAGTGTAGATTTAAACGAGGCCGCGATATCGCCTGAAAGAAAGAGCCCAAGGATTCGACAAGTCGTACAGTCTACTTGGTGGTCGTCGCGGATTCTTCATCGCGTACGCTGGATAGGTGAGTTCTTTTCCTATATATGACACCTGTATGAAATTGAGCGATTTCTGCCGATGAAAAGAATCATAATAGGTTTCATCATTGCATCATTGCAATCATCTCAACTTATCATTCATCTTATCGTTTTGGAGGCGACAATGTTTTCACTACATCTCTCGAACCCGTACAGGCTACACCCCTTGAACCTGACTCCTACACTTTTGCTTCCTCTATTGTTTTCATGTTCTGAATGTAGTCTCTGTTGACCCATGCCATACGGCTTTTGTCAAATGCTTTCTTGAACGGAAGAGTGACAGTCTGAGAATGCTCAACCTTAGCAAAGCATTAGGCTTCCTTGTTATTTTCCTCAATTGTTGTTTCATTAAGCCTGTACATTCAAGACAAAAGATAGCGTAGTCAAATTTGATGCCGCCTGCTTTTCCTTGTATAAAAGAGTAAACCTTTCGATGACCAGCGCAAATTTATAGGACTCCGCGTGATTCCAGTGTGCAATGACCGGTAACTCAGCGAAGTTCACAATCACGCGGGGCCCTATATTTCCAGCATGGTCTCACATGCTTTGACTTGAGCTTTTCAGGTGTCTCGCATCTCAATGGCTATCAGAAGGAAGTCCTACACCGCGCTTTTTAAGCTTAACGTGGTGCAATATGCCTTGGAACATGGAACATCGGCTGCCGCTGTTCGCTACGAAGTCTCTGATGGTCTGGTTAGAAGATGGAAGGCCGATAAAGAAAATCTGGAGGATATGCCACTGAGGAGACGCGCCAACCGTCATGGGAAGCCAAAGGTGGAGGAAATAGAGGAAGCTCTCTATGCATGGATTGTGCAGACGCGAGAAGGAAGCCGAGCAGTGCTTGTTAAAGACATTCGCGAGAAGGCATTGCAGCTAGCGCGGAAATCTGGCCACCAGGACTTCAGGGCATCGGCGATGTGGTGCAAAGGCTTTATGAAGAGAAAGAACTTATCTCTGAGGCGAAGAAACCATTGCGAACAGTTTCACCAAGGCTCTCGATGACGAATCAATAATAGAAGGCATGAACGAGGATTTCGACGCTTTGATTGTTGCTGATAATAACGATAATGATGGTCGTTCTTTTGGTCAAGTTGTTGCCATGAATGTTTGTTATGAACATGGAATGCTACCTGAATAAAGATCTGTTGCTTCGGTTCATTCTGAGAGCAAAAAAGGCAGCGCAATTGCGCATCCTTCTTGTTTTCATGTGAAAAAAATAAGGCGGACTTATCCGCGGGACTTGGCGGCGCGCGAGGCGCGCGAGGCTGTCACGAAAGCGGACTTAACTGAGAGCACTTTTGCGGTCTTATCGGCGAGGCGGTCTTTTCTGCGAGCCGATCTTATATGACGGATTTTAGGGTAATTTGTTCGGAATGTCTGCGTTAAGTTCTGACCATTCCCTCGTCATTTCTCTAAATTTTGATCAGGTTAAAAGCAGAGTTGCACTCTCAGCGATATTTAGGTTTCAAACGTAAAATAGGGCAAGCTTCTACGTTTTATGTATTTAGAATGCTTGGTATCATTGAGTCCTTAGCTGTGGCTGCACCTAAAAATTCCGCGTCGGTCATCGGGGGTTTCAAGGTAAGTAGGAAATCTTTTATTCAACCAAGGACAAAAATCTTTTGTACCACAAAGAAATTCCAATGATGAAAACAATAATTGTTTGGCTAACAAAAGCACCCAAAGGCGCTCAGATTTCTTCTCTTCACGCCTTTCGTTGAAAAAATGTTGCCATCAATTACGAATTCTGAAGAAGTTGTACCTGTAAACTTTACTTTTGCTACAACAGGATGTTGCGACTAAGGAAGGAAGCGAGGAAAAGATTCTTAAGAAGGCGATTGATCGCTGCTTTGAAGCAATATTTAAGAATTCTAGTGATGTGGTTACGGAGGTTCCTCAAAGTTCTTAGAATTCTCATTTAAGATTGTTTGAATTTAGAAACTTGGGCGCAAAGTTTTAGACTTTGTGAAAACAAATCAGTTTGAAAGCTCTCTTGCAACAGACATGCTTGCTTCAGTTGTCGCCTCTGTGACTTACGCAAGTTTTAGCGTCTGAAATTTTGCGAAAATCCAATAGTGTAAATAACCTACACTTTAGGAATTACCTTCGTTCTGGCTCCTTTTCGCAGAACATGTTCTTCGAAATTTAAGAGTGGTACTTACACGTAAGCGCTTTTTATATCATAGTGAAGATGTGCGTGCGCCTCCTTCATAGTCTAAAATTTGCAGCTGAAATGAAAAAATCTGAAGACCTTGATGCTTCTGCATCATGGTTTGTGTCTTTGGCTGCCGCTTTGTTGGGAACAACTAGCGAGGTCCGCAGTTCGTATCGCTACAAGCTTTTTTCTGCTAATTTTTACACCTTATTTGCAGAATTACATTCAGCACAAAGGTATCTGCATAGAAATGATCGACTTGTTGGTGAACTGTAAGAGTTCGGTGGCATACAGCGTACGCATTTTCGCTTGAGGATAACATTTCAACATTGACTTTGATCATTTAGGGCGGAGCGCTTGGGCTGTGGAACAGCTTGTACACACTCTCTCGCGTATATCCAGAAAACACATATTCTAGGAGTAAAATGTTGAGCAGGCCTTTGAAAGAATGGGTGCCTATTAGGGTAGATAGTTGCAACGAAATAAGTCTTCATTGAGTCCTCGTTGTCTACCTGTAGGAGTGGGCGCGATTGTACAACAGAGATGAAGTGAAAATGGCTTGGAACATTCCTAGTGAAAGAGGAAGAGCGGTGATGAAAGAGATTTTAAACAAGTTCTTTTTTCCTACGATGGATCTCGTGCAAACCGTACATGTAGAAAGGTGGGTCATTCTCATTCCTTACCGTATATGCTCCCAAGAACCAATTTTGAACCACGTAAAAGTTTTACATTCATGAGTTACTGCTCTTTAGGGAGGAGCTGAAAAAAGCATTCGCGATAATGAGCTCGGTCTTAACTGGAGGTGCTACTTGCTTCTCCATGCCACCTTCTCCACTGTTTCCTTGTCCCATCTCAAAATTGCCTTGGTTTAACCCAGATATACCCAACACTGCAGTGTTCAGATCAGGTTTGTCAGTTCTGTTATAGGTGGATATACAAATGAGGTTTGAGTTTGAGATATTCAACATCCATCCGGAAGAAACGTCAGAGAAATGTTGATAGAGCTGATGGAAAAGGTTGTCAATCGAGCAGAGACATCCAAACATGACTTGAGTCAGGTTCTTGTCACCATATGTTCAATGCTTCATTATCTCATACATACAAATTATATCGATACCGTAAGTTTATAATGGGAAAGCATCATTAAAAGTACGACGAAAGTTTTAGAGTGAACTTGTAACTGCTACCGAAACGCAAGCTGACGTGTTTACGTACCTTACGGACCCAGTGAAGAGGGCGTATCCTATATATGTCTACGAATCTATGGCTTACGTTTGTCATATGGTGAGCTCAACACGTTAGACTTGAATCTGAGTTAATATTTAGTCTCAAAAATTATTTTATTTTATGAGCTTGAGTGTTCTGTTTGATGAAAAATCGATCGTAAGCATGGTCAAGCGTGAAGTGTGGCACACCACACCTAGGGAGTTGTATTGAGAAATCAGAGAGGGGGGGGGGCGTTATCAAGGCGTCCGCTATTCGCATAACATGATATTCGTTAACAATGTCTAGGCCCGTCATGCAAAATAAGCACATTGATGTTTACATATTATCGTTTACGTACAGTAAGCATAATTAAAGGTCTATAAAGCATAAGAGCATCGTTTTGCAAATAGCAAGTAATATATCTCCTGTGATCCAAGTTTCAGTGAACTCTGAGGTTTCCAAATACAGGGCCAACCTGAGATAGTCGTTTTCAAACATGTTACTTTGTTTCAAAAGTAAGTTAACCACTTCTTTCTGCGCTTAATACAAAAAACTACTATTTCTTTGCTCACATTAAGAGTCCTACTTCAAATGACCTCCAAATTAAAGAATTAAGAGCAAGCCAAAATTTTGTTTGTTCCATTTTTCGTTTTCAACATCTCATGCTAGAGAAGACCAATCAGGCCCAAATCACTTTAATGTAGATTACGAGGCTTGGGCTATCGAATAATATACATTCTTGTGTTAGTTAATACATATGCCAACACGAGGTTTTTTTTGGTGAAGCTTTATTAGTAGAGTGGCCTTACGTTTTCGACACCAATCGTCGTCTTCAGAGGCCTAAAATGGAGCGAGATTGATGATCATATGCCTATACCACCAAACGCCTTGTCGACCCGGCTAGTATTCGATCCCCTCTATGATTCACAAGCAAAGGCCCCCAAAATGGAAAGATGAGCTGACCATGGCTCCACCGCTGTCGCACTGATGGTGGTGTGCGACCGCCTTCTCTGTGTAAGTAGTGCAAATTATCCATACAAGGTATCGAGCAACTGCATTACTTCTCTATAGCTCACATAACGGAATGAACGGCAGGAAATCATTCGTAATCGCCAAGCATTCATTCCTGTTGTTCATGGGTGAGTTCCTGCTTGAGATCCACAAGGCAAAATCCAAATTAAGCCAATTTTGGCTTACGAGGCTGACGTAGCTGCGCGGAAAGCTCTCGAAGCCTTGTGGATCTCAAGCAGGAACCCACCCATGAACAACAGGGATGAATGCTTGGCAATTACGAATGATTTCCTGCCGTTCATTCCGTTATGTGAGCTATAGAGAAGTAATGCACTTGCTCGCCTTGTATGGATAATTTGCACTAGTTACACAGAGAAGGCGGTCGCACACCACCATCAGTGCGACAGCGGTGGAGCCACGGTTAGCTCGTCTTTCCATTTTGGGGGCCTTTGCTTGTGAAATCATAGAGGGGATCGAATACTAGCCGGGGTCGACAAGGCGTTTGGTGGTGTAGGCATATGATCATCAATCTCGCTCCATTTTAGGCCTCTGAAGACGACGATTGGTGTCGAAACGTAAGGCCACTCTACTGATAAGGCTTCACCAAAAAAACCTTGTGTTGGCATATGTATTAACTAACACTTCATCTGCATAGGTAAGGTTACGATTATATCTTGCCCTTGAAGAAACGTTTTCATTTCAAATTTCTGCCATGTAAAGAAGAGCGTCAAGCATTAAAAACGATATTAAAAAAGCACTATTTGATCTGTTTGAAGATAGTTAATGGGGTGGTGGTGCCACACCCCATTAGCTATATCAAAAAAAACCATTTTTAGAGAACGTTATTCATATGAATCTATAGCCTAGACCTCATAGTTTCATAGCAGTGATTTGAGCCTGATTCATCTTCTTAGCTCTGAGTAATATTTGGTGAAAGCACAGCCTCTAAAAGCGAAAAATAGGAAAAACAAGATTTTGGTTAGCTTCCTCCAAAGTTAGGAAGTCCTTTGGAGCGAGAGTTCTGAAGTGGCCAAAGAAGGAATAGTGCTTTGTCTTGGGTGCAAAAACAGCTAGCTACTTCACCTTTGAAACAAAGTTGATCATGCTGGAAAACGGCGATTTTACTTAGGCGACCCAATATCTTGAAACTTCAGAATGTGCTCAAACATTGTCTACAGGGGTTAATTGACATGCTAATTATGATTTAGTTGCTTACTATGTTTGAAGGGGCCTTCAGGTAATGCTATCTTAGGTATATAGTTCAGGAGGTTTTACTGAGACAGCAATAAGAGGGGTGATCGTGTGCCACACCTGCTTCACCGTGATCGTAAGTCTTGGTGAGTATGCGTCTGCTTTCTAGAAAAGGAACTGAATCCCTTCGCAGGTTTACTGAGTGCTGCCATAAGGTGGGGTGAAGCGAAAAGGTTTTGAACTTCGCATCTCTAGTCTGAAAAAGAATACGTGCAATGCTCCGAAAGGTTCGGTTTTTTAATGCTCTGGTCACAGGTTGGCGGCCTTCTTGTTTCGTGCTCGAGCTCGACAGAAATGTAAAATCACTCCTATTCGTTTATGCATGATGTCGCGAGGAGTGTTGCCCAGCAAGGAAATAACTCTTTGGGAGTGCTATATATTTCAGTGCATTATCAGATTGTATATATCTCTCGTCATGCAACATCGCAAGCCACTGCCTCATTCTGCGCTGCAACTTTGAAACGAAAAAGTGGATTCCATTAGGAGAATTCAACATTCGCTTTCTTTAATGACCATGGCTTTTTGCGATACGTATACCATTACAATCGCCTTGAAAGGATGATTCCGAATCTGCCTTCCTTCTGCTATTCGTTTTTCTGAACAAGGTTATGGGGATTCTCATCGAGTTTGGCCACTCGAAGAAAATACATCGGAGCGCATGCACTGCCGGTGGTGGTGTAGTGTTTAGTGCGATGTCCTCGCAGAATGATGCAGAAACAGGCTCGGATCTTTTTGCGTTTTTCAGTGTAGCGTTGCCTCCATTAACCTAGTTTTTTATAATTTTGGCATTTTCCAAGTATAACAGCTCTCCAGTACTCTTCAAAATTATGGGATACTGGCTGGCATTCCCGTCATTCAGGGATCGGGAACTGGAACCAAGCGGTACACTCGCTCACGCAAAGCTGAACTCACCTTTCCGCGAGGCTTGCCCTCCGAATACCTGTCTTTTCCTCCCTTTCCTGCACAGCATACAACCTGCCGCACCACAATTTTTCGAATCGCTTCGGCATAAATTCAACAAAGCAGAGTGGAATTCCAGCCAGTAACGATAATTTGACTGTGGAGCACAACAAAACTTCATTAGATCAGCACCTGTGAAAAACTCAAACTTCGGACTATTTCGTTTACTACATCAGGAATGGGCAAAAACAAACACAATTTCATCATCTGAAATGCACATCACCTTGTAGAGTCTTCATGGCTTCGAGAAGCTCAAAAAGTTGGTGCCGCATACCAAGCGAAAGCTGACTACCGACATGCAAATGGCAAGTCTGACGGACTCAGACAAATCACCGGATTTTCTGCAGGACAAGCCAAATTTGCAGAAGTTCCGCAGGATTTTGTTCACCATTGCAAAAATGAAAAGTTGAAAATAGGAACTTTCGCGGAATTTCCATGCCAAACTGGTTGAAAATCGGAACTTCCGCAGAACCTTCTTCAAAAGCCTGCGGAAATGCCAGAAGTTTTGCAGCATTTTGGCCTGCCAGAACTTCCGCAGGACTTCGAATGTGCTGTCTCACGGTGTTGCCTAGCCAACAACTAGAGTGCATTATCGAACATGTCAGCCGTAGCGTAAAGGATAGTAGGCGGGCCTCACGGTCAATAGATTAAGGTTCAAATCTCGCTTCAGTGTTCTCTTTTGCTGTTGCGGTTGGCATTCTTCCGCAAACGCTCGGCGGAAGTTCCAGTCATTCGCCTGAGAGACTTGCGCTTCATCTCTGATGAAAAGCTGATCATCGCTCAAGAACGCTCTCCACAAAAGCGTTTCACCCGATCTGATCATAGGACAAGACCTTCTGAACCTTGTAATTCATCACAAGGAAAGTGCGCAAGCTTCTTTCACGGCTCATCCTAACCAATCATCTTCGGATACGTTATAGGTGGAACAAGCCTCATCAACTACTACACGATTCGTGGGAACTTTCGGCTGCATGTCAGCGCAAAACAGGAACATCAAGGAACAACCGCTTGATATATCATCAACAAAACGGATCGTTGCCGAAACCGTAAACGTGCTATGTTTGCAACAGAGGAGACGAACAGACAACAAGGGATAGTTGACAGCGTAAGCTAAAGGAACGGATCAAACATCTCAAGGAACATCTCCGATAACAAAGCTACAACAGTCTCCTTCAATCAGAGAATTACCAGCTTCACAAAACCGACATTAGAGCTTTTCACTGAAGCTCGTGCGGAAAGACAACGTTGGCTGATCATCCGTTTTACGAGGTACTCTACAGAACTCTGCTCCGTTTTACAACATGTCGGATGGAATATCTACTACGATGGCTTAACTTATATAAACAAGGAAGGATTAGGACGATGAACACGCCAGAGAGAATACCCTGCAAGAACGCCGTCCACGTAGAATACGGTTATAAATGAAGCATCTGCTACCAGTTTATTGTCAACGAAGAGAAAAAGCCAGACGGCACGGTCCATAGTGACACCTTGATCTCTCTTGACCGAATGTATCTATATTCCACAAATTGTCTATCCCCTAATCACTTGTTAACCACCAAAAGCTTCGAACTGAAACATTATTTTTGAGAGATATTCAAACGAGCACTATCGATTTGCTCATTTACTTAGAAGGGCATTAGAAGATATGTCACCTCATAAATATGGTGACTGTCAAATTCCAAAAATCATTCTCAAATTAAAAAAGCTCATCAACTACAGAAACAAAAGCAGAAACATTATTAGTGATCTTCATTTCAGAAAAATGCAACAGTAGTTTCTACGCTGTTAACGCACTTCCATATCCGATGCATCCGCCTACTGACGAGATTGACTATGAATGATTACGTGGCGGTACGCATACCACTCGATGAAAGAGGGGCATCATAGTTACCCTAGACTTGATCTAAATTTGGTTCACACCAAAATGACCACGCTCAAAACTCTAGGCTGTGTCTCCTAGCATGCTGCTTAGCGCTGTTATTAGCGTCCGCAATAGGAAACGGATCGAATTTAGATCGAATCTAGAAAAGTCCAAAATACTGGTAACAATGATTCCTCTGATAGGATTCGTAACTAATATCTTTGCTTCTAGGTGCGCGGTGCTGCACAAACTGAATTATTTCTTGTTTTTGCTGAATATACGGTTTCGAGAGAAACTATGATTGACACGCTATTACCCTCGCTTACTGGTGAATACACGACTGGAAGACTAAGGGTACAGCTTTTAAATACTGTTTTCCGAAATTTTGAATTCTGCGTTCTAGGGTGCTTTAAACGTAATTTGGAAATCAAAGTTGGGAACGAATTCTAGTATGCCTGCTAGAAACAAAGTGTGGCGAGCACTTCTAGAGATGAAGGTAGTCTAATTGACGTTTTTTATCCGGAACCTGAATGTATTTATCTTAGCCAATCGAATTTCCAAGCATTCTCGAGATTTACGAGCAGATAAGTGAGGAGATTGAAAAAATGCGTAGACCTCAACTGAAGCATTATGTCAGTAGTGACTTTCTTACTCAAATTATATCAAGCACACTCTATTCAAATCTTTAGACATGCACGAAACTAGAACCATTCTGCCAAAAGTTGTTTACGAAGCTTCCAAGAACGGGAGCGTGGACAAAATTCAATTGCAAAAACTCGCTAGAATTGTGTAAGAAAATGCAAGAGCAAAAGAAATTAGAGAATAAAAAGTACGTGTCTTTTTGTGATGCTGGGGTTGGAGTGAAAAAATTGAAGAAAGACAAAAAGTTGAAAACAAACCTATTCAGCGATATTTTTTCTTAAGAGAGAGGAAAGCATTGGTCGACATGCTGTTGGAGCAATTGACGAAGAAGGATTTGTCACATTCACGGATAAAGCTTTGCTGCACGATGCTGTGGCGTTGTCAGATGGAAAAATCTGGCGTTGAGACCATCAAAGTAATTACATTGTTCTTTTCATTCTAGACTGTTAAAGTTATGATCATTTAGGTTCTACTCTCAAGATACGCCGATGAGGAAAAACACTTTCGTGACCAAAGCGCAGATGCACTTTGCTATTGGTTGAAAAAGAACAAAGCAAAAACCGTTCGTATGAATTGGGGATGTCCGGCTAAGGTGTCATCTTCTTTGATGAGTGGGGCAAGAAAATAACAAGCTCTTTTTTATAGCCAATAGAAAAGATACCTCTGAAATGCGGCCTTCGGCCTGACAATCTTTGCTTAGCCTATGATTCTATGAATCTTCCAAATACGGAAGAAAAATGGAACAGCACCTTATTCATGTCGAAACAGCACGGGTGCTACAAATGGCCACCGTAAGTTTGAACCGAATACCTCCCTCTTGCCTCAGTTGCAGCGCGTTTCACATCCATAAGACACCTCACTAGGTACTTCAGTGATTCACATCTGAACATTGAATGAAAGACATGAGTCACTATCTCAAATCAATCGCTGTTTCGAAAGTAGGAGCATGTCCAGCTTTTCAGTGTTCAAAACTACATGACAAATTGAGTACGACACAGTTCTTAGAGAAATGGAAAAGAAAACATGCCTGGTGTAATTGACTGGGTCACCCTGCTCTTTCAGCGCGTCATCAAGCTTTTTGACATATGCTTTGACAGACTTCTAACAAAACTCCTGTCCAGTATTGTTCCGTGCTCTACGACGAATTGATTCAATCTTACTAGGAATGCCGTAATAGGATAAAGAACCGCTGTAGGAAGCAGATTGCCTGCATTTAGCGTCAAATCTGCGCCCTATTTTTCTCATTGAACTTCTGAATGATACAGAATGATCTGAAATCACAGAATAACATTCGCTAAAATTTTTTTCTGCTATGATATGAGAATTTGGGAAGACAGATCTTCTGACCGTTGCAGCTTCCCAAACTTGATTTCTTCTCATTGAACAATACGATGAAACTTGATCACTTGCCTCACGAGAGAAGAGATTCGAGCGGTTTTGAGGGTTTATTATAGTCATGCGACGCACTACAGTATGTAAGTGACTGGCAGAAAGTAGGCGCAATTTTGCTTGGTACGGTGCCATCAAAAGTGACAACATAATTTTTTTACATCTTTTGTGCAAAATCGACGAATACCGTCGTTGTCACTGCACGAGTGGCTGTAGAAGGGCCGAGTCGCTGTGAGACGGATTGAACAAAATCCTATGTGTAAAGTTCTTTAATAGTGGTGAAACTTTAGGTTTGTCAACGTAGTTATATTTGCCAAGCGGCCACAGATAAACCGACCACCTCTCAACGAATGCGAAAAGGCTATTGTAGCAGCATTTGAAGATCCTGTGATGTATAGAAAATGGGTAACGCTTTTACTAATAGAGAAAAGAGACTTACCACAAGTGACCGAAAGCACTGTTTGGATGATCAAAGTGAGACAGAAAATGAATAAGTATTGTGCTAAAATTTTTGGTTTAGTATCTACTTCGAAATTTCCCAGACAGCCAAATTATTTACAGACAGATAACAAGAACCCTGGTGGAGCTATTAAAGAGCAAAAGGGTGCAGATTTTTTTTTTGACAAAGAACAATCCGCACTGAAAGACTGGTTGCAGAGAGCGGAGCAACGTTTAGCTGCCGAGTTCTTCACTGGAGTAGCTATGGGAACAAAATATCGGGGATTCAAAGTGCTCAACGAGTTATGGAAATGGTTGGCTCCTGCAGTGGATCTTATGTACGACTACATGAATGCAGATGCCCATTACGCTTGGCACGTTTGCCTAAACACGGTAAACCTTACATTACCACTTGCTAACATACGCTACTAATGTGCATAGGACGTTGGTCAAAAAAGTCATGACCTAGTTTCCAAGCTAGTGCGCACAGTTTCAGCATGTGAAAAATTTTATCAGCAATGAAAACTAGAGAGACAGCTGAAATAACAGACGCTGTTTCTAGTTACCATATGTTTTACAATGTTTATGGGTCTCAAGCTATAAAATACATCGATTTTACCATTTTGTGTACAATTTCGACAATTTAGCTCTTGGAAAGAGACGATACTAGAAGATACTGGTGGTTGATAGAAGAATTATTGAAAGGCATGGCTCGTCCAGCACCATCAGCCTGGCATCAAGCAGTGTAAGTTGTTGACGGAACCTCATTATGACATCCAAGGCATGCTTGCTGTAGCGTCTATTGCAAGCACCCTTTGGAAAAGCAAGGGGAGCATACAGCAGACACTCTGAACGCAGCCTCACTTTGTGAGGCTGCGTTCAGAGTGCCCATGTGTCGATTTTTGCTTAGTGGGAAACAGGTACCGTCAAATCCAGACGTTGCGCAATTATTAATCCAATCTAAATCGATGTTACAAAGTTTGTGATACATTGCCGCACACCCAAGTTTGAGGCAAAGCTCCCTCCCTATCACTTAAACCTATCTTCTCAACTTCTCATCCGTTCTTCTTTACTCTGCATGAAAAAAATTTCTGAATCAACCATTCCGGACCAATCTCAATGCGTTCCAGCCTCGGGTGTCGTAAGCTAACATTCTTTGGAATAACAATGAGCCAACGGGGGGGGGGATAGACGGCTACGTGATTCTGCCGACTATGTTATATCTTGGAAAATACCCAGTGCACTTACAATTCATTTTTTTGCAAACTTTTAGTTGGAAGGAGCTAGTGCGAGTTTTGTGAGCGTGTTTATCATGCAAATAATGAGGGCAGGAATTGTACAGAAGTGGGACAGGGAAATGTTGAGAGGGAAGGTAAGTCTTCCATGTTCTCCACACGAACCGAGAGGAACCGGGCATGTCAGCTAGTAGCAAATGGGTATAGCCCATAACAGGTCTTGGAAAAACATAAATTTATCAAATGCATAAAAACCCGGAAGAATTATAGGCATCCCTTGCAGGAGGTCCATTTACTTGGTAGCCAATACGTGGAGAGAGACAGAAACGCGAAGAAGAATTTGTGAAATTGCCTGGAGAAATCTTCCCAATGCTCGTATCGAAACAGCTCGTCTCGGTGTCTCAACGTAAGACGATTATTCGACAAATGAATTGTGAATACAATTCACCTCCTTTCTAGTGCTCTCAAGAACATCTGTTCTATCATAGATGCAAACATGAACAATGATTTCAAAGGAGTGCCCAAGAGGTTTCACATAGAAAATATTGACTTCTGGCTACAGAGATTTCAAGGAAATGTAAGTATGACTGAGTACGGCACCTTTTCTATGTTTTGGAAATTGGTCTTAGATTGATACTGTGAGTACCAAATCTGGAACACCAAGTGCAAGTGCATCTGAAACAAATGTTCCACCGACTGCTGTGCAGCTGCAACTGGAACAGCTCGCTGCAAAGTTAGCCGAGAGAAGCCCCAGTATTACTGCAATGGATGTGGTAAATGTCGAACTTTTAGTAAAAAGTTGCTATGAAACAAGTCATTTGTACGTCTTGCAGTCACAAAACTATCTTCGCACTCTCCTGGAATTTCTTATGCAGTATTATGAGGATAGTATAACCAGTCTCACTCCCGGAATCATCTCCTTATTTCCTACTCTACTCGAGTATGCCAACGAAGAGAATGTGGAGTGAGTTCTAGGTCCTACCCTCACATTGAGAAATTGTATAAGGGGTGGTTTTCAGAGTTATGGGTTCATACAAAGATGTGGACATAAAGTATACTGCAAGCCTACTGGTGTACGAATGGATGTCCGGAATTTTGCTGACTCCGAAATATGCAGATGATTTCCTTAAAGCCGTCATAGAGGTAGTGGCAAGGATCGCTGAACACGCATTTACGCTTCCTTTTGGGGTGCATTAGAATAATAAGGGGTGCATTAGAATAATATCTGAAAAGATGCATTCACAGAAGAGGTTTGTGGTCAAGATCATTTCGCGCGGTTGTTAGAGGCCATTTTCAATGAGTACTTGATCAGTACGAAATACGTATTGTGATTGCTTAGAGCAGAGGCAACTAACTTTATGATATTTGTAATTCTGGAGTGGATGCAGCAGATTGACTTATCTATAATTTCTTCAAATCTCGCAAGTAATCCAGAAGTTTCAGTCATACTACACAGCATACATCTGGCACGTAAAAATTGCTGTCTTAAAATTCCTTCAAGTCCTTGTCTTTTTGAATATATACGAATTGGAACACAGAGGACGTGCCGCAAAAGTGCTTAGGCTATTATTTGATGCAATTTCTGATCGACAGGTCAGTGGTTTTACTGCCGACATAGTTTTGTTAATGATATTGTTCAGATGGAAGTACGAGCCGAAGCCTCTAAAGCCATGTTGACCCTTCTACTTTGCAAGTATATTAAATTTGATAAGGAACTCTTTGTACGTATTTACATCTGGGACTGAAATCGGGTTCAAGCATGCGTATGTTCAGAAGCAAATGAATGAAATGATGAAAAACAAAAACATGTCTACACTGCACGGTGCAATATTAGGGATGGGAGCCATCGTCAGAGCACATCCGTTTACAAACCCACCCGAACTGAAACCAGTCTTGAAAGCTCTTTGCGGAGTGACTAGCCGTAACGCAGAACTCCAGGTGGGTTAGAATTGGCATAATTATATCATACTATAAAGAAATACTGTGAAACAGAAAAGCACATTTTGTTTTAGTCAAAAGTGATGTCACCTTAATTCATGATTTTCAGAAAGCCGCGACCACTGCTCTGCGAGAATTCCGCCGCACCCATCGCGAGAATTGGGAAGAAACAGCAAAAATTCTTGGCTCCGAACTAGTATACAAGATAGAAAATGCGATTGCACCCATTTATTATGCGTGAACATGTGACAAAAAAAATGTTTTAGACCTCCTATTCGGGGGTATCCCAAGACTGTTAACACCATTTTTGATGGCCAAGCCGCTTTTCCATTGCCTATGCCTTGTCAATCGAACAGTTTTGTAGATATCCTTCTGTAATAAAGATTTGATTGGTTGTATGTAAGTGTCTTCTTCGACAGGATAAAGAGCTTTCTAGAATGTTATGGTGCGGACATGTTTCAAAAAATGATACGATTCCCAATTGTTGAATATGAAATAGGGGAAGAGTGGCATAGTGGTACGAAGAGTCGCTATGACCAGACCGAACCCAGGTTCAATCCCGCCCTGGGCCACGCAGGACCTCTACTACTCGGGGCGGTAAATGGTGCCAAAGTTATCTGGAAGCATAAAAGCACTGAATTGGTAACCGGCTGGCCCCCGCAAGTTACTGTAAAAGGCTCACAAGCATTCAGCAGCCCTTCCGACTATGAAATGGAGTGCGTTCGGCACATGCTCGCAGAGAATATTGAAGACACTGGAATGGGACGCTTTCTCTGACAAAGCATGCGACCTTGAGGACTTTTGGTCAAGGTGGTGGTGATCAAGTCAGTGATGAACCCCGATCGATTCATAGTCAAAGCTGCATTCCTTATCATCAGGACGCTATTTGAAACATTTACGAATTTGACCATATCTACACACCATCTACCTGCAGGAGCACTGCAGTATGTGCAATCATAAATTGATGAGCGCGAGTGCCGTCTTTGATGCACAGGAGTTCGCGTGCTCAAATTCTTCTACAACGTGCATTTTTGCCATTTGGTTTCTAACTCCACGCCTTTCTCGAAATAGCGTTCAGCAGAGAGGGTACAGAGAGTACAGAGGGTACAAATACAGATTACAGTGTTGAAATCGGCATTTCACTGATGCAGCAACATATGTCGGCGGTATTTATCAACAAATACAGATTACAGTGTTGAAATCGGCATTTCACTGATGCAACAACATATGTCTAGGGCGGTATTTATCAATCTCCCACTCGCTGTGCGGGCCATTGTTAACGAGAGACCGCACACACGAGAACGCCCTTCTTGCGATTTATGAAAGTCTAGGAGCCCCCAAACGGGCAGCGCCGCCCGACTCGCCGAGATGGGGAATAGGGAATCGCTGCTCGACTGCTGTGCCCGACATGGCCAAACTCGCTAGATCGGACCATATTCTTCAATAGACAGGAGCCCGGTCACCAGCATGGCTTCATTCGTGGGCGCCATGGACCGCGCTACGGGATGTTAGCTGTAGGGGAACCCCTTCCTATACAGGAGATTACAAGTACCGCCCCTAATCCCAAATGGTCGTTTGACTTGATAGTCCCCTCTGATATCCCTAGTGTGTACAAAAATGGCAGTGGGGCTGTTATCGTTCAGATGAATAAAGAAAAGAAGGTATTTGTTTTGTGGATATCTGCCTATTAGGTCGGCGCGAAAGTCCTGGGATATTGCATTTGGACAAGATTTTTGATTCAATGTAAGCACTGATTGGATTATGCTGCACATCGCTGAATGAAGGAAAGCAATCTCTGAAAATCATGGTAAGCGCAAGCATCACAAGTGCTTTTTGTAGAATTTCACTCAAAAATTCTATGGCATAGGATTTCGACCGAGATCTCCAAAAGAACATCTACAAAAGTCATGAAATCCCACATGCTCCCATTTATTGCAAATACATACTTACATACATACATGCATAATTTGTATAGAATTAGAGCTCAAAGGCACCCTCCACCCAGATTCTTGGCGTCCATGTTTTTGACTTCCGGGGCCTTTTCATGTCCCTGACCGAATATCATCGAGAATCCGCGTAAATCCCGACAGACCCCGTTTCAGAGAATCCGCAGAGCGAATTGTGCGGGACGGTGATTGGTTAGGCGCGCTCAAATGGGCGGGACGAACGTCATGCCCTAAGGGGAGGAGTCAACGTGGCGAATCCATCATCCAAAGCGACTTTTACAGCAATTTTCTCGCTTTGGAAGCAACTTCTGGCAACGCGAGTTGGGCAAGTAAACCGCTGGGGCCACACTACTGTTAAGTTTCAAAATCTCATCGACCAAGTTTGAGTGGACGGTGCCTTCAAGCATCAAGAACTTTCGAGCAACCAACTTAACAGTAACCCAAGTTTTGAAATAAATGGCAGTACCGGAGGAATACATCCACCAACTTAAAGGAGACTGGTGTAATTGTTCACGATGCTTCACTGAGATGGAATTACTCTAACTTTCTGTGACCTAGTTATAGTGACACAGGAATAGCTAGTATCATTGTTAGTCAACTTGTGGCAGAACTGAATGCAGTTGACTTGAACGCAAATAGAAATAGGAACTAGTTGAAAACAAGGTGGACTGTTATAAGCTGGCGGATAGACATACCGAGGCGTTGAAACAAAGTCCAAGGGTGAGAGGCGGGAGAAGCATTCAGGACAACGGATAATCCTTCTGAAACTTCGTAAACTAAACACTACCATGATTGCTTGCACGTACGTTCTTGCAACAGAGGTAGAGATAACTTTGATCCCTGCCCATCTAACATTCATGGGCAAAAAATCCTAGAGCAGTGGGTTTTTTACTTGATTTCTGGATATCTCAGATTCATCAATCGGTAGCTTGGCAGTGATCTTTGTTTTACTGAGTTATGCAAACAACTCTTTGTTGCACAAATCAGCAGACCAAAGTGCAATATTTCTCAAAACTTACTGAGATAATATTCCTAATCTCAGCACAAAACTTTCTGATAAAAATGGTTTGTTGGAGTATCAGGCAGAAGAGAATAAGTACGTAATTTTGTTCACACAAAATTGTGCTGAGATCAAGCATATGATGGGTATGCTGCATATGACAAACAAAAACGATGATATAAGTTAACGACTGACTTTTTCAAAAATTATCCAACCATTTCAAAAGGTAAAGGTTTTTGTTTTTGCACCATTGCGTCACCTCTGCTTCGCCGGAGTTCGCACTGGTTTCTCTATTTGCATGCCTTTTTTCGTTTTCCGCGTGAGAGCAGCTCTGAAAGTCACAGAAAGAAGCTGCTATGAAACTCACTAAAACAAGAAAATGAGAGATGCTGTCTAACATCGCAAATAAACTGGAAACAATTTCGAAAGCTTTCAAGGAGCCAATAGTTAAGATTATTTTGCCAGGGAAGTTTCAAATCGAAATGGCCAAATCAAGCAAGTTGCACTGGATGCAGGATGGAATATTGACATCAAACCTGTCTTACATGTTTAGGAACGCCCTTGTAGACGAAGAGCTATTAACAGTTTCATTGCAAGGAAATCGTATATAAGAATTGCCAACGAAGGAAGGATACTTGGTGACCGTGGCCTTTTGCAATGAGATGTGTACCAGTAGGTGCGTCTTGGAATGCTGATTCTAAATCTATGTTCATTACTTGCTGTGCGACTGCCTGAACGAAGTTATGGACGTTTTTCCATAATTTTGCTAGATTTAGGCAGTCAATCGTCAGTATCCAGGATTTTTAGACTCTGATGTATTGGTGACAGTTTTCCTGAAATTAGCGTGAAGCTTTACTTTATCTGTACGCTCTTTTCCAGTGCATAAGTGAACATTCTACCGATGTTGGTGAATCCTGTCATCAAAACAGTGCAAATTTTGGTGACAAGAAATGTTCATAACTTCTTTCGGAACAGCGCACAGCAGATAATGAAAACAGATTTGGAATCTGCGCTTCAAGATGCATTTATTGGTGTACGTTTCATTTCAAAATGCCACGGTCACCAAGTATCCTTTCCTTGTAGGATAGGCACATTATTGCCTTTCTAGCCTCATCGCTGGGTATATGCTATACAAAGTGATCTAGCTGCATGTATTGGAATGGCATAGAGACAAACATGATTCTGTGCGGCCAAATTTGCAGTTTGTATAAGCGATTTTTTAGCAGGCTACTGGCGTATACTGGCTTTAATTGCTCATAGTTTGTCCACAAAGGCGCTCAGCAAACATGAAGGACTGATTTGGAAACAGCGTTTTATGCTCTTTTGATGGTATGCAGATTGTTTGGCTCACTTTGACTTCTGACCATTCCTTTGTTAGTCATCAGGTCGGGAAACTCTTGTTTGTGGGAGAGATGACAAAATTTTCAAAATTGCTGGGCGAAAAGTTGGTTAGGTTATAAAAATTCAGTTTTCAAATGGTAATGTTGATCTATCAAGACTGTTATAACTCTATCCCCTAATCGCTGGAAATTGACAGTAGTTTCCACTAAGCATGTTGCGAAAAAAGGAAGAAAAATTTTGCCATAGCCCATTGACCATTCTTTAGTGTAAAACGAGCGGATCGTTATTAGTATAGATGTCGTCGTGCAGCCAGAAACAGCGAGGTATAACTTGAGCACTGGTTTGTATCATGAAAGAATATCGAAAAAGCAAATAGAATGTTGACATCGTACAGTAATCAAATGTACATCAAATATACATCAAATACACAAGTAGCAGTGAATTCCATCTTCCCGTGAGAGACGAAAGTGTTAGTAAATTTGTAGAAATTATCTTTTTAACCAAGTCCCTATCAAGCGAGGTGACCAGCAGCTTTACATCATTCTCCCAGTGAACGAGGCAATCAACGGATATATAATGGAGATGAACGAATCTCCATTCGATTCTAGATTTAGCAAAGCGTTCATTGAAGGTGATCGAACTTCTAATCATTCTCGGCATCTTTCACTGCACTTAACCAAATTTGCAATTTGCACTTCACCTTTTTTCCATACTCTTATCGTTTGTTCGCTTTTGCTAGAGAGGCGGGGCATTTGCGGACTGCCGCCGGCGTCGCGGTCTTAACGCTGGGGCACAATCGATAACCGCTGCCAGCGCTAAGACCGCCACGCCGGCGGCAGTCCGCAAATGCCTCGCCTACTCTAGCAAAAGCGAACAAACGATATCCGAACTGTAAACAGGTGAGCCTTCTTGTAGTAACTTTCACAGTGATCTCTCTCATTTCTCTAAACGTGTGAGACTACCACATATTTGTTACAAATGGGAAATTGGTCAGGGAGTACTTCCATATTAAACAGCGACGTAATGGTTTCATGTCACATGGCATGTGATTCTTATCACTGCCGGCGCGCTGAGCGGTCGGATCTCCCCTAGCAATTACAGTGCCCTTCGCTTTCCTTTGTAGTTTTTTCTGATTTTGTCGTGTTTCTTCTTCATTTTTCGCTTCCACTCCTTCCTCTCTTTTCACTACTGTTTTTGGCACCACCCTCTCATATTCCGCCATTTTTTTCTTTTAATTTTATCCTTTTTCTACTTGTGGTGGCTGCCAATCGATCTTGTGACTCCTTCGCACGTGGGTTGGTAGGTCGATTATCTAATCATATATCCTGCAGATCATTCAATCTTTCAGTCCTTCCTCTCCTTTTTATCCTCTGTGGTGTTTTTCTTACTTGCTTGTTGGTGATTTTGTAGCACACGTTGCTGCTCATTTTTTGTGATCGTTTGATTTTTTAATCCTTTTGTTGAATCAGTCATGACCAGAAGTACGCGTACCTCAAAAAAAAACTTCGTCTACTAGTCCATCTTCATCATTCCAAAGGAAGTATGCCGATGCTAGTAGTCAAACGGTCATGTCTGATTTCAGCGAAATGTCGATTGAAAATTTGATCGATTGCATACGTGAGAGGAATAGTGATCCATTAATCGACAAGTTGCTTGCCCTCCTTTGTGAAAAAGTGTCTGGGGTGACCACAATTGATCCAAGCGCCGAGAAAAGAGCTCGAAGTGTGGTCTTTAGCGGGTTTAGCGAGGCTAGGGGGGATGTCGGCTACCAGGGGAGGCAACATGATCTTGAGCAAAAGGTGTGCAATATCCTTGAGGTGCTCAGGGTCGAATGCCATCCGGCAGAGATCTACCGTATGGGCAGCTTCAACTCCGCTAGGCCCAGACTGGTCAAGGTTGTGCTGCCATCGAGGTCCCACTGGCGCACAGCCTTGACCAATTCCAGGCAGTTGCGTCGCTCTGCTTTTCCTAACGTGTACGTGTACGTAAGTATGACTCCAGCGGAGCGTAAGAGGAATTATGAGCTTAGGGTCGAAGCTCGTGAACGCAACAGGTGTAAAATGAAAAAAGAGTGGGTAGTCAACCGTGATGAAGTGGTAAACATCTCCGCGCTTCCTCGCGGTTTTCAGGGAAACGCTTAGGTGTGCATGGTCTCCCTCTATCTAAAATATGCCTAATGAATGCTCGTAGTCTCTGCAACAAAATACATCTCTTGCAAAGCTTCATCTGCCTTCACAAGCCCGATTTAATTTTTATCAATGAAACCGGGCTCAATTCTCATATTTTGGATTCTGAAATTGTTGGAGGTTTACCATACTTGATCTACCGAGCTGATCGACGTAGACGCAAAGGTGGTGGAGTTTGTTGCATCATTAAAAGCCATTTTCTCGCCACATGTGTTGATTTGAACATTGGAATCAAAGCTGATTTATTCGGAATTAGAGTTTCGACGTTGACCGAGGGTGCCAAATGCAGTTTATCACGATTTATTGCACCCCTGATTCGAATAGTAATGATGATGATGAATTACTAGAAATTCTCAGCAATTTTGCTTCTGGCAAGGGAAGCTACCTAACTTAGCTCGGCCTTTTGGCAAGGGACATATTTATAAAGTCTGAATCAGCTTCAAACGCTGATTCCAAATATGCTATTCCTAGCTGCCACGCACCATTCCAAAGCGAGTGCTTTTTCCTTCGCAAAACTGGCATGATCATCGGTCTACAGTCACGTCATCATCACTCAAGTGCTAATACACTTGCGTTTTGCTTCTTTTTAGTGAGAAAAGGTTGAATTTGTGTTATCTCAATATCTCAGCATCTTTTTCTTGCAGATTTTCATCTACAGGCAGTCTTCCCATGTTCAGTAGTATGCCAATTTTGCGTGGGAAAATGCCCATAACTCGCTTCGGAATGGTGCGTGGCAGCTAGGAATAGCATATTTGGTATCAGCGTTTAAAGCTGATTCAGAATATATAGGCAATTTACAAAAGGCCGAGCTAAGTTAGGTAGCTTTCCTTATGAGAACATTCCAACCATCATAATCGGAGATTTCAATTTGCAAATTGATTGGATGGCCAAGAAATCCCTCATTGCTGCCTTTTGTACTTTTTGGAGTTTGTACACAACTGTGGACTAAAGCAATATGTGACCTCACCGACTCATGATGGCTACTCTTGACATTGTGCTCTCGGCCTTTCCACTCATCTCGCGTGTGGGCACACTTCCGCCACTTGGGTTCTCGGATCATAGGATTGTCAACTTCGAGATTGCATTTTTGGATTCCTCTGCTTCCACATTACCCTTGCCTGATTTTCTCAGTGTTGTCTATACCTCTCTTGATTCTGACTTCTTTGGTGTAGATTGGCTCTCCTTATTCAATAATTATACCTCATGTTTTGACGTCTACAAAAGATTTTGCCCAACACTTTATGAAGCCTTTAGCAAATTTGTTCCGATTAGAGACAAAGTTCCTGGTATTCATAAGATCGACCTGCCACCAAACTTTCGTGCCTTAATATCTCAAAAACAACATCTTTTTGATATTCTGCCCAACCCTTTGAGTTGCCCGTTGTATAAGAAAGTTTGTGCTGATATAGACGATCACATAAAAAAATATTTGTCATATCGTGAACGAACGCTTGCTAGAAGAAAGTCGTCTAAATATCTTTTTTGTATTTGAAGAATAAAATGAAGCCCTCCCAACATTTCCCTACTTTGACAAATTCTTCTGGTACCTCTTATGCTAGCGATAGAATAAGGCAGATGCTCTTGGTGCCTATTTTGCCAGCGTTTGCTCTCCTGTCGCTATTAATGACAGTGATAGTGATGTCTCTTCTCACCTCATCCTTCCCGCAGACGGACCAAGAAGACAAGGTGGAAGAAACCGTGGCTGGTCCACTGCGTCCACTTGGTCAAGAAGTCATGGGCTGCGCAACGTCATGAATGCACTGATTGGCACGAGCAAGAATATTTTTGTCAACAAAGACGATCGAAGTCGAAATCGCCCAACTCAAGCCATAAACGGAATCATCGCGGTACTAATTGGATAAACCGCTGAGGATGAATAAATGTATATATGTATATGATAGTGATGCTGACAGAATAAGCACTGATGCAGTGCTGCCTCGCCATTTTTGCAATAATGTTCATTTTCATCCCGCAAATATCTACCAGTTCCTTATTAAACTAAAACCTTCCATAACTGAAACATTTGATGGCATCCCTCAGATAGTATACCTAAAATGCGCCTCGTCGCTTGCGGCTCCGCTTGCACATATCTTATATATAAAGCTGAATGTCTGTTTGTCTGTATGTCTGTCTGTATGTATGTCTGTACGTATGTTCCGAATAGAAAATTCCATTTCTGAACCGATCGGGACCAAACTTGGCACACATACACATCGGGCCCCGGCGGGTGTCATAGGCTACTTTTCGTCATCGATCGATATCGATTTTATCGATTTTTTGCAAAATTTGAGCTACGGGGCTGGGAGTTGGCACAGGGGGGTAATCGAGCATGCTGATCACCCCCGTGGGGGTGATAAAATCGACATCGATCGATAACGAAAAGTGGACTGTGACACCCGCCGGGGCCCGAAGTGCATGTGTGCCAAGTTTGGTCCGGATCGGTTAAGAAATGGAATTTTCTATTCGGAACATACGGCGGAGCCGGGTAAGCCAGCTAGTATTCAATATTTCGATGTTGTGGGGGAGGTCCCTGACCTGTGGAAAGAAGCTTTGGTTACAGCCATTCCAAAAATTGACGGAGCATGTCGAATTGATAAGTTCCGTCCAATTAGCTTGCTTCCCACTCCTGTTAAGATCGTGGAAAGAATCATACGCGAAAAACTTTTGAAATGGCTAAAGGTCTCGGATTTGATCCCCGATGAACAACATGGCTTTTTGAATGGAGCTTCCACCACAACAAATCTGTTTGATAGTGTGTTCGAGTGGAGCTTAGCAATCAACGAGGGCAAATCGGTTGACATTGTTTATGTTGATCTCTCGAAAGCGTTTGGTAAGGTTTGTCATGCTAAATTACTAATTAAAATGAGCAAATTAGGGATTAAAGGAAATCTTCTTTCGTGGTTGACTTCTTATTTGCATGATCGGCATATGACTGTGAGAGTTGGTCACCGAAAAGTACTTCTGTACTAGTGGTGTTCCACAGGGTGGTGTCTTAGCCCCCTTGCTTTTCCTGATTTACACCCTTGACCTAATTTCTGCTTTAAAGACCTCCGCTAGCGTACACATCCGGATGTATGCCGATGACATAAAGATTTTTGCAGTCTATGATCCAGAAGTAGCTCCAGAGATGCAAATGGACTTGCAAAGGTCTTTTGATAATTTGACCAATTGGTGTGAGGTCTGGGAATTAGCGTTAAACTTTGACAAATGCTCAGTGCTTCATCTTGGAGGTGGAAGTACTACCTCGTATCACATCAAAGGCTCTATATTGAAGAGTTGTGATACTGTTACAGATTTGGGTGTTTTGATTGATACAAATCTTAACCTCACTGAGCATATCAATACATTAGTCAAATAGCTTATTCTTCGCTTTTTCTGCTTTTCCGCAATACTAATGCTAGTTCTCCAAAGATACTTACACCGCTTTATAAAGCACTAGATGGCTTACCCGGCTCCGCCCGACCCTGCCATTATTTTATTCGTAATCAGCATGCTCGATTACTCCCCTGTACCAACTCCCGGCCCCGTAGCTCAAATTTTGCAAAAAATCGGTAAAATCGATATCGATCGATGACGAAAAGTAGCCTATGACACCCGCCGGGGCCCGAAGTTATGTGTGCCAAGTTTGGTCCGGATCGGCTCAGAAATGAAATTTTCTATTTGGGACATACAATACAGACATACAGACATACAGACAGACAAACAGACATTCAGCTTTATATATAAGATTAGTTCTTCCTCATTTAGAATACTGCTCTCAGGTCTGGTCCCCCTTTCGTAAAAAGGATATTCGCAGAATTGAAAAGGGTCAACAGCATTTTACACGGCTGTTGTCGGCCCGGAACCACCCCTCCCGATTACCAGACCCGGCTTGAGAGGTTTCATATGAAGTCCTTAAAGGCAGTGCGTCGGCAGAGTGAGACACGTGGCAAAAGAAGGTCACAGGGTAGGAGCCCCCATAATGGAACCTATGGGCCAAAGTTCGGTCTTTCTCTGCCACTTCTAACCCCCGAAATCTCAAAGCGAAAGCAGCGCTCATCTCCTGTCCTCTCCGAACTCGCCCACCCCATGGACGAGTGTTTTCCACGGTCAGAGCGCCAGCCGCAATGCTATAAGCATGAGGTCCCGCAACGACTCTGCGTCTTCGCCATGACGGGCTCAGCGTTCACTCGTCCATGGGGTGGGCGGGTTCGGAGAGGACAGGAGATGAGCGCTGCTTTCGCTTTGAAATTTCGGGGGTTAGAAGTGGCAGAGGAAGATCGAACTTTGGCCCATAGGTTCCATTATGGGGGCTCCTACCCTGTGACCTTGTTTTGCCACGGGTCTCGTTCTGCCGACGCACTGCCTTTAAGAAACCGTCGTGTTTTCTTGGATCTTGTATTCTGTTTTCAGGTTCTGAGAAGAGAGAACAAGCTAAAAGCCAGTAAATACTGGATTTTTGTTCCTACAAGCGTAAGGTCAGGCTCTTTTAATCTGCAATATCCAAGAATCCGGCGCAGGAGATACTTGCTGATGTTCAACAACGTGTTCTATAGGTCGGCTAGGTGGCTTTCGCACCTCCCGGTTGAAACCACTAGTGCAGAGAGTAGTCATGTTTTCAGGAGTAGACTGAGAAGGCTTGATTTGTCAAGTATCGCTAACACTGATTAGTGTTGCATGACAGGGCGAGCCTTCTGCATTAGACCTTTTGGGCTTCCATTTAGATGCTTTGGACGTGCTATGATGGCAGATGGAATCGCTTTGGGCTTTATTTTCTATCAGCTTTCTTCTCCATTTTACCTCTAAAACCTGTCTTTTCAGGTGCTCGTTGATCTTGCATTGACTTGCGGGTTACTCATGGCTACTCAGTTACGGCTGTAAATTATTTCTTTGACGCCTCTCGTGTATCTCCTCACGTTCCATCATACTTGTATTTTCGGTGTACTCGTTTTGTCCTAGTTACCAACACAGTTTCATCAGCATCTTGGTCCGAGTCTTTTCCGCTCAGCTATCTAGTATTCAATCGAACAGCTTGCTTTTTCAACAAATGGATTGAATGTGAATTGTTTCACCTTTGGGGTCATTGGGCCTCCCCAGCATTCCGGCTAGGTTGGGTTATGGTAATTATTATACCTGTGCCAGTAGACCTGCCTTATGAGCTGCCAATTGCTTTTAAGAGTAACTAAAGATCGTTCCGCTGGCAACGAGGGGGCATGCGTCCCATCTCCATGGATTCAAAGTTTTGGAGTTATAAATCTCAATGCCTACATCTGCATACTTATCTATTAGCCTATCAACATATTCAGTGCAAGCTGTTTCATCTTCTCACATTAATGTGATTAGGATCAGACTCGGACTGACATGATGATGTCTGCATTCGTTTAAATTTCTTGTTCGCTTCCGCTGTATTACTACTTCTTGATGTGTCTTTTTTTCATAGAACGCCTTGAGCGTAAAAATGAAATGAAATGAAATGTCTGCTTCTCATAGGATGCTGTGCTATTTTCATGCTCCACCTGAAAACAAAACAACAAGTCATCCTAGTGGAAACTTCGTGGTTTGGCTTAAAAGGCTTAAAACAAAATATCCATTAAAAATGGTAGTCGGTACTTATTTCTTGTTTCATGATTTTGTACGATTGATTGAATAGAGGCATGTAACCGTGACTGAACCATAACATTGTATAATGATTTCGACAAATTAGTACCACTCCAGCGTTTTTTCAAAGTTTTGAGCTAGGTAACGCATTTTATTCCGTGACGTGACCAACTAGGCTTCAAAGAAAACAGGCCCAAAGTTCACAATCGTGTGTATTTTGGCCTTGCCGTACCTAATGGAATGTGGATACAAGATATGCCGTGAAAAATAGAATTTTTTACATTAGATGATTTGTGGTGTAATCTTGTATTCAGCTCACCCGGGTGGAGGAATACGTCGCCGAAAAGGGTCGGTCCCCTCGGTAATTTCCCACAAATACGCACCCTTGTACATGCGCGGAGATGCGTCCCTGCAGGAAACCCGCGCGGGACTCTTCCACATTTGGCGACATATAGTCCTCCATCCAGCTGTTGCTGCCTTCGATTTTCCCACCCTTGCCTCGTCTGTTTGTACATATCCGCGCAAAATCCCAAGCTAATTCTATTGATGATTTGATAAATGATGAAGATGAAAGAATACTAGGAGATATTTTGTCATAAAAGTCCAAACTTCGAAATGATTTTTGTAAAGATTTTTGCACCTGTGAAAAGTGGATGATATTTTTCGTCATAAACAGCTTAGTATGTTCATATGTATCAGAAGTTGCTTGTACATAATAGAATGGAGCGTTTCGTCACGCAGTATTTCCCGCTTTTACCGGCATTTCGGGTACAGTTGTCGTTTTCAGAGAACTGACTGCCGACGTCGCTGTTCGCTCTTTCATATGAGGCTTCTTGAATACTCTTCTGCATATTGGACGCTTTCGTCGAATAAATTTGTCGTAGATAGCCCAAAGAATGTCGTACACCTAGGAGATAAACAATCAAAAAATTGAGGCTTTATCCGCCGAGCTCGTCTCAACCTCCGGATTTTCCTTTCTTAGCGCCCAAAGTGCCTCGAGCTTTTCCTTGAAAGTCTTTGACTTGTCGTCGAGGATTGCAGTCTTTTTAATAAACGTTGCGTTTAGTTCACCAATGATTTTGGCGACTTTAGCCCATACTTCCTTTCTTATTTCATCCCTGACTGTCTCGATTTCCGCCTTAGACGTAGCGAAATTCTTATTTATCTTATGGAAACAACAGCATGCAGAACTTGCCTTCTCTGTCTCACTGAGACTCTCGTATTTTTCAAAATGTGGCCTCTTCGGAGTGAACTGCTCGAAGATGAACTGCAGAACGCGATACACCTAGAAGAAGAGAAATCAGTCAAGTTTCCATTTTATCCCTTTGCTCTTAACCTTCGGATTCTTCCTAGTTAACTCCAAAAGTGCCCTCAGCTTTTCTTTGAAAGTCTTCGACTTGTCGTCGATAATCGCAATCTGTCTGTCCAACGCCTCGTTCAGCTCACCAGTGAGCTTTGTTACCTTTGCTCGCATTTCCTTATTTATTTTCTCCCTCTCTATGTTTGCAAAATCACCTCTCCATATGTAGAATTGATTGAACTGCTCAAAGAGGGTCCTTACAACGGTGTACGTCTACAAAAAGGAAGGGCAATAAAGGATATTTATCATTTAGGTGTGCCTCTTTTGACCTTTCCTTTCTCCCTCATTAAGTTCAAAAAAGCATCAAGCTTTTTAGGGATAGCTTTTGTTATGAAGTCGAGAATAACACTCTTTTTCAACATTGGTTTCAGTTCACTGATGAGCTTAGTGGCGTTTGCCCGAGCCTCCTTTTCTATTTCCTTCCATCTTGCCTTAAATATTGTCCATACGGTGTTTATAAATCGCAATCACCGTGTCCGGGCAAAACTTCGATTTCTAGGTATTTCAAGCTTATTGGCTTTTCAAAGTCACGTCATGAGGGGCGAAAAACGACAAAAACGCAGCTGGAATCACTCTGAGCATGGAAGAAGCGGGTACAGAGCTCACAGCCCTAGATCGCATATCCGCAGAGCCTATCTTCTACGCAGTTTCACTGCACAAAACTACAATCTCTCTGCTCCTTATGCCTTCTCGCTGGACTTGTGTAACCAAAGCCTTTCTGCATACCTCGGAAATCTCAGAGCCTCCAGCCAGGTCCTGGCAGCAGCTGGAACGAGGCAAGCTGGATATCGTTCTTAGGACATAAAGCAAAGGGATGTCGTTTTTGTGGACAAATTTCGACGTTTTTTGGTTGACGTTTTTTTTCGTGAGGTTTTTTACGTTTAGAATTTAGGGTCAAATGGGACTTCGTAAAACATAGCGAAAATCAAGGGAGACTTCGTTCTGAACCTGCCTGGTGCCAGCTGGTGCCGAGCCCTGCCCCCAACTCTTCGCCCGGACACTGCTTGCAAAGAACAAGATCACATATGCGAAACTTGCCTTTTCAGTTTCATTCAGATTCTGCTTATCAAGAAAATGTTTTGGAACGAATTGCTCGAAGATGACCCGCAAAATTTTGCTGGCCTAGAAAACCAAGGATCAATCAGACAATTAAATAAATCTCTCGCGTCTCTTACCTTCGGATTCTCCTTTTGTAGCTCCCAAAGAGCCTTGAGTTTTACTGCAGGAGATTTTGACTTGTCGTCAACAACCGCAATCTGCTTGTTCAACGCCTCGTTTAGTTCATCAACAAGCTTGTAAACGTTTGCCCGCACTTCTTTTATTATTTCCTCTCTTGCCTTCTTAAGTCCCGCCTCAAATAATGCTTATTACGTGTTATAAAACAATAATCATATGTATAGATCAGTGGCGGACCGGAGGGGGGAGGGGAAGGGGAGAAGCCCTCCCCGAGAATGGGTTGCGAAATTTTTGAAAATTACTTATATGGGTTATAAAAATGCGCAACTGACTTGTTTATTCTTTTTAAACAATTGAAATAATTTTAAAAAATTTTTAAAAATTCAAATTAGCCCTATAAAAATTTTTTTCGGGGCCCCTTTTTTCGGATTCTAGGGGTTAGGGACCCGCGAAAACTTTGAGAAGCACCTCAAAAAATTTTTCGGAGCCACGGCGTCAGCCACGCACCTTCATTGAAATTTTTTTATATAAAGCTGGCAATCCTTCCCCCTCCCCCGGACGGACTCCTAGGACCTCCACTGGTATACAGCTGTCCCAGTGATAGCGTTTTCCTGTTCTCGCGGCCGGACCGCTCAGGATCGGCAGCGCATTTGCGAAGGTATCCTCTAGACCTTTTCCACACCTGAGCGGCGGCTTTAAACAAGAGTGGAAAACTGTCCGAAGCATACGGTCGCAAACGCTGACAGTGGGAACCGAGGCGGCCGCGAAAACTCTAGTAGATGGATTGACATACAAATCTTCTCAATATCTTCTCATTTTCGCTGAGAGAGGTACCGTGTAGAACACCTCCACAAAGAACCACAATGTAGAGGATAATTTTCATCCTAAAAAAGGTTCAAATATGGAAGAGATTTTTAACAAACTACAGGCTGAATCCCGAGACGTGTGTGCGTGCCCTTATATGCAAGTTTTCTTTTGTCTTCAGAGAAATCGTTTTTTGCTAATCGCTTTTTATCGCTAAATTCTAAATTTCATGTATGCATAAAAAGCATGCTGTTTTAGTGCCGCTGACGTGTAATGCGCTCAATCGTATTTTTTTCATATCGAATTAATGTTCGAAGAAAGCTGGCTTGTCCAAAGTCTCAGAGCAAATGGTCGAGATATTTTCAGATCAGAAGCGTGGGATTTCGATAACGCTCGCGTCCCTATACATGAGTTTTTCGCTTTTTTGTCTGCATGTGAATGAGAGCGAGCATTGTCAATCACAAAGAGCATAAGATTGTCCTACCGCTTCTAGGCGGGTGGTGCACAGTGCTGCGTATAATAATGCTGCCAGAAGTGCCTTACGATTTCTCATAGCGTCGGAACTGCGATGCAAAAGTGCATAGGAAACTTCTTGCAAAGAGAGTATGTTCCACTGTCTCAAAAAATCTTTTCCGAAAGGCGTATTGATACATACCGCTCCAGATTTGAGTTTCGCACGCACGATCTCCTTATCCAATGGCTCAGACGTTCACTATGAAGTTACATCTATTGTTTGAATAGAAGAAGCGAGCATGCAGGTTTTATTACCGCAGAATTTCAGGGTAGTTCCATTCGAAACTCCGAGATTGAAGTTTCAAAGACGAAACTCAGATATAACTCCGAGTTTCGTCTCTTTGAAACTCGGAGTTTTGCTTATTGAAGCTCTGAGTTCCGCCTGTAAAGTTCCGCTCTCAAGGTCGGAGTTTCTTTATGTTGTTTGAGGAGCTGTTACGCATTTTGCTGCAAAAGCGACGTTCAAGCTGGCACTCGAACATTTTCGAGTTCCGGAATGATGCTATCACTAAACCGCTGAGCCATGACACCCCTAAAGCTGCTTTGCCATAATGTGCTCATTGCATTAACACAAAGCATGTCAGAACATATTATATCAAAGCTTCACTCATTTTCGTTTCTATCGAGAAGTGGTGGTTCATTGCACGGATTCTTTTGCGCATCTGAAAACTTTGATCAAGAGAGCGGATGGCATATGTAATGATAAGAACGGATTATTAGGATTTGTGCACAGAATAAACCCGGACAAACTTTGGCTGCGATTTGGCCTACTTAACGTAAGGTATCCCGCTAGATCGCAGCACCGCGCGAAGAGTTTTGTTAACACGTTTCGGACCGGTGTTGCACATGGTGCAGCACGCACCTTTGAGAGATCTTTCTAACGTTTACAGGAGGTTTTCTTTTTGCCCAAGGTTATCAAGTCAAAGGCCTAAGCGTCTTCTTATCAAATGACTCTGTAGATCTATACCGCCGATATTTGTTTAGAAGATATGAGCACAAATTGAACAACAGTCGCAACGAAGTGCGGCAACGCGGACGACGCGTGCGACGTCGCAACTTTTCTTTGCTTCGAATTCAAAGAGAAAAACCGTAGTTTCCATAATGATGTGTATGGTGTACAACATAGATGCTTTTGGGTACATTTAGAAACTGAGTTCTTGTTCCTGTCTTTCAAGAAAGCACAAAAGCTTTTTTAGGCGACAAAATTCAAACATTTCGAATTCACTCAGAACTTTGGGTATGGATCTTATCTGACATGCTGGTTACAGATGTAGCACACAGTCTACGAATTAAGGCCCCTTTAATGGCTAACGGCTGAAAGCACCCTCTTTTTCGCCGCGCGCGATTTCGCGGTCCGAAACGTGTTAATTTGTGGGTGGCGCGCCGAGACCTCACTGTGTCAAATATTAGGCATGTTTGTGACTTCATCCCACTTACCGTATGCCGCATAATCGCTCCAAATGACACTACTATACGTAGTAAATAGACCGTTTATGACGTGGGCCTTAATATTTTCAGTGTACCAAGTTTCGGCTAATATCTGCTCCAAGACGAAGGCGGTCGCCCAAATAGGTTGAAAGCTGCAAGGCCGCGGCGCGCGGGCAATTGTCAACCACAGGGCGCGCGCACGCTCGGTCAGCGGTCATCCGCGCGAGCGTGCGCGCGTCCCGCGGTTGACAATTGCCCGCGCGCCACGTGCGCGTTAGCCTTGCATGCTCTCAACCTATTTGGGCGACCGCCTTCGTCATGGAGGAGATATTATTAGGTTGGATACTAAGTTTTGCAACTGGTCTCATAACTTCCCTCTCACTCAACATGGCGCACTCAAATTTTGCCACTGCGTTGGTTTTCACGTACGCTACAAGCGCACTGCTGTCCTACCAAATTCTGACGTCGCAGTGAGGGTTGCGGTAGATGCATGGTATGAAGGGGAAAAATTCAAAGTTTGACGGATTTGACTGAAACTTGGCATAGGGGTGTTATCCAACAAGCTGATCACGAAAACGATAGTGAATTTGCGGGATAAGGAGTTTTTTATAGGATTACTGTAGGTGTACGATATGGGGTCTCACCCAAAACAAGGAAAAAGACGTTGATTCAACAATTGAATGTGGTATTCGCGTTTGGCAGGTCAAATAACCTTACCATGTAAAGTCTCGGCGGAATTTGAGCTTCGAACTCTTTAGTCACTGACGGTCGCCCCAGCAGCTCTTGCGTACATCGACTCGTTTGAGTTTATGAGGACGCCAAATCTCGACATGCCCCTAAATTTTGTTTCTTTTTCACTAGGCCAAAGGAATCAACCTCCAGCAATAAATTGTAGACGAATCCGGACTACTGCGCATGGTCTAGGCTGCCAAAGGCTTCATTTTAGCTTGAAACCCCAAAAATTCTCAAATTTCACTAGTTTTCGAAAAACGCCTGAAACTTTTCTATTTCGCGTTCAAATTTTAGACAATTTGTGTTCGCTTGTAGCACACATTGCCTTCTACATAATGTCAAAGTTTGAGTGCGCCATATCCAAAGAGAGCGAAGTTATGAAACCAGTTGCAAAACTTAGTTTCCAGCCTAATAATTCCGTCGCTTAACTCACCTAACATACACCTACCGTAACCTTTTCAGATGCCACCGCAGTATCAATTAAATACCATATTTGTGATCGGCGGTCCAAATAACCACACCGCTCCATGTTTCGGCCAAATTTATGATTTTCTCCTGTCTACCATAGATCTACCGTAAACCGGCTTTATGACCACAAGGGAAAAAAATAAATACCATATTCGTGATCAGCGCACGCCTATTATACAAGATTTCAAAATTTTGTAAATAACGGCGCATCACGATACCACCACCATGCCAGCTAAAATTACAACCAAAATGTACCCCGGAGGACTTTTTAGCTGCTCCTCTTCTTTTGTGCTCTATTTCTCTATATCTGACCAAACTCAGAGTTATCTCTAAGTTTTGATGGACTGGAACGCGCAGCAAATGTTGTCGCAGACCTCAGTTGCGCATTTCGTGCGCAGTTTCTTGTGCAAAAATTTATAGAGATTTGGGCAGTGTTTCCCTACTAGGGGTGAATAAACTACTGGTTACGGAATCTCCTGTGATGCCATCGCTTTCCAGATCTAATCCATTTAAGCACCTGTTGAGAGGGTCAAAAAGATGAGCGTTAGCTCAGTAACTCAAAGTTAACTCAGAGCTATAACTGCGAGTTTCGACAGGTTCAGCATCGACCCAATTAGATTTTAAGAAAGCTATCCGACGAATGTCAGCTTCTCAAATTCATTTTTCAATATTAATAACTCAAATTTTTTACATGCTTTTTCAAGGTGACTTGGCAGCCTTTGACTTCAAGTCGGAGTACCACCACTTCAGAGTTTGTTACGATCATGTAATCACAATACCCTGATTAATAGCCAGAAAAAGTTTATCAGTTCTTGTCTCCAGTTTTGCCTCTTCTCCGCGGAACCCTGATCACTGAGATTTTTCGTTCATTTATCAAGAAGTGGATAAGCACAATTGGCAACCAAAATACAGCGTTACCTAATTAACGCTGCCATCTCATAGCATTTATGCGGCCCGCTCACAGAAACCCTGCCTCCCGTTCGGTGCCAGCTTGATGGAGTCGCTGCCTCGTCATCGCCTTTTGGCTGCCTTTGAAGCAATGAATGCGCTCTGCAGCTATTTTCTGACTTATGGGAGATTACAGCTGCCCGCAGGTAACCCGTCGCTGCCCACTCACTGCAAGTTTTGCAGTATCGCCGCCCGCTCACTGAAACTGCTATTTATTGCCGCCTTACCATAGCTGTTGATTTGCTGAGTAATGGTTCCTTTCTGAACCATCTACAGTATCCTGCAAAGTACCGCGCTTTAGAAGGCAGAGCCTTTTCTTGCTAGTGTGGTCATTCCGTGTCGAAATCCAACCACCTCAATACATGCACCGAAAAACCTGATTATCACAGCTCCAATTATGGTCAACAATTCAAAATGGAATCTGTACCAGAGTGTAACGGGAGAAATGGTGACCGGTGCCGGGAATGAAGCTAAGCTGTTATGAGAGTATTATTCTCGGAAGTTAATCTTGTCCACTTCGAAAAAAGCTCTTATGAAACTGTGCGTTATGATCAATTTGAAGTCTCAGCACCAACATCAATGAATTTACTACTTAAGCGATAGCGATTGGGAAAGTGCTAGTAAGTATCAACGGATTATTAAGCGTAGTATATCGGTGCAATTGCATTTTCAATCTGGTAGAAAAGTTCTGATCCTATTATTGATGCGGTCTTCTCCCAGTTTTCTCGATGACTGCGTCGAAATTCACGAAGAGCATCAGTTGCTGCTTTCTATAAAAAATTGAGAATTGATCGATTCCATACCAAATACAACTGTCGACTACGTTCGAAAATTAGCTTGCCTGTAACTCTGCGCTATGACTTGTTATAGCACATAGACATTTGAGCAAGGGAATCAGATAAGGAGGTGTAGAAAAAGGATGTGCCATAACAACCGCACCCATGGCTAGTACAGCACCATGCAATGTACATCGAATCTTGCTCTTATAGTATGAATCGATTTTATCCTGCAAATATTTTGTTTTCTCCAAAATATAAAAAAAAGAAGAAGTTTTGATACCTGGAGTTTTTTATCGATTTAGCAAAATCGCAGAAAATCAAAGTTAGCAAACAACGAGATGCTTCAAGACGTACTTCTACCTCAAAATGCATGTCTATAATGTTGTGAGCTTCGTATTCACAGATCTACTTTTGTAAAAGTCTTTTAGGACCAGAGAAGTTGATTAGGAAGGACTGATCTGCACGATTTGAGGGCAAAATAAGAGAGCAACCATTAGTATTTGAAATTCAAACGAGAACTCTTTAATATATCCAGAAGATTGTGTTCTAGTGGAACCCTCATTTCGTATTCTAAGAAATTAGTAAAGTATTACCTACCTGTCTATCTTTTAAGGCCTCAAATAGCAGTTGCATCACATTAGTAGGGGCAGAATAATTCTCTAGTACATAAATAATTGAGAACACCAAAACTTGTATGAATTTGAGCACCGAGACGCGTACGCGCCACTGATAAGATCGATGGAAGGTCTGAATAAGCAGAATCATAAAGAAAAATTTGTCGTGACCTTCGTTTTTCAAACTGACTTTGATGACAACGTCGGGGAAAGATTCAGCAAACTTTACATTGACCAATAGGCTAGACATATACTCATGCACTAACGAGCTAGCATTGTTTCGGATGTCAATGTCTTTGGAGGACTCGTTACTCCTAAAATTGGAGATTTAAGTATCAATCTTGAAGGATCCAGTCAAACTTACTCATTTTCATCCTCATTGGCATCCTCTCCTATAATATAAACCCGATCCCAAAAAACGAGACGGCGAGGATGGTCCGCCCACATGTATGCTTCAGCGGGTGTTTTGAATAGACGCCAGTTTCCGAACGGGGCCTTATTGTGTAGAGACGCGACGGTGCGATCATGAGGTCAAGAGGACGCAGAGGTCCTAGCGCGAGCGAGAGGCCACGACACGCAGGGTACGCTCTGCTGCTGCAATGGGTGTGTTGAAAGACGCAAGCGCGTGCCAAGGGTGTTGAAATTGCGAGCTGGACATTGTTGCAAAGTTAGTTATAGAGGCATACCATTTGATCCGCTCACATTCGATCTCAGTATTTACTATGCTTCCACATTTCCGCCCAATTTTGAGAAAATCTTCGAAAATCTCGCTTTTGGGAGCTTTTGCTCTGGATGAATTCGATTTTTCTCTCCAGGTTGTAAGCGTGAGTACAAGAGTGACATTGCGAAAGGCAAAATTTTAGCACGATATGATCCACTTTTCCGCCAAATTTTGAGAAAATCTCCCAAAATCTCGCTTTTGGAAGCTTTTGCTCTGGGTGAATTCGAATTTTCCCTCCAGATTGTAAGCGTGAGTGCGAGAGTGACATTGCGAAAGGAAGCTGTACAGCGATGACTGGGGCAAGACAAAATTTTAGCACGATATGATCCACTTTTCCGCCAAAATTTGAGAAAATCTCCCAAAATCTTGCTTTTGGGAGCTTTTGCTCTGGGTGAATTCGATTTTTTTTCTCCAGATTGTAAGCGTGAGTGCGAGAGTGACATTGCGAAAGGAAGCTGTACAGCGACGACTGGGGCAAGACAAAATTTTAGCACGATATGATCCACTTTTCCGCCAAATTTTGAGAAAATCTCCCAAAATCTCGCTTTTGGGAGCTTTTGCTCTGGGTGAATTCGATTTTTCCCCCCAGACTGTAAGCGTGAGTACGAGAGTGACATTGCGAAAGGAAGCTGTACAGCGATGACTGGGGCAAGACGAAATTTTAGCACGATATGATCCACTTTTCCGCCAAATTTTGAGAAAATCTCCGAAAATCTCGCTTTTGGGAGCTTTTGCTCTGGGTGAATTCGATTTTTCTCTCCAGATTGTAAGCGTGAGTGCGAGAGTGACATTGCGAAAGGAAGCTGTACAGCGAGGACTGGGGCAAGACGAAATTTTAGCACGATATGATCCACTTTTCCGCCAAATTTTGAGAAAATCTCCGAAAATCTCGCTTTTGGGAGCTTTTGCTCTGGGTGAATTCGATTTTTCTCTCCAGATTAAGCGTGAGTGCGAGAATGACATTGCGAAAGGAAGCTGTACAGCGATGACTGGGACAAGACAAAATTTTAGCACGATATGATCCACTTTTCCGCCAAATTTTGAGAAAATCTCCCAAAATCTCGCTTTTGGAAGCTTTTGCTCTGGGTGAATTCGAATTTTCCCTCCAGATTGTACGCGTGAGTGCGAGAGTGACATGCGAAAGGAAGCTGTATAGCGATGACTGGGGCAAAACAAAATTCTAGAACGATATGATCACTTTTCCCCCATTGAAAATATCTCTGAAAATGTTACTTTTGAGCGGTTGTGGCAATACATGTACTGATAAATTGAAATTTCACTTGAGAAAATTATAGGTATGAAAGACGTTTATTTATGGATGTGCCCTACCCGCTTGCTAGCGACCCGTAGGGTCGCTAGTCTTATATATAAAGCTGAATGTGTGTCTATATGCCTGTACGTATGTGCGGAATAGAAATTTTTATTTCTGAACCGATTTGGACCAAACTTGGCACACATATACTTCGGTGCGGGGAGCGTGTCACAGGCTATTTTTCGTTATCGATCGATATCGATTTTATCGATTTTTTGCAAAATTTGAGCTACGGGGCTGGGAGTTGGCACAGGGGGGTAATCGAGCATGCTGATTACGAATAAAATAATGACAGGGCCGGGCGGAGCCGGGTAAGCCAGCTAGTACTCTATAAGCATAGGGAATAGGGAGATGATGCCAGGTGTCAAGCATGTCATACAATCATCGTAGTATTGTAGCAGAAACTCGAGCAATGTTCTCAAATAAATCTGCGGCTGAACCGTCACTTGAGCGTTTTGCGCGAAAAGGACATTGGCTGAAGGAATTATTTACCTCCGCATTGATACTTTCTGAAGCTGCTGGTAGCATGCGCTATGCAATGTTTGGGTACGGTCCTTGGCTGAAACACGCTCTAAGAATTTTGTAACGGACAGACAGACAACCACACACAAAAAAACACGTAAACAACTCTTAGCCCGTTATTATAAAATCTTGATGATTAATCACAAAAGCCAATCTTGTCCAGCTCGAAAAAACAGCTCTTATGAAACTGTGACTTATAATCGACTTGTAGTCTCAACACCAACATCGATGCATTTAATACTCACTTAACACTGCAAATAAAATTTTTAAATAAGCGATAGCGATTGGGAAAGTGTTATGTGGTATCAAAGAAGTATTAAGCGTAGTATATCGGTGCAATTGCATTTTCAATCTGATAGATGAGTTCTGATCCTATTATTGATGCGGTCTTCTCCCAGTTTTCTCTATGACTGCGTCGGAATTCACGGAGGGCATCAGTTGCTGCTTTCTGTAACACCAAGAATAGATCGATTCTATACCTCATACAACTGTTGAGTACGTTTGAAAATTAACTTGCCTGTAACTCTGCGCTATGACTAGTTATGGCACAAAGACATTTGAGCATGGGAATCAGATAAGGAGGAGTAGAAAAAGGATGCGCCATAACAACCGCACCCATGGCTAGTACAGCACCATGCAATGTACATCGAATCTTGCTCTTATAGTATAAGTCAATTTTATCCTGCAAATATTTTGTTTGCTCCAAAATACAAAACACAGAAGAAGTATTTGGTACCTGGAGGTTTTTATCAATTTTAGCAAAATCGCAGAAAATTAGAGTCAGCAAACAACGAGATGCTTCAAGACGTACTTCTACCTCAAAATGCATGTCTATAATGAGTTGTGAGCTTCGGATTCACAGATACTTTTGTAAAAGTCTTTTAGGACCAAAAAAGTTGATTAGGAAGGATTGATCTGCACGATTTGAGGGCAAAATAAGAGAGCAACCATTAGTACTTGAAATTCAAACGAGAACTCTTTTATATATTCAGAAGATTGTGCTCTAGTGGAACCCCCATTTCGTATTCTAAGAAATTAGTAAAGTATTGCCTACCTGTCTATCTTTTAAGGCCTCAAATAGCAGTTGCATCACATTAGTAGGAGCAGAATATTTCTCTAGTACATAAATATTTGAGAACACCAAAACCTGTATGAATTTCAGCACCGAGACGCGTACACGCCATTGATAAGATCGATGGAAAGTCTGAATAAGCAAAATCATTGAAAAAAATTGCCTTAGGGGCTTTGTCTTTCAAACTGACTTTGATGACAACGTCGGGAAAGGATTCAGCAAACTTTACATTGACTAGTAGGCTGGACATATATTCATGCACTAATGAGCTGGCATTATTTCTGATGTCAATGTCCTTGAAGGATTCGTTACTTCTAAATTTGGGGATAAGTATTCAAACTTAAAAATCCACAATCGAGCTTACTCATTTTCATCCTCATTGGCATACTCTATAAGCATTGGGAATAAGGAGATGATGCCAGGTGTCAAGCATGTCATACAATCATCATAATATTGTAGCAGAAACTCGAGCAGCGTTCTTAGATAGATCTGCGGCTGAAAAGTCACCTGGATTTTTGACTAGAAAAGGATATTGGCTGAAGGAATCACTTACCTCCGCGTTTATACTTTCTGAAGCTGTGGCCAAAGATTTGAATTCCTTTTCCGATGAAGAAGGCTTGATCTCTGCATCTGATGTACTACGCTGCGTCGGATCAGTTTTTATGACGGATGTCTGAGATTGTTTTGGCGGAGAAGTGTCTATACTAGCAAGTACGTCTATCTGTAAACACAACGTCAGTCGAGCTTTTTTCGGTTTTAACAGGCCTTCAACCTTATTTTCGAAACGTTTGAGCCAAACATCTATAGGTTCCAGCTGGAATCTTTTTGGTAAACTTTTGAGATCATTGTTCATATTTGCTTCTAGAACTGTACAGACATATTTCAGAGACCTGCAATGCAGTTCATAAAAGGGTTAGAACGCATCCATCTGCCAAGATTTATGAAGGTCGTACACTTAGACATTATCCCAGTCCCAAAACTAAAGTCTAGAGAGCCTAGATAGAAGTGACATGCTCATTACCAGGCTGAGGATCATTTTGCATAGTAAGGGTTTTATGTGGTTACAGTAGATATACCGCAAGAACCAAAATCACAAAATTTAGGAAAGGCGGTTTGACAAGTCATTTACAGTCAGATTTCCTTTATGTGACTCTGAATGATTGTGTTTGATCCCGCTGTAAAACATAGATATGATATTCGTAATGGGTGTGGTTTTCTTCCAGCTACTTCAGAATCTCAATGGGGGGGGGTCAGAATACTGTCATGGTCTTTTCAGCAGTCGATTTGAAGGAATCGAAGACACGCTTACGCTGATATTCCTAAACGTTGGGTTTCAATGGTAGCTTTGGGCAGACTTTTCCAAGCGATGTGACAAATTCTCTTGCGCGTTTCGGTCTCCCGCCAATCAGTGGCCAATAAGATCTGAGAGCGACTGAAAGAATTTCTCACTTGCTTTTCTTTTGATTATGATCAATCACTTACATTCCCTGATGCCAAGCGGTAGGTGCTGGACGCGTCATACTAGCAAGCAGACGTTCGATAAGCCACCAAAATCTTCTAGTGTCATCACGTTGGAGCACCTATCATGACCAGCGATTTCACACACAGTCATGAATAGTAGGTTCGAGGGTCATCATAATGTTTTTTGTACAACAACATTTGCACGTAAACAATAAATATTCTACTATATGACTATTTCTCTCGCAAGTCGCGTATTCTGTGCAAAATTTGGGCAAATCGCGGAAATTCGTAGAGCAAGCGCGACATTTGTTTTCGCGAAAATGTTGTCGTCGCCGCAAGGGCACTATATTCACGTCAAGTTTGCAGGTACTTACATCTGTGATACAACTCTGCCAAGCCGAATATGCATCCGCATTCATATGATCGTACAAGCGATCTACAGCAGGAGCTAACCAACTCCACAGCTCGTTTAACTTCTTAAAACCAAGATATTTTGTGCCTTTGCAGGTCCCGGTAAAGATTTCTGCTGCTAGTCTTTGCTCGGCTCTCTAAAAAAATTTTTGAAAATTTTTGGAAAAGAAGTAAAGGTAAACAAAAATGCCAAATACCTTTCTACTTTTCATCAGTCCAGCTAAGGTTTTGGTGACTTTGTTGTATATGATAGTGCTATCGGGAAAATCTCTCAGCAGGTACTGCGAAAAATTCATCCAGCTTCGTTTAAGTTTTTAGTAGTTAAAACTAACTTTTATCATCCACACCGTATTATCATTCACTTCTTTGCTATCGTGCTTTTCAATAAGGAGCAAGCTGATCCATTTGTCGAAGAATGCTTCGTTTTCAAAAGCTTCAACTATAGCTTTTTCGCTTTCGTTTAGAGGTTTGCGATCCAGCTGCGATTGGGAAGCGTATACAACCACGCTTATTGAGCTAAGATGACTTTTTATTCAATGCCTCAAAAAATGTAATTCTCACAACTCACTCTGGCCACTGATAGCTACCGAACTGTTTTGAAAAGAACACGGTCTTATTCCATTTTTCTTCGGTTTTAGGCAAATTCTGAGAATCGTAGACTAATGGAAGATTGTCTTGGCGAAGTCCACATTTGAGAAAGACGTCTTCTGCCTAAACCAATCTTTTCAAAATTATTGACATTCCCCTGAAGAAGAAAATTGAAAATCCACCTTTTTTGGACATGTCCACTTCATCCTTTTCGTTTTTGGTTTGTTCTTCTTCAACCAGAATGATAGTTCGTCAGCACATCTTTCACGCAAGAATTCCTCATCGTCCACAAATTTACCCAGGAGAATCTTGAAGAAGATTTTATTCTAATCTTTTAACAAAACGAAAAACAAAACCTTTATGGTTTTCAATCCACATTTCTCCTTCTGACATCGCCAAAGCATTGCACGACACAACTTTATCCTTGTGTGTAATAAATCTTTCCTGGCATAAAGTCCCAATAACATCTCTACAAGTGCCTCCTGCTCCCTGAAAAATCTTTTATTCTCTGGAGAAGGACGTTACTTGCATTATTTAAACCTCACTTCTTATTCGCAGTCCTCCGTTCTGCTCTCAACTTTATTGTCGCTTCCAAAACTTTTGGATCTCCAAATTTCGCCCATTCTCCACTTTTTGGAAGCTTATCAAGCCATAGTTTGCAAAAATCGTTAATCTTCTTGCATTCCTAGAAAGTTTCAATATTAGCAGAATTACCATGCGATTTGCCTTACGTAATGCTTTCGAGCTGGTTTTTGCATCTTTCCAATCTCATTCCACAAATCGTCATACAAATCTATAACTTCTGGATAATCAACCACCTAAATCAGGTAGATTTTGAAGCTTTTCGCGGTTTTGTTTTCAAGACCTTCATCTCGATGATTGCTTTCCAAACTTTTTTCTTTGTACCGACAGTGCTTGCTGTAGCCCAACTTGATTGTGAAATCATGCAAAGGGCACCCTGAAATCGCACTTTTGTTGTGACGCATCGCTCCCTCTGTGCCATAATGGCGATCGAGGAATGGGGGCGGAGGGGGGATGGACTGGGAAGTTTGTGGAATTGGTCCCCATGAGTAAAATTATCCATGAACTCTTTGTAGTAGGAGATATAACAGTTTTTCGAATTTCCGAAGACTCAAATTACCTTGTTGGAAGAAGATCTTCGCGGACCTGGCTACCGTCAAGCCCCTTTTGAAGTTTCGGAGAATTAGGCTAGCAGAAATTCAAAAAAAAAAGCATCCCATCAATTTTCCGCAAGTGCAAGCCACCTTCTTTAATCCGGAAAATTTCTATCGTTCTCGCCTTCTCCCCCCCCCCCTCGAAATAACTTCTCGGACCGCCGCTATTCTAACCATACCTTGAGATGATCTCTTGTGCTGTTCGGATCGCTCAATGTGGGCAATATATCGTCGACAATTGTCTCCTTAGCAATTGCATACTCGGAGAATAAAGAAGACAAAACTGAACGCGCCTCTCCTCGGACCTGAAATTCAAAATTCTTTCGTTGTATTGTTTTGGGGTTGGACTAACCTCAGAGTAATCATTTATCGTTAGGCCTGCCAGCATATGAAACACTTTTAGGTGAAACAAAGTAAATGCTCGTTCGGGAGATTCAACAACAATGCGCTGAAATACAATCTCCGATTATTTTTGGCTTTTTTACACCTCTGCGGTGCTACCGTATTTTGATCTATAGACTTGTCACAGCCAAGAGCAATTTCAAACCAGTGTAGATTAATTTGACTAATAGGACTCATTATGTAAGAATTGATTAGGTAATCTCAACTTTAACTTGACTTTAATTTTCCTGCAGCTCATATGACTTCATTTCCAGCCGAAAAGCTTAACACTGAACTCCTGCCCACTACCGTAATCTTTTCTGACAGATCAGATCTCGCACCTAAGGTGGGCTGGAGTTTGATGCCGAATTCCCCGGTCATGAAGATTTGTATGAGCCGGCGCCCAAAAACTGCTTATAGCTAAGAGCGCATTCATAAGAAATCTGGATCTTTGACTTGCTTTAACTTTGCCTCAGTTAACCTCGAGTCACTTGTAACTTAATATGTGAGACTGCACACTAAACCCTATTAGCGACGGCACCCTTACGGCACCATGGTAACTTCAAGGTGAACTCAACTTTTTCTAGCCTAATAAAGTGTGGAAATGTGTTCTATTGACTAACATATAATTAACAAAAATAAATGAGATAAAGAAACAGAGAAATCACCGTAACTGGGGTTCTAGTCATACAGTTTGTCAGTTAGCATGTATAGTGTGCATTACGCATATTAAGTTAAGAATAACTAGACGATACATGCTCAAGACGTTGCTTCCTACGGTAGTGGCCAACAGGACGCTTGCTTAGGGCTTAATTTAGAAATTGCTAACCATATGCGAAACATATGCTTGAGATTCCAATACAAAGATCTGGACTTTTCTCGAGAGTGGGGTCGTTAAATAGTTGTAAATATCCGAGTGTTCGCCTGAGGCTATGTCCAGTTGGTGCTGAAACGCAATATTTCTTGGAAGGAATAAGCAGAGTATAGCTTGTTTCACTCACCGAGTCGGTATAGCTTGTTTCAATCAAGTTATGAAGTATCCGGCATATACCAGCTAAAACTTGTGTGTGCTCTCGTTTGGACGTCACTAATCGTTTGATGACCTTTTCTAGTATATCTACAAGTTCTTCGCGAAAGTTTCTGCCCGAAGGGTGAGGTATATCTGTAAGGTTCCCATGATTTACATTAAAAAGAAAATGAGAATTAAGGAAGCAGAAAATTGCACCCCAGTTGACTATAGAGGGATTTCCTATATCGGCCTTGAACCACGGTAAAACGGTATTGGGTGATTGGAAAGGTGGAGATGACGGCATTGGAAAACATGTTATAGATCCGCTTAAGCCATAGCTCAGTACGGTAAAAGCTTTCTTCAAAGCGTCTCTGAAATAAATTTCATTTTTTGTAAGAAATAGCTGATTTTTCAACGATTACCTATCCATTTTTTCATCTCGTAACGAGTCAGCCACAGGGAAGACAAATTTCTCCAAAAGTGACTTTACCAGCTTTTTCCCTGGCTCACCAGGGACATACCAAGCCATCTTCGCATCTTGAAGTTCATACAGTATGGCCCATTCCTGAAACCAGCAATTCAGCTGACCAGATAAGATTTTGATTTGAACAGCCTTACTCGCACAGGAACCCATTCACTAAGTGGTCGATTTAGACGATCGCTGATATATCGCGAGTTCTCTGGATATATCCGAGATAGCATATATAACATATACCAAAGTCCTATCGCTCCATTCTAAATTATGGGTATCACAGAGATGCCTAGTTTATTTATAGAATTAAGCTTACACTATAAGCGACTTTATTTTTGCAAGCTACAAGTAGACCAATCATTTCAAAACATACATCCTTATTTTGAATGTAGTTCTGTAATACAGGTTGGAAATTGCAACTCATAGACCACTTTCACTTACTTCACTGGTTGTGGACAACAACGATCCAGCCAATGTAACAAACCATTGTGTAGAAGTTTCCAGTTCTTCAGCAGCTTGTGCTTCAGCTGGAACACCAAACTTGTTAGGCTTTGGTGTCTTATATAAAAACAGGGAACCTAGCGGCTCTCTTAGTTGCGAGCAAGCCTTACAAAAACGCTAATTTGCAAGATCAATTCAGGAAATGCTTTGATGTCTACAGATAAGCAATAAAATTTTAGGGGTGGGGAGAGTACTGAGGGTGTGTATCTTGATGGTATGCATCAAGAAGCACTTCATAAGGGTAGCCTTTGTAAGGAGAGCTTCGTGGTATACTGTGGAAACAAGTGCTGGGCAGGTGGTGTTGATAATTTGAGAGGCAGGCGGAGAAGTGCTGCTATAGTACAGCGCAACGGAATACTTGTTGACCACTTCTCCAGCACTTCCAATGTTCTCCCTTAACTTGGTCGCCTTCAAAACACTGGCCCATAGCGACCCCGGGCATGTGGTGATGGATATCGTGGTTTTTCTCTGAACTGTGAGTTCCCCTTTTGACGATCGAGGCCTATCACAGCTTGTCGCAAATTGTCTTCCCCAAAGAGTTCGCTATCGCCTCGCAAAGGGTTCTAAACGCTTCCTCAAGATACCTCATCTTGCACATTGGTCAGTCTCAACTGACGCAACTGCAAACTTGTGAGCGTTCGGTTCCAGCGTCTATCTTCTCAATCCATCAGGCAGCGCTGCCCCAACTCAAAGTGATCAACCACTTCATGGAGGACTGGCCCTGCTGCACACGAGATATCCTGAGGTACGCTCGCGCCTGCACGTCAGCGACGCCGCCTTAAAAGCTCTTCGATACTGTTGACTGGTCGGTTGTACGGGAGTGGGCCCTTCTGCACCGCTAGCCGGGTTGAGGAACGACCTCAATTAGGTACCGCCTCCGCGCGCTGCTGGTCCTTTCATCCTAGCGTTGTGCATCTTATTGGGACCAGCAGTCCGTGGAGGCGGTGCCTAATTGGGGTGTTCGTCCCTTCATCCCCCGCTAGCCTCAGAGCCTAGTTACTGCGCGCCTCTGATAGGTCAGCACTGCAGAGAGCTAGGCTGTCGTTAGAGACGCAGGCACTATAAATTGGACGAGTTACGCAGCACTCTTGTAGAGAAGAATGGAAGAGCTTGAGTTTTACATGGAATTCAATAATTTTACATGTTCACCTCGATACGTTTTCCAGGTTACACGTGCAGAATTTACGGTGGTTTGGAGAAAAGGAGGAAAAAAATCAACCTTTTTAAATTCTTCGAATACAACACCGTCTTTATTGTTCGAAGATGTGCATTCGCTTGCTTTGAAATTCAAATATTTAAAACCCTGGTAGATCAGACGGAGTAACTAACGTCGCTCTGGGGCAGAGTAATCAGCGCTACGACGGAGCGGTGCAGAATGGCATACACCCGTGTACTCTTTCCTTAAAGGCAGCGTCCAGGCAGATCTGAACCTATGGGGCTGCTATGTGGAAAGTACTTTTGGGGCCCTAACTAAGGCACTGCCCAAGCGGCAGCTCAGGTAGTGCTGTAATGGCTGAGATATTCCCCTCGAAACTGGACCCCGCGACCGTGTTTCGCATGGATTCATGGCGCAAAGCGTGGATCCTGGCGCGAAACTGCCATGAATCCATGCGAATACGTTCGCGGGGGTTAGTTTCGAGGGGAATATCTCAGCCATTAGAGCACTGCCTGAGCTGCCACTTGGGCAGTGCCTTAGTTAGGGCCCCAAAAGTACTTTCCAGGTAAAAACCCCATAGGTCCAGATCTGCCTGGACGCTGCCTTTAAGTGTGAGCTGTAGGGATTTGATATCAGGTTGAATAGTGAGCGTATGAAGGCACCGTCCACCCAGATTTTCGACTTTCATGTTTTTGTCGTTTCAGGGCCTTCTCATGTCCCTGATTCCGAATATGAAGTCGAGAATGCGCGAAAACCCCAACAATTCCCGTTCCGGAGAACCCACAGCCGGCTTTCCGGAACGGTGATTGGCTGGGCGCGCACAAAGGGGCGGGCATGGATGGGGTGGGCCGGCATGGATGGGGGTCCTCGTGCATCTCCGCTATTCCGATGCGATTTTCTCGCTTCCAAAGCGGTTGCGCCGCGAATTGGACGTTGGATTGATAGGGGGCCCTACTGTTATATGCTGCCAAAAGCTCAACACCCTCAATTTAGGGTGGACGGTACCTCTAAGTGCCGACGTCTTCAATTGATGCACAGAGCTGCAGCTCCACTGTGGCTCCGATGTGATACTCCATCATGTGCATTATCACTGTAAACAAATCTAATGTGTTCCATCAGTGTGAGGGCTGGCACGATTCTAGTTAGTGATGTACATTAATGTTCAATGTGTCGACGATGAAAGATAGGTTTCACACCGCAGAATACGTGGGAGTTGCTTGGCAAAAACCTCTAGGTGTTCATAGCGCAAGTAACGTGGCAGGCCTAGTAGCATCTTCGCCAGTGTCGCTACCCATCCTGTACGACGAACAGTTTCACGAAGGGTACCTCCCCCTCCTGCATGCCAATGCAAGCGAGCACTACCTATTGATGTGGGGAGCGGGCAACAATCGCGGCACAGCTTTTGGCTGTGGGAAAGAGGGTCAGGACAGGAGCGGAGCTTGTGCCAGGGCTCTGTTTGAGAATACGGTTTCAGCAACATGCGACTGCATTGAAGCAGTGTCAGGGCCCCAATCAAAGCCCCAAACTTGACCGACTGCCTTCAAGCAATTGTGCACTGGCGCTGCATATAACTCTCGATATAAGCATATAGCAGGTTCATACTAAAAAATACTGCTTAAATCCATGCGCATAGTCGTTGCATATTACACGCTAAGCGCGGATTAGAAACCTTGCTCAGTGCCTTGCCCAAATGCTCTGCCTACATGCTCCATAGAGCATCCTTTCCAATAATAATGCTTATTCTTAATTTTACATTGTGTGCGCTCACGGTGCGGCCCTTGTGACTATTATGCTTTGAAGGGGGGGGGGTGGGCTCGCTTCTGCTGCAGTTGTCATATCTGCGCCATTGTAATTTTGCAAGAATCTGCACTTTCTTAACAAAAGCAAGGATAGAAATTCCTGCACTTTATTTCAGAGGCATCGGATGATCTATTTTTAACACTATCAATAGCACTGAAGTTGTTGAATTACAGCACCTGACTTGTTGCTTCGTTCTTGTATAAAAAGAGGTGTCCAACAATCTAGTGCAAGTTCTCCGCCTCTTTGAAGGCACTTCTCTGTCAAACTCACTAGTCTGCCAAAAATCCGAGCCTACATGGAGGTTCTGGCGCGACTTGTCTGGACTAGCCTCGCCGGAACCTCCATGTTAGGTTCGGCTTTTGACTATTATTCATCACGATTCTCATACGCCAAGCCCTGACCCTGTCAAACAAAAAAAGGGAGTTGCTTGTTTCTCCTTTGAAATAAAAGGGATGCAAAACTGCATGTTGGAATTAGTGGGACAAATGAAAAAGCGCATCGCCTACCAGCAAGGTGGAAAACCCGCATTAGATTGTTTGAGAATGAAGCATTAAGTGTGGGGCAGTGCCCTGTCAAGAAGAATGTGGTCTGATGCGATTCAATAGTGACCATTAGTGTGGCGAGGCATGGACTTCCAACTAAGTTTTCAGGCTTCCAATAACTTCCAAAGCGAAAAAGCCCTCTTATTAGGTACACAATCTTGACTACGTTCTTCTGAAGGTTATTTCAAGCTTTGCGTGCGCTTTATGACTGCGCATTTGCAGAAACTTGAAATACACTTTTAGTCCACTCAAGTAGTTTCTGATTCGACCCGCCCAGGAAGTCCAAGATTGAGCGAAGACTCATAGTGGATCAGTAAGGGTTTCTTCGAACACGATGAATAAGTCATGATGATTTCAGTCTGAGCAGCAGCTTAGACCGGAGTCATCATGATTTCTTGTCCCTATTGATAACACTTCTATAACGCCAGCTGGCTACAAGCTTCTAAAGTGCTGGCCAAAAGTTTGCAGCTACTCTGAAAAATAGCTATAACTCACTTCGCATTCTACAAAATGAACCCAGATGATAGTATCATGTGCATACTCTACTTTGCAATATGTCAGAACATCTTGCGACTTGAAGCACACGAGGTGATTTTAGAAAATCGGTAGAAATGAGGTTGGCCAAAACCTGCAGCCACTTTTTGTTAGTCGTCTTTGTGTAGTCTCTGAACTTCCAGTACTCGTGCTAAGGATGTATCCATGATTGCTTGAGTGCCCGATAATCAGCTTCACTTTACTACAAAAATGGAGACTGTATGGACCAAATTGATTTGACCGCAAGTTGAGTGTGAAAATCGAAAATAAAGTTAGGTTCTGGACAAGTCATTGACTTGTATATGCTCTTATAAGAGATTTATTAATTGTTTTTCGGAGTCAGTCAGACTGTGTGACAGAAATAGCATTAGTTGGCTTGATCAACTTGACTGTCACGTCTGCTCGGATTTGGCGCACTTTGCAGCTCGGATGTTTGGCGCGGCAGTTCTTAAGAAATTCAAACTCACTGACAAGATTTTTGCTATAAAGACGAAAGTTGGTCGAAGTTGTCAAAGTTCCATGGAGATGATGGAGCCCTTCTTGCCATAGAAAAGCTTGCGCGACTTGCAGACCTAACAATTTCTATTGGTACATTGCAGTTTTCTTGAATGCAAGAATCGCGCAGGCTCTTCTATGGTAAAAACAGCTCCATCACTCCGTGGAACTCTGAAAGCTTCGACCTATGTTCATCTTTGTAGCAACAAGCTTGTCAGCATGAGTTTAAGTTTCTTGGAAACCGCCGCGCTAAACTTCCGCGCTTCAAAGTGCGCCAAATCCAAGCAGATGTAGCAGTCAAGTTGAATTGGGCCAACTAATGCTATTTCTGTCACACAATTTGATTGACTCCGAACAAATAATTGGTAAAACTTTTTATAGGAGCATGTGCAAGCCAATTACTTGTCCAAAATCTAACGATTTTTTTTCGATTTTTACAATCAACTTGCGGTTAAACCAATTTGGTCCATACAACCTCCATTTTTGCACTATGGTGAAGCTGATTATCAAGATTCAAGCAAATATGGATACTCCTTGGCCCGAGTATTGAAAGTTTAGAGACTACACAAAGACGATTAGCATGAAGTGGCTGCAAGTTTGTCCAACCTCATTTCCGCCAACTTTCAAATCACCTCTCGTGTGCATGAAATTGCAAGATATGCTGACACATTGCAAAGTAGAGTAAATCGCATATAATACTACCATTTGGGTTCATTATGTATAATGCAAAGTGAATTATAACTTTTTAGAGTGGCTGCAAACTTCTAGCCAGCACGGTATAATGCAGCATCCTGTTGAAGTGAGTGCGTATCTAATTAGGATTTTCTGCTTGATCGCCCACTCTTGTAGCTCGCTCAACAGGTTGCTGCCAAAATCGAAGGGTTGGAAAGTCTGAAGCGAGTTAGTATATTTATTTTGTAAATACGTACGCGTCAGGAGTTCGCGAAGATTACGGAGAACATGATCAGCAAATGGTAGCCAAAACCTTGGTGATGCCTGAATATCATTTCGGAGCAGTACACTGAATGAGAAAGCAGGAATTTGCTGCAGCTTACGTATGTCATTTGGGAAATCAACGATGATATCATATCTGTTGCGATCTGACTCTCAAACTGGATGGTCTTCACAAACGTTAGGACCTTTTGCGCCAGTTTCTAAACATGACAATTGCATAAACGGTAAGAGTGATGATGTCACTTACTGATGTTATGCAGTCAGCTGTGTTTGTAAACAAAGCAGTGACGCATCTATCTATCGCTTTTTTCAGCACGTGCTCTTCGTCACCCTCTCGCGTTTCTTCATCCTAGAAGAGAATATTTACGACGACACCAAACGAATGGTCAAATGCGCCTTTATACCTTGAAACTTCCAAGTGCCGTCGTTGAGTCTTTAGGGCTCGTGATAGCAAGGCATTGAATAATTTGTAAGATTCTTAAATATTTTACACTGTATCAAAATACTCGCTAGTTATGAAACATACGTACTTATCAAGGGTAAGTTCTGCCAGCACCGGCAATCTAGCTGACAAAATGCACAAGGATTTCTCGTCAGGAGTCAAATCTTTATGGTACTTGACACAGTCCGAATAATCGAGTAGAGGCATTATATAAAAGAGGAGAGTGAGATTCTAAATTCTGACTTCACTATCGACATCAACATTTGCTCTCGTGGAACTTACATGAATAGATATGTTTGCCTTGTTCACATCATTGATATCGATACCAGCAATCAAAATTTCGAAGAAATAAAAAAGATGATATCGAAATGTCGTTAAATTGTCCCTAATTTTCCATTTGTGTTTTACTGACAATTTTTGTATGGAATATTCTAGTAGGGGAGAGTATGCTGGCCTTTGCTGAAACTTTGGTTAATTAGGAAAGTGGTTTCTGAGCTGTTGATATCGACGCAGGGTAAGTAAGAAACTCTACCAACCTTTTCCATTTCCTCTAACCAATCCTTTTCCATTTTCATGCGTTCGATACCAACTTTTTCATCACATGCAATGATGTACATCAACTCAAACATGCAGTCCAACGTTTGTGTGAGTCGGTGAGGTTCGCAAACAGCAAACATTGCTGGATACACCCTGGAAGGAGATTTTGCGAAGTGCGGATAGAAGCTCTAATTTTTCTGAAGCTTTTGGGCGGATCCCTTTGCTAGTATTACGACATGCATTCTGTTCTAGGTGCAGCCACCTTAGGGCAACTTTTTTCCCATGTTCAAATTTCCTTATTTATATTTTGAATTTGTTCGCCTCGCTGTTGACAGTCACTCCGGTTTGGTCCACATTTTAGAACTTTGCACTTTGTGTTAATGCGTGCCGAGCATGTAATATTGTGGGGGTTATGTAATATTTTGGGGGTTGTTCTTCTTCAAATCATGTATCATCCATTCTGATACTAGGATATTTGAGAATCAGTGCGTTAATATGCCTGCCTCATGCTCTCATGATGGTGGCTTTGAAAATCCACCATGCGATGCTGTCCATCACAAATGGATCGTAAACAACTGCTCATTCTGTACTCTATTTATGCAAGATCGGTAACTTTCAGGGAAAGAAATTTCTCTGCGGAAAGAAAAAACGAGAACAAAAATTATTCATAGCTCACTTATAAAATCGCGACGACGGATTTGACTGCGGATTTTGCACCCACAGGAGCATAAATCGCTCATACAGGAAGACATCACCTCAAAGCTCAGCTGTCACTTCCAGTGTCTATATACTATCATACGTAAGCAAAAAACCACTCGACTAGAGATGAAAACTAAGAAAATACGATTTCCGGAAATGGCGTGCGTGTAGCGGGCGGTCGCGCCATCTCACGGTTTTTGAAATGCCCTATACAAATTGTTATGGTAGTCGACATAAGGACAATGGCCATCGTGAGCTACATCTCTGAGCAGAAATCCCAAAAATTCCTAAGTAAAACCGCGCCAAATAGGTCATTTGTACGCTTACTCTTGTTTGGCGCCGATTTTACAAAAGAATAGGCCCTTCGCTCATTTTTGACCTGATGTTCAAGTCTTACACATCTACTTGCTAATCATATTTATAACTTTCCATAAAGCCGAAGTACTGATCCCTTTGGCGTGCCAAACTGATATGGATCCCGCCTGGCGCGCAATTTTTGAAGGACAACGAATCTCCTTGTGTTTCTGCACATTGGAACTACATGCTGGTGGCAAATGCGTTGTGCGAAAATTGCATAAACTTGGTTGGGAGTTCTTTTGCGGATTTCGCAACATGAATTTTCACATATTAGGCATGCGCACGAACCGGCCTTAGCGCATTATCAATGTATCGTCCCCTCCACAGCTCGTACTACCCTTGATCTGCGTCTCACACCTACCACGTGTGGCTAACATGTTGGCAACGTGGCAATAACATGTTTGCAACATGCAGCAACATGTTGGCGTGGCCAAAACGTCCTGGCAACATGTCGCTGCATGTTGCAAACACGTTGTTGCCACGTTGCCAACATGATAGTCACAGGCAGGTGCGAGACGCAGACCAAGGGTAGCACGAGCTTGGAGGGGACGATACGTAGGATGCTGTTACACACATCGTTCAACAAGCTCGAACATGTTCTCTCACGAATTTCTAGTTAAATTATCACCTATCGATCGGGAGCGTTGTGGAGCGTCCTAGTTAGATCCTAGTTAGATACATGAACTCCTGTCCCCTCCACGTCCCCTCCACAATTGCTGCTACTCTGCTCTGCGTCTCTGACCTGCGGCACCTTCCGCATGCATTGTTAACACGTTTCGGACCGCGAAATCGCGCGCGGCGGAAAAGGGTGCCCTTTCAGTAGTTAGCCAACATAGGGACCTTACTTCATAGGCTGTGTGGTACATATGTAATCAGCTTGTTAGATAAGTTCCATACTCAGAGTTCGGAGTGGATTCGAAGTGTTTAAATTTTGCCGCTTGTGAAGAACTTCTGTGCTTTCCTGAAGGATAGCAATCAGTTTCTAATAGGACCCAAAAGTGTCTATGTTGTAGGTTACACATAGTATTGAAACTGCGGTTTTCTTCTTTGATATCAAAGAAAAAGAAAGTTGCGACGTCGCACGCGTCGTTCGCGTTGCCGCACTTCGTTGCAACTGTTGTTCGATTTGTGCTCATATCTCCTAAACGAATATCGGCGGCACAACTCTACAGAGTCATTTGAAAAGTAGGAAGCTTAGGCTTTTAACTTGATAGCTTTGGACTAAAAGAGAACCTCCAACGTCAAAAAGGTCCTCCAAAGCAGCTTGCTGCACCATGTGCAGCACCGGTCCGAAACGTGTTAATATGTTGGCAACATGCAACAACACATTCAAAATGCGACATGTTGGCAAAAACCCACTAGCGCCGCAGGTCAATGGTGTGGAGCAAGGATATTAGCAGTTGTGAAGAGAAGGTTAGATCTTTCTTTGTAACTTTCCTACGTTATTGTGATGTTTACTTACAATTCGATCATGCTTTGTATAATTTAAAGGCAAAATTTTGCTCTTCAAATTCACATTTCCTCTTCTCGCCATGCTGAAGCCATTCTAGGCCTTGCAGTGCTTAGAATTAGCGAAATGAGCTTGTTTGAAGCTGTTCAGTTGTGCTTTAGTGGAAAATACATGCGAGTAGCGGGATTAAAGAGGGGGTGGTCGGAGGGCTTTCGATCCGTGGATTCTGGGTTTTTCAAACGCGCTTTTTCGCTGTAGGCTTCACTAAGATCAGTTAGTGAGTCTGCCATTGCAACCTGTAAGCTTCCAGTACCCCCCCCCCCCCTCCCGCAACTTGCCGGGACGCTGTCTTTAACGCATTTTATTTCATCGTTCTCTATCGCACTCTGTCAGATTTTTTTTATTTGCTTTGCGATATATGCGCTAGGAAAGCAATGTTCACGATTTGTGTCTTTTGTCCACTGCCTTTTGCTCCTGTCAATACATTCACTTCGGCAAATTGAGTTGAATTTATTTTAAGTCTGAATTTAGCGATTAAAGTCAGCTTGCAAACGATAATAGTTGCCCCTGATCAACTGCAGGCTGATGGTACATTCACTGAGAATACGATTGGTCCGCAGTTTTCGTAAGCTCAAATAGTAGGATGTGACGATCTGTAATTTGAGACTCTTTCAACAGTCAATACGTTCGCATTTCTTCTTCTCACAGTATGCGAAAGAATGAATAAAGAGAGGAACTTGTGATAACAAGAGCTTTGATCTTGAACGATCAAAACGATAGAAAACGATCCTACAAAAGACAAGCGACAGCGAAAAACCCCAATGGTTTGCGCATTTGTGACAAAGGAGAATCGCCTCGAATACGTGGGTTCTGGGACAATCAAGCAAATGCGATATCTGAACTATGTGCTTGCGAGCCATGTTCCGTGGATAATGCGCACTTTGGTGGCCGATCTTATGTCTTCCGACACGATCCAGCCCATCAAGCAAGGTCTTCCCAAGACTGTGAGCAGGATTTTTACAAGTTCAATTCTGACGCAGAACGCCCTGCTTCCTAGATCTCAACCCATTGGACTCCTTTTGATGGGCATCACAGCTTGTGGTAAACCACTTAGAAATCTGGAGTCGCTAAAGCTGAAGAAGGCATAGGATGAAGTCGACGTCTAGATTGTAGCAGTGTATAAAGAAGGAGAATTCATTTATCTGTCGGCTTTTCGGAATCATTTTGAGACATTACTTTTTGCACCTTGTATACTCATTATGTGGATTGACTTATAGGTCAGCTAGAATGCTATTTGAACCTCTTTCCGTCTTTCCCTCAAGCAAGGCACTTTTATTTTAATGAGCGCCGCCGGTGCAAGCTCGGCTGTTGGGATGATTATCCTGACATTTCACAAATGCGTTTTTTTTCAGATTTGCTATCCAATCTATAAAGATGTCAAGTTTTCCTGATTCAATGGTAGTGAACGAATTCCGCCGATAAGCGTCGCCTCCGCGAAGTGCTGGTCCTTCGCTCAGATGCTGAAGCATACCGTGTGGGGATAACAGTAGCAGAAGGGGCTCCTATCGGCGGGCCACTTCAACTTATGTGATTATATCAACTTTATCAACTTACAAAACGAATCTGCGTGCAGGCTGTGCATGAGCTCCTTGTAAAAAACGAAAATTCTATTAATCTCTACGGATTCTCAATACAGCAGTTTATGACTCTCTTGCAAGCGTGTCTGAACTGCAAGGTTTTCAAGTGGTCCGGGAGCTATTATGCACAGAAAAGAGGGTTAGCCATGGGACAAAGGCTGGCTCCCACCCTTGCGATAGCTTACATGGCAAAAATCGAAGCGCCTGTGCTAGGTCGTTCGTTGCTATATTGCCGCTATATTGACGATTGCTTTTTAGTCTTTGCTTGTCAGGAAGATATGGATAAGTGTTTCAATTTGTTGAATGAGCAATCTCAATATATACAATTGACAAGAGAGAAGCCGAAAGATCAATGGTTACCATTCTTGAACTTGCAGGTTAATATCAGTTATGGTGCGCACACGACAAAATGGTACCATAAGCCAAGTAATAAAAATATTCTGGTCCATTCACTTTCGACCCATCCGCCATGGACAAAGAGAGCCATTATAAACAACATGTTTCGCACTGCCTCTCAAGTCTGTAGTGGTCCGAAAGAAAAGACAGAATCGATAGCGCTTGCTCGTAGAATAGCGGCCTCTAATGGATACGGACAGCATGCAGGTAGAACAAAGAAAAGTGCCAAAGATCGCGTACAGAAAGATGTTTCCTATACGCCCAAAAAAGTCACATTTTGCGTTCCATATATATCCAAAGAAGTAAGCGCATCATTGCGACAATGTTTGAAAAGAGTAGGGTTTAAAGATTTGGTTACGATTGTTGAACTACCGCCGAATAACTTGAAAACCTTCCTAGTTCGCAATCGCATGTATGATCGCAATTGCGTTACCCCAAATTGCATTATCTGCCCTGCAAGCAGAGAAGGGGACTGCATGGCAACTGGAGTCAACATCTACTTGATTTCATGCGCGATTTGCGGCGATGAATACATTGGTGAAACAGCGCGTCCACTACGTATCCGTATTAGAGAGCATCTTGACGGCAGAGATAAAGCACATATATCAACACCCCTAGGCACCCACAGAGTAGTGCAGCATGCAGGAACGAACTTTGAGATTTCTGTGAGAATCTTGGCCTATGAGTCCCAAACGCAAGCACGTAAGTGTTTAGAGGCGTTTTGGATTCATGCAAGAAACCCAAAAATGAATCGGAAGAGGAAAACTTAGCAATTACGCAAGAACTCTCGCCTTATCTTGATCAGTTATTCTGTTTTGGTGTATATAAATATCGGTCTGCATACACGTCTAACAAGTCCATCTTCCTCTAGCAGTGGACAACGTGACCTCCACTTTCCTCTAGTAGAATAGTATCGGCGTATCCAGAAAGTACGTGCTCGAGTGCAGCTGAATCAGTGGTCGAAAACAAGGTTTAGCATTTCGCCTGTTCAGCTGTAAGGCTTGTTCGAATCGGCTGCGGATCGTATTGTTCCTTACAGGCTCTGACGAAGGCGATCTGCCGAAACGTTAGCCGTGGATTGAATAAACCAATTACCATTCTCGTGTATGGCTCAAAAAGAAAGAACAATATATCAACTTTGTTTTATATTCTGCTGTATACGTTTCGTTTCTGCTGATGACTTTCTTCCAGACTCTCTAAATTACTTTGCTAGAAATTATAGCTTGTACGAAATCTTCCCCTTTGTATCTAATTAACGTTTTGCCACCAAGCTCGTCGCGCCCTGGCCCTCTTTGGCCCTGTATGTAATAATAAATCATCCCTTTTTGAATGAATACGTTGCCCATCACACTTTTTCAAGAATTTGGTTCATTTCATTAAAACAACGGAGCGAATTCCTTCGCTCCTTTGGTGCGAGTTACCTTTTCGAGGCGGCCATTCATTGCTATCTCACTCCATGTTACTGCCTCTCTTTGTTTGTGGAAAAGGTGCTTAATTCAATCCTATCAACTTCTCCGAGTCGGAAACAACGGAAGAGGTTTTCTGAGCAAAGCAACACATTGCAACTTTCGAAGCAGCTCATGCCTGCCTGGCAGGCATGATTGCTGGTGGAATCATGCCCCCCACTACCAAGCAGCATGTCTCATATTTTTTGCATGTATAAGTGTAGCAAACCGCGTTTGTTAAGATCTCTTGCCAACTCACTACTAGGATGGGTTTTTTAGTATAAATTCATTTTGTTTCAAAACCTGGAATGCCATGTACAATGTGATCAGCCTCACAGTGTTGACAAGTCCGTGGTTGATTCATGAATGTACAGCAGCAACGGTAACGCAGCACGCTTACGGTGATTTCAAATGGAAATCATATGATTGCTTGAGACATATTCCAGCTGCGAAGGCACCTTAGTTGAACGCTATGTCATTCAATGCGTACTGCTCCAATATCAACTTCGGAAAATGCCTATCTTTTCCTACGATTTACTTTACGCACTTCAACTTTACGCCCACACAAACTTACTGTTCAAGAAATTTAGGAAATACGCGGCCCGGCTCGAGTGCTGCTAAGATCATGACAAGCTTTGCTGGCAGCTGCAACATGAATCAGATGCTTTTTCCTTTTTTGCTTATGAATGTTTTGAACTTACATCGTAACTTTTACCATCTTTCGAATAAAGCGAGTAGAGAAGAGACTGGAGTATGGACATGACGAATAATCGGATGTCATTGTCGTTGAGATAAAATTCCTTTGCGACCTGAAAACATAATCACTGTATTGTGAGTGGTTCACATTGCAGTTCAAACCATTACCTGGCGTCTATGCTTTTTAACACGTTCTTCTTCATAGCGAGCTGCAAATTCTCTCAGCAAATTTTGGAAGAAAAGCAGTACTGTTGCGGTATGGTCGCTTTCATTTGCAGGATGCATGAATGGCTCAATCAATTTCATCATGCGGTCAAGATGTTTTTGGCAACTATAACAAGCTCTCATACAAGGATCAGTTTTGCAACCAACGTTTTACCTATATGGACCACCAATTGTGGAAGAAACAAATTTTGCGAACCCATCCAAGCTTGAAGAACCAGTTCCATCACCAACCTGAATTCATTTCAGGGCATAAGTGTCTTGCAGCTTCAAAAAAGTTATCACTAGACTTACAACAATTTTGCCCTCCCGGATGCAAAGCCCCATAGCACGAATGATACGAGTGAATATGGAGTCATACATAGGCCGCCAATCCATAAAATCCGGATTGTGATAAGCTAGCCTAAACTTCCGCATACCAAAATAAAAGCCATCAATAAGAGCAACTCGCTGTTCGGCATACGTTGCAAACAAAATTGGCAGGTCTTCTCCCCAGTTTTTTCCCATTTCCACAAACTCGTACATCTTCCACATAGTTTCAAACCATAATGAGGCACCATATTTTTTATGATCCTGAGCTTATCACATTAATAAAATCATCGGGTAAGGTATCGTGTGTACCTCGGTGGACATTCGAACGTTGAGGAAAAGTAAAGCCATTTCACAGAACTCCTTGCAAGAATAACGAGGAGCTAAGTGGATTTGAACCTGCAATATCGAGTGAATCAAAGAGATTTGTGTCAGAATTTGATGTCATACTTTCTTCCAAATTTTGGGAGTTTCCGCAGGGCTATAAAACCGCTTTAGACGGAATGTAGCAGTACGTATCCGCGAACCGTCCACGTCCTCCAATTTCCCGTATGTTGCTCCATAATACAAGTCATACACAGGCTCCCATTCCAAAACCATATCTTCGTGCGTAAAATAACATTTGCTAAAAAGTCGGGATAGAATTGAAAGAACTGCTGTTTTGTCTTTCCTATATGAGTAAAAAATAACGAGCTTGATTGAGTTTGAATGGCGTTGAAGATGTCAGGAAGACACCTTTCACGGAATATGAACGCAAAAGGCCATTTACGCGACTTCGGAACCTAGAGATTACACGAAAAGAACAAGAATAGAGGACGCCCGAGCTCAGACAATAAGTCGGACGAGCGGCGGACCTTAATGGCTTTGCGGCCGAGCGGCGAGCTTTGATTTGTGGGTGTGGCTTTCTTGCGGACGAACGGCGTACCCTCGATACCGAGCTTGCGAGCAGAGGATCTTAAAGGCAGCGTCCGGGCGAATGTGGACATACGGAGTTCTGATGTGAAGTAATTTTGGGGCCCTAACTAAGACTGCCCAAGCGGCGTCTCAAATGGTGAACTCACAGTTGAGATACGAGACGCGTGGGTCCTCGCGCGAAACTGATGTGTTGTACCATGAATCCATGCAAATACGATCCCGGGGTCCAGTTTGGAGGCGGGTATCTCAACTTTGAGCTCACCAATTGAGCTGCCGCTTGGGCAATGTTCTAGTTAGGGCTCTAAGATTACCCTCCAAGTGAGATCCCCACAGGCCCAGATTTGCCTGGACGCTGCCTTTGATTCGACCAGCGGCGGCCCATCCCCTCAAGCGGGTGGGCGGCGTACCATCATTATCATACTCTTTATCTTACATCATTCTGAAGTTCTCTCATTGCAGTGTTCTTCATTTTGTCAATGCTGTTTTCATGGCGTGGTGGCTATTTAACTACTAGAATAATTTGAGGTTAGCCGTTGCCCATAAATCACATGAACTTCTCTCCACACTCATTACACCCCAGAAAGGGAAAATGAGGAAAGAAGCGGATACAAAGAAGTGAATTCTAATATGACAGCGACTAATTCCCTCATATGCAGAAAGCCGACTTTTTAGATGAATTTTCGATAAAAAGAGGTTTGGTTCTTTTGCAAAGCTATAGAGGTAACCAAAAGTGAAGATAAGGAGGTAGAAGAAGTTAGAAGTAGATTTACGTTTGATCGTGTTGAAAGCCAATGCATCACGAGGTTTCAGAATCGAATTTTCAATGTGTATCTGCACAGATCGAAAGTAAAAGGTTATCCGAGTGAAAATTGAAGCTACAGGGCTTTACAACCTGAGTGTTAAAGCCGCCCTGCTTGGCCGCCACGCTTAGGTCGGCGCAGCGTTCGTGGCGCATCGTCCGGGCATTTTGCCAGTTCTCAATCGATGCCACCGACGCATGCACCAGGCTGCGCATCGACTGAAGCTTGGCAAAATGCCCGCCGCAAACGCCGCGCGCGGCCTGAGCGAGGCGGCCGCGTTGGAGGAGCCGCGCAAGCGGAGGCTGTGACTCTTATGTTGAAAAGCCCTGTAAATCCGCGGCCTTATATGGTCCGCTCTTCTTGGATCAGGAATTATATATTTTATTCAGTTTCTTTTAGGGACTCTGCGACATCTGTTTCCCTCTACCAAACCTAAAAGCAGATCCACATCAACTACCATCAATCTTGTTTCATGTATGGTGGCTGGAATATCACTTGTCGTTTTCTGCGTTTTGTGTTGCTGCTTACGCGTCCTAATAAATTGACCACTAGAATGCGTTGTAGGAATCAGATCGTGTCTGTGTCTGTAGCTAAAGTTGCAGACTATAAGCGGTAGGCATCAGGCTGTCGGATCCTTGTAGTTCTGTAAAGAGAGGGCCGGAGGCGGGAGGCATGATTAGTAGCGCACTAGGGCACTCCTCTCGTCGGGTTTGATGTACGAGCGACGAGCGGAGTACTATTAGCGGGAGAGTGGAGAGGTACTCCGCTCGCCCGCTTCAACCTCTAGCGGGCGGGCGGCGTGCCGACGAGCGGCGGGAGGCATGACTGCCCGCCCGGTAGAGGCCCGCCGCTCGTCCGAGTTATTGTCTGAGAGGTCATCATGAAACGGCGAGAATGATCCTTAAAAGCTCATTTTGCCTGCCCGGTGCTATACCTGAATCGTTCGGTAGGAAGTACCATAACAAAATTGATCTCGTCAACAAAAGGCGTGACGTATGTCACTGCTGCTCCGACATTCTATGAGGAATTGGATAATTAGATCTTGCGTACCAGGTTTTCTTTTCCACGAAACGACTGCTCGGGCCAATGTATTTATGATTGCACTAATAGGGAAGGCGACGTAAAGAAGTACGAAGAAGCGCTCATCGCATACTGTGGAGTTATACGATGTGAATGAGCCGAAGCCACATACAAAGTAACTTAGACGCAGACTTGCGATGACAAGAGTAAGAATATTGCCGCAAAGGCCAAAAATTCCAACAACTCTCGTAAAGATCCCTTGACTTCGAGGCTTAGATGGTCTTGATGTCAAGCGATCTCACCGTTCGAAATCATGAAAGAGCTCTCTAAAGTTCAACGAAGAAAGTTTACGAGAAGACCGGACTGACAGCCAAGTCCATAGGCCTCCATGTCATCTCAGAAAGGATGGTTATGGAATAACTTCTTTTCTTCAAAACTTGTCTTTAGTCCGGTCCCGAGAAGAAGCCAGAACATCCAAAAAAAATATCACGCAGACCCTCAGCAAATCTCTGACGAATTTTTCAAGACCAAAGGCATGGTTTGTACAAGTACGGTGTCCCTGCATTAGAACTTATGTGCCTGTTATAAAATTTGTTGTAAGTTTTTAAATTTCATTGCAACTCATTTTCACTGGGATTGAGAAAGGACTAGACGGAGGGTTATCGTAGAAGTACTGGGATTCAAAAGAGTCCTATTTACTAAACCGTATACACACGATGTAGCTCACGAAACTAATGCAAGAGTATAGGGTGTTTGATCTCGCTTTAGAAGATCTGCCTGACTCTTTGCGCAGAACCATTTACCACTCACAATCAGATTACCAAAATCACATAGAGCAGCTTTGAACATATTACGCCTCCGACAGAAGACAAAGCGGTGTCAAATTGGTGAAGAAATTCGAGGCCGTACACGAGAACGTTATGGGTGCATCAGAATAGGGGGAACACGGATTGGTGGCCGGCAGCATTATTTTCCCTTTTACACGTTTCAATAACATCATATCACGCAGGCAAAACAAACGCTGGTTTAGATAAAAACCTGCGGAATTATCGTGTACGACCGAAACAAAGACGACGTTCATCAGAGAGAATCGTGGTGTTTTTCTCACGATTTCTAAAATGCTAGGGAAGTCTATATGAACGGTGTCTACGATTTCAGAACATTATAATCGGGTCATTATAATCGGGTCAGATCTACCGTCGTCTGCCTTTCTGATCGCTAGGCGGTTCCGCCTCACACCCACGGTTATCGATCTGTCCTTGGACAAATAGGCCTAGTAAGTCTGCTACTTTGAGGGAAAATCTTCTACTCATTCACCTAAAAGAAGAGAAATAAATCCTGCACACTGGATGCCTACGGCACCGGGTGGTAAGAAGAAAACGATGTCGGTCTTCGGGACGTCATTCAGATAGGACAGAAACGATATGTCTGATCGGGTCAAACATTAGATGTCTGATCTGCATCTACGACGCCACGACAGTCTCCACTTGCCGACCTCTACGCCCTTCTGGGCGCCGCACGGCATACCAAGTATCACATTATAGTTCTGCAAGAACAGAAGAACATGAAGAAGGACGTGCAACAGATGAGTGGTGGGACCCTCTATTTGTGAGAAAGCTCCATTCCAATACGTTGGATGCGTTGGCTTTGTCGTGCACCCATCTACCATCTATCTTGTCAATTCGCGTAAGATCCTGTCACATCAACTAGCCATTTCCCAGTACCAACATCCACGTCAGCAGACCATCAACACAACTGCTATTTCCCAAGGTCAGCAGTTGACCAATCAAAACGATGCTTTCTACAAAGAACCGGAGGGCGTCCGCAACAAGAAATCCTTTTACAAGTTTGTTGTGGGCGACTACAACTCGAAAATTGGGATGTCACTAGAAGTGGAGTACAGGGGCGTAAAGTTTGGTTACGTGCTCCGGAGCAAAGCCGGCAAACCACTCGTAGGGCTTCTCTCCACTGTACGACTTTTCCATGATTCCATTCAAATGAAGAAAGAACATCGTCGGTGGACATGAGAATCATATGACCGAACGACTCACGCGGAGATCGACCACATTTCAACCAACCGAAGGCGGAGTTTGCTCGATGTTTCAGTAGTTTCATCCTTCTGCAGCAACTTCGGTCACGCCTTCTTCGAGCAAAGGTGCGATTCAGTCGAACAGGAAAAGAAAGTCTGCCACAGCGCCGAAAGAAGAAAAGAAGTAGTATATGACAGTAGCAGACTGGAAGCGCTCATATTAAGCTGAGACTGGCACATCCGGGAGGACCAAATGTTTGATCAAACCAGCTTTTGAAAGAAATGCGAGCCTGCGAAGAGTGCGCCTCAGTGACTTATTAGAAGAACTTGGAACGCAGTTTGAAGGTTACAAAGGAGTTGCTCAGAGGAAGAAGATCTTTAACAAGTTAGATCTTTAACAAGGGAAGGAAGTTAGTCGAAGTGGCCCTTTAAGATGAGATGCAAACTATCTTGTAAAGCTTGGAACGCTAATTCCAAATCTGTCTTCGCTATTTGCTGCAGACTTCTGGGCGAGGAGTTATTAAGGTTTTTGTGAATAAAAAAATCAAATGCAAGATTAATGTGAAATCGGTTACTTTTATACAACGTTAAAATGACTGCAGCAACTTGGTATAACTATATCAAGACTATTTATTGCACCGAGTGACCCGATTATCAGTTAACCCCTAGAGAAAATGATACGAGTGATTTTACAATAATCTTGCATTTGACTTTTTACCCACAAAAACCAGTGGCGTACCGAGGGGGGGGGGGGGCGGGGGGAGCGCGCGCCCTCCCCCCCCCCCCGAGAATGGGTCGCGAAATTTTTGAAAGTTACTTATATGGGTTATAAAAATGTGCAAATGACTTGTTAATACTTGTAAATAATTAAATTAATTTTTAAAAATTTTTCAAAATTTTGATTAGCCTTGTAAAAAAAATTTTTTCGGGGGCGTGGCTAACGCCACGCTCCCTTTTTCCAGATTTTAGGGGTTGGGGACCCGCAAAAATTTTGAGAAGTACCCCTAAAATTTTTCGGAGTGCGTGGCTAACGCCACGCACCTTCATTCGAAAAATTTTTTTGTCGCGCCCCCCCCCCCCCCGAGCGGAAATCCTGGGTACGCCACTGACAAAAACCTTCATAACTCGTCGCCCAGAGCCCGCAGCAGATAGCGAAGACAGATTTAAAATCAGCATTCCGAGCTTTATAGGACAGTTTGCATCTCATTTTAAGAGGTCCCTTCGACCAACCTTTCTTCCCTTAAAAGGGAAAATCCGAATGCAGCCCATGTCGAGCGACTGATAGCCAACGCCATTTAGGCAAGAGACATACATCACGCGATTTCAGTCGCCACGCGATCTGGCAATTTGCCAGACATCTTCAAATTCAATACTGGTAGACCCCAGATGCAGAGCATGTATAACTTTCGTAGGTCGATGGAATGCCCCATCTTCCGTGCATTCAGAAACTCCGTACGATGAGTTATGAACATTTGGAGTATTGCCAAATCGCGTCGCGACTGAAATCGCGTGAGGTATGCCCGAGGCCTTACACAGTTTTGCAGAAGGATCTTAGGAAGTAGAAATAAGAAGATACTGAAAGCAACCGAAGGGAGATGAAGTCTTGAGAAGTGCGGAAGGGATCCCTATTACTATCAGTACCGCTTGATGCACCGCTGTACTATTAAACGAAGACGTGACTCCGCTTCCTCCTGATCGATGGAATTTATCGCTAAAAACTTCTACACTGATCTTTTCCGCACATCAAAACACGTTCCGATGCCCGTTGATCCTACTGAAAAAGCACCATTAAGGGTTCTTGCTGAAATGTGTACCCTGTTCCAGACCATAGGACGTCTTTGGCTCCAGGACCAGATCATCTTTCCGTCAAATTTCTGCAAACTGAAGGACAGCGCCTAGATGAGAACTCCGCGTCGCACCTGACATTTTTGTACTCCGCGTCGCATCTCGGTTTGTAACTCCGAATAAGACTCAATTTATAAGGAACGCCCTTTGCGAAGATGCGGAAATGAAGGTGAAAGGCAATCCTATTTGGGTAGTGGACGTTCGATCATGGAGGACGACTTGATGGAAGAACTGAATAGAAGAAGAGGAGCAGCATGGGCTGCCTTCGGGTCTCTGAAGGAAGTCACCGACCAGCTGCGGACCCGGAGTTTCGAGCCCACGTGTCCGGCTCAGCCGTCTTGTCGGCACTCGTTACGCATCTATAACTTGAGTTACTATAGCCACGTCGAAAGCTCTACAGACCATCCACAAATGCTTGGGCGCACTTCTCTAAAGATTATCCCAAACAAGAACATCTCGTCGATCTTGTACAATCAGAAGAATGTCCCGTCTTCACCCAGCCCAGCAGAATACGTTGCGAGAGCGACGCCATGGTCTCGTAAGATGAAAAGGCGACAGATGAACAAAAAGAGCATCACATCGAATTCCTCGCGAAGCAAGAACGCCACCGAGGAAGCCACTGGCAAGCTGGGCAGACATGTTCGTAAACGATGGTTCGGACGAGTCATCTACAATGAATCAAAGAGCAGCCAAGGTCACCTAGTTCATTCCAGAATGACTTTCATAGTTGGCTCTAACGTGAACCTGTATCTTAAAACATGCTAGCGTGTGACGGAACACTTGAACTGACACAACTGAAGTAACGTGATTGATTTTAGCCTTGAATAGGAACGAACAATGATTCGAGTCCAATAACTGAGTCATCTCCGCCTTGTTACTTACTTGATCAACTTTTCCAACGCCTTCGCCGCATAGTGGACCACATCATGCCATTGATCCTTCTTAATCATGATTAGATACATAAGTTTGATAAATTTTATATGGTCTTCTTTTGAAAATCGAAAACCATGAGCGTCAATGAATCTGAAACTGGTTGTTCTGACCCTTGGCGGCAACGAACGCTCCAAATAGCTCACTTCTTCAATGCATGAATATAATTCCTCAGAGCTGGTCTATTTTCGTTCACAATTGCCGAGATAAGTAGCCCGTGTTTGATGTGTTCAAGATGAACGTCCAAACACTGGGACAACTCTTGATAGTACGGTAGAAGCACATATTTCTTATCGTGGCGTCCGAAATTCCGCTTTTTGTCCTTCTCGACATTGGCACCGGCATCTACGACGACGAATGACGGCTTCTGTAAAGCATTCTTCATCACGAAGGGCTCGTCGGAAGTAGAGAAGTGATCAGCCACCATTCGCACAGAAGCCTGGTTTTGGCTTGTTCGGGAGCGTTAAATATGTAAATGAGTTGGAACTGACCTCGTTCTCGTATTTATAGGAACTGGGTGTGTTATCAAGCACTGGTTGGCAATATCTCATTTCTGAAAAAGATAGTGTAAAGTGTGGTTGTTTCTGTTAGCAGATAAAAGAGTAGAATTCTTTGCTACAGAAATTGAAGAATTCTTTGCTAGTGTGTGGATCACATATCTTTCAGGAAGTTGGCGAATGCGCCTAGATGAGAATGGCATTCCATTGCTTTATTTATATGATTATGTCCAAAAATTGAAAAACACAAGAATCAAGACCGGTTCCCTAGGTAACATCCTGAAAGATATATTACACACGTTAGCAAGGAAACATAACACAGCATGATGAATCATATCTTTCAGGAAGTTGGCTAATACTTAAATAAGAATGGCATTCTACTGCTTTATTCATATGATTATGTCCGAAAAAATTCAAAAAACACAAGAATTAAGACCGGTTTCCTGGGTAACATCCTGAAAGATATATTCACACGTTAGCAAGCTCAGACAATCGGTGCCGTAGTCGCGCCGGACAGTCGAAATCTGCCAGAGCCGCGGCGGACCCAGTTGACCAATGAGAGCGGGGCGAGGGGGCGGTCCCTTCTTGTAGGTAACGGTGACGTCACCGGCAGGCGAGTGGGACCCTTCTCCGGATCTGCTCCAAACGTACGCCATTTCTGCTGCGGAGGTATGCCAGATTTGGCAGAGTCGCGGCGGAGAGATTTGCCCGCCGCGAGTCCGCCAGATTTGGACGAGCCGCGAAGCAGAAAATCGGAGGGGTCCGGAGCACAAATGGGAGGGTCCCGGAGCAGAAAATGGGACACTTCCGGAGCAGAAAATGGCAGGGTTCCGGAGCACAAATGGGAGGGCCCCGGAGCACAAATGGGAGGGCTCCGGAGCACAAAATGGGAGGTCTCCGGAGCACAAAATTCGAGGGCTCCGGGGCACAAATGGGAGGTCTCCGGAGCACAAAATCGGGGGGCACCGGCGCAGAAAATCGGGGGGCTCCGGCGCACAAAATCGGGGGGCTCCGGAGCACAGTGACAATCCCCAGCTGGAGAAACCCCGCGGCTCGGCCATTTCTGCGCCGGAGGGGTCCGATCCACTGTCTGAGAGGAAACATAGGCGAATCTTCGCACGCAGAGACAGAGCACCCAATGCAGACGCTGTCGGCACTTCTTTACTGCCATCTTTTTCCTCTGCCGCCTCTCCCAAACACGAACTGTCTAATGGTATTTCGACCGCTGCAGCGTTCAATCTCCGCGTGCGATCGTCTATACTTTAGTGTAGAAGCAATTTCTAGTTACCGACAGGTGTTCAGATTTTATTTTCGAAAGCACCGCCCATGACATCCTTAAATATAATAAATTACGAGTTTCTTTTCACATGCTATACTTTATTTAAGTCATCGCACGCAGAGACTGGAGCTGCATTTGACCATGATAGTCTGCCCTGTCTCTTCGCGCGCAAATATTCACTCCAGCGAGTGCGCTATTTCTAAAACTAGTTCTCTTGAAAAAAAATGAGGTATCGTCGATTCGTTGACCGCACGGACTGCTCAAACGCTGCGGATCACGTGCGAGCGGCTAAAACGTTGCGAGAGCACGACTTGTACAAGCTCCTGCAAGACGAAGGCGGTCGGTTCGATGTGCAACGCGGCTGCGACACAGCTGCGTCACAGCCGCTTCACAGCCGCGTCACAACCACGTCACACAACGAAATGACCGCCTTCGTCTTGCAGGAGCTTATACAATGGCGAATTTATATTGGGGCAAGCGTTTTACCTCGCGGCGCGTACTCCGCAGTGATGGCCAGTCCGTGTCACCGAATCAACTATAATAACATAGGCATCAGAATTCCAGACCTCATTCGTGATTTTTGCCTCTTACAGCCTGTCCAGTCACATACATTCCGTCCCAATCGGGATCGCGCCGAAACCTGGGCTCAAAATCGCATGCGCGCAACGCTGGATCGCTCCCCATGTTGCGCGCACAAAGCATTGTTGGAGAGACTGAAGATGATGAGGAGAGGACAAAGGGGTCCTATCACGACCACCTATGACAATTCTCAGAGTTTACGCAAACATGGCGGTGTGGACTCGCATCATGCTAAAGTCTGTCTCAATTATATGCTTCCTTTTGCGAAAGCACGAATGCGCAGCGCGAGGACCTTGCGTACAGGCCTACGATCGATAAGGCCAATTGGAACGTAACCGTACGTGTGCGAATGTAGCGCGAAGCTCTGGCGTTACTGTGCGGATGGAAAAGGGAGCCGAACATAGGTTGTAATTGGAGAGTGTCCACATTAGGACAGACGTTCTCCCTTCTCCATCAGCGCAATCGCAACGCTTACGCGTTCGCGCGGCCATAGTTTGAGCATTCCAACTGAACTCATCGATTAAGGTTCCACACGCAGGACCCTCGCGGCGGATGCATATTTCCAACGCAAAAGAGGTACACTTTGGCACCATGACTAAACGAATATATCAACAACAACAAACAGTGATTAATGATTCCCAAAAAAATAGGTGCAGCATGTAGAAGCCAATCAATAATTCACTAGCATCGCACTCTCGCTTCGAAGGCGCGAAAAAATAAATCGTGGTGATCTACATCGCTTTACCGAACAATGCATAAAATGCGTTTACATATCTCTTTATTATTTGCCTAAAAGGGTGAAGAATGCAAAACTTGGGGAAATAGGTAAAAGCAATGGTTCCTTTGTGACCGCATGCATAAACAGCATTTTAACTAAAAAATAAACCAATGTATCACTCTCTTTATGGTGAAATACGCGAAACAAAAAAATCATAGAAAAGCGATAACGTTGAGCTATTGTTTTCACATATTGCAAAAATCAATTGGTTGTTTCAGAACGTTTTATATGTGGGAAAGCATTGATCATTGCTACGACAAGCGATGGTAGCCTTTTCTTTTCGTCGGCCTAGCATGTTTCAAAATTGTCAAATCTTGTTCATTCAAACATTCAATCGTGAGTTCCGGCAAATTTAATATCTTTCACCTCCCTTTCACAGCGGTCCCACCTCTTTCCTCTTACATCTTCTCGATGTTATCCATGTCGTATTTTTTGTGTTGGGCCACAAGGTGGTTTTTGGACATATCTCGCGCAATTCCACCTGCCGGGCGATAGTATTACAAAAATCTACGACTCTGCTCAAACTCGACTTAACACGTTTCGGACCGCGAAATCGCGCGCGGCGAAAAAGAGTGTTCGTTCAACCGTTAGCTAGCAAAGAGACCTTATTTTGAAGACTGTGTGCTACATCGTAATGACCATGTCGGAGAACCTCCATACCCAAAGTTCTGAGTGAATTCGAAGTGTTTGAATTTTGTCACCTGAGAAGGAGTTCTGTGCTTTCCTGAAAGATAGGAACAAGAACTAGTTTCTAATAGTAACCAAAAGTATCCATGTTGTGGACGGTACACATCAGTATTGAAACTACAGTTTTTCTCTTCGATATTGAAGCAAAGGAAAGTTGCGACGTCGCACGCGTCGTTCGCGTTGCCGCACTTCGTTGCAACTGTTGTTCGATTTCTGCTCATATCTCCTAAACAAATATCGGCGGGACAACTCTACAAAGTCATGTAAAAAGTAGAAGCTTAGGCCTTTGACTTGATAACTTTGGACCAAAAGAAAACCTCCTGTAAACGTCAAGAAGATCCTTCAAAGCAGGTGCTGCACCATGTGCAGCACCGGTCCGAAACGTGTTAATTAAACTTACGATGCAAGGTTGAACAGACATCCTTGCCCTTCTTTTTTGTTCCAGAGTGTCGTGTGCACTTTTCAACCTGGATTCCCTCATCTAAGTTCAGCGAAGGTTTCGTGGTTGCTAGGGAACAACCCTATCGTTTTCTCGCATAGGTAGAGGGCATTTGAAAAATCCTAACGGTGGCGCGACCGCGCGCGACACGCATGCGCTTTACGATGACCGTATTCTCCTGGTTTTCATCTCTATTCGAATGGATTTTCTACTTACGTGGATAGTATGTACACACTGGATGTGACTGAGCTGAGCGCTGAGATGGTGCCTTTTTGTATGCGCGTTTCATGCTCCTGTGGGCGCAAAGATCGCAGTCAAATCCGTCGTCACGATTTTTAAATGGACTATAGACCGAGAGTATAGTCAATTTCAATTACGTGCTCCCTTGCGCATGGAAACTACGCATGCGCAGCGCAAGGGCCGCGATCACCCCATCTGAGTGCGCGAGTCATACGCGAGCGCGCGACACGAAGCTTATTGCGTTTACGGAAAAGGGAGCACGTGATTGACACGGTCTGTACACCCCACACAAAAGTACTCAAAAGAAAATAGTACGATTCGCTTTGCTTCGAGACTGTCAACACTCATGGACTCACTGTTTTCCTTGGTCTGACCACTTGTTTTCAATCCGCGCTTGCTGGGACGGAACTTCCTTCCAGGCAAGAAATAGTTCTGTAGTGAGGGTTTGGTGATATGGTTTACAAGTCACTTGATAAGTGAAATTCTGTTAGTATGAATTTATTCATCAAGAAAACTACGACGGTAGGATGCTTCGGTGCAACACCATCACTATAAGCAAAGGTTCAGATTTTTGCCCAAAGCAATAGCAGAAAAGAATTTCATAGGTCCAGACTTTTAGCTTCTTCCCTCACCCTTGTATTGCTTTGAACTTGCATTTTCGCAGAGATTTGTGATAGTGGAAATGTCTACGACATATGCTTCAACCGTGTTTCAGAGAAAAAATTTTTTGAAAATTCATATTAGTGAGACTAGATTTTCATGGGCTGCTACCTTTTTCCGACACACATCCATTCAAAGTGGATATTTTTTAAGAGAACCCGCCAGAATTGACATATTTCCGCTCGGCTTCAATTCTTCCAATTTCTTATCACAAAAAGTACGAGAAGAAACTCTGCAACAAGTAAGTGTTGTGCGTACAATTTTTCTAAATATTCATGTAGTAAGAGCAATTCAACAAATAGGTCTGCTATCCCCTAAGATTTTTTGCATAAGTCAGCTTTTGTAGAGGTGGGTTTTTTTTTGAGTTTTTTTTAAATTTTGCAAAACTGCAAGAAGATAGATTTTGTAGATCGAGAGCTGCTTCAGCTATTCCCAAAAAAATGTAGAGTTGTTGGCCAAATTTTTTTCTTCTTTTTTTGTGCCCCACCTCGGCACTCACAGCGCTGCTTGTGATCTTCTTTCTTCTCCTGTCTGGGGTACATTAGGGTTCATACATACTTCTGTATATGATGCGAAAGACTTTTCAAAAGCTTTGATCAACACGCAGTAAGTCAGGTCTTGTTTTTTTTACGGAACTAGTAATGTGGACAAAAATCTCCAAGCTTTCGGCGAAATCAAAATTGTAAGGTAATTTCCTCCTACTTTCAATGTGTATTATCTCATCAAACTCAATAGAGAGTACAAGGACCTTTGTAGCCTTCGTCGTAAAGTTACGAAAAGCGGCGAGCAGCAAATTGAAAAAATCTCAAAATGTAGTAGGCAAATTGTTTTGCTTTGACTCTGCCAAAGTTTTATGTGTGGAGGTGAAGTATGTACAACCGCCCCACTATTTGATGAATGAAAACCTCCACGTGAAATTGTTTACGGTTATTGTTTACAATCATCTTGTCTCTACGAGAACTGCTCTGCCTCATTTTTTCTAGTCAACCTTCAGAAGCGGATGGGTACACCGAAAAATTCAACAGATGAAGTGAGTACCGCAATAATTGCAATTCGACTTCTTCTTGGCTTCCATTCTGGTGACCAACTTGAAAGTCTCGGACGACATTGCCTGCAATAGTCTTCAAGTCAAGCGAAGAATATGTGAGATTCTGCACAAGTTCGGGAAGAGATATTTAGCGAAGATATGGTGTGCCGCTCCAGTGTGTAACGACTCAAGCCCGCAGAGACAAGATGTCATTGCGGATGCTATCGGCGTCTTTCTGATGAGCGCTCTTTCATCCCTTTTCCTGTCTGCTGCCTCTCGCAAGAACGAGCTGTCTCAATCGGTCGCAACGGCTCCGATCGTCTATACTTATGGTGTTCAAGCTTTGCAACCGTATACAGGCTTAAAGGCAGTGTCCAGGCAAATTTGGGAGCATGGGGTTTTTGCGTGGAAACTGATGAGGGGGTCCTCAAACTAACGCGCTGCCCAAGCGGCAGCGCAAATGATTCATTCATGGCTGAGAAATCCGTCCCAAATCCCTTCGCACCTGGACCGTTCACTTTAACACTACGTTCGCGCTGGGACTCGTCTCAAGTCATTCGCGAGTTACGGTCACGGCGCAGGCGCGGGGGTGTTTGGGGACGGATTTCTCAGCCACTAATGAATCATTTGCCCTGCCTTTTGGGCAGTGCCATAGTTAGTCCCGCCATTAGGTTCCCTGAAAAAACCTAAGCAACCAGATCTGCCTGGCACTGACTTTAAGCGGCTGCACTGGAAGTGTAAAGGGTATCGGCATGTTCAGCGTCTGTGTTTCCTCCTTAATCCTACATCCTTTCTTTTCGACACAATGTTGTCTTCGAAAACGGGCGTCAAGCTTAGCAAACTAGGAACTTTCGAAAGCTGAAAAAAGCCATTATCAGCTTGTGCGCAATCAACCTTAGCAGACACACTGCTACTTCAAGAAAATGCAGTAACGTTTGCTCGGAGACCTAAAGTTGGTTAGGTCATCCAAAATGAAATTTTGAAACCACCACAACACTCATAAGCCACGCCAGGATTCACACCGCTCATGGCGGCCCGCTTTGTCGCGCACGCCCCACTCAAATATGTCCTTCAAAAATCGGCGCTAAAGTAGCACAGCGGCACAATAGATCGTGGGAGGGGGGGGGGGGGGGGAGGAGGCGGCAGATTCTTGACTTGATGCCTTGACTTATAGCATTGCGCCAGAAGTTCTGGCGGAAGCTGGCTGACTGGTGGATGTCGCGGAGCGGCATTGGCGGAAATTTCGCAGCGGCTGTGAGTATGAACGTTCCCTCATAACGCTTATAAAGTCTACACATCTTTATGACTATCTGGACAAGGATACACTGACTAATAGAAGAGCAAAGCTAAGGGCGTTGCTTAGCCAGTCGTGGCATTTGTATAGACCTTAGGCCTTTCTTCATTACCTGTTGACTTTTCTCACTTCTTCTTCCATCTTGTCGGGAGTTAGTAAAGGATATCTTCTTGATTGAGAGTTAACTTTAATCCCATACTTGCGCATTAGCCGTCTTTACGAAGTGCGCCTACGATCTAACTTCATCAATCACTGCAGACTCCCAAAAGCTTCGGCTAGAGTATTTTTTGATGCATCCGTTTTTCGTACAAAGTTGAAACATTCCTGAAGAAGAAGAACTATAAGATTTCCTGATTTTATCCCATCTTGACTGGAAATGCCCATCAGCATCGCTTCCAAAAGGATTCCTACTGTTCACACAAGAAAAGGTACAGATAAAGATACAAGATAAGAAAAGAGCAAAGATGATCGAGAGGAATGGATACCCGAATAGAATGGATACCAGAACGGTTACCGGGATAAGATTTCCAAATTAGAACCCCTTTGCACCTCAAATGAGTTGCACACAGATGGAGAAAGCTGAATTTTGGAATCAACTTGACAAGCTTGATGCCACACGACTAGCTGCTACTGATTGGAGATGACCTAGTCGGGCATGTCGGGGAGCAAGGTTTGGTGCAAGCAAATGTCACAGAATTCACTTCGGAATACGCAGGGAAGAAGGAGAGCGTATTCTGGAGTTCGCCACGGTACATAATTGGCGCTAACAAATATATAATCCATCAAGAAACTAGTCACCATGCATGCCAGCGGAGACTGGAAGTCACCAATACTCTTCTGGGTTGTACAACAAAGCGAGCTCAAGGCTGTGAAGAACAGCAAAGCCATACTCGGTGAAGACTGCATACCACTACATCTACCACTGATTCTGGGTCTGAATATTCTAGTCGATAGGCAAAGAAAGACCAATAGAGCACTCAGACAGTTGATCGGACCCCTCCGGCGGACAGTCGAAATCTGCCAGAGCCGCGGCGGACCCAGTTGACCAATGAGAGCGGGGCGAGGGGGCGGTCCCTTCTTGTGACGTCACAAAGAAGGCAGATCTGACCCCTCCGGCGGGCTTGCAAATCTCTCCTCCGCAAGTACGCCAGATTTGCTGGGGTCGCGGCGCAGAGATTTGCCCGCCACGAGTCCGCCAAATTTGCTGGGGTCGCGGCGCAGAAAATCGGAGGGGTCCAGGACAGAAAATCGGAGGGGTCCGGGACAGAAAATGGAAGGGCTCCGGCACAGAAAATGGGAGGCCTCCGGCGCACAAAATCGGGAGGCTCCGGCGCACGAATGGCAGACCCCCCGCTGGGGAAACCCCGCGGCCCTGCCATTTCTGCACCGGAGGGGTCCGATCGGCTGTCTGAGCACGTAGCACATATCAAATGGTGGAAGCCTAAAGACGACGACGATATTGGAGCAGCCATGGAATCTGTCCTTTCACATTTGAAAACATAGCAAGCAATACATTAGAACCTACGAATTCAAGAAGAACTAAGGTCGATGAAGAAAGGTGGTCTGGAATGATGACGTGCTTTCCATAATCAAGAAGAAGAAGACAGCGTTCAGAGAATGGCAGGAAACAATGACAGAAGGATCCTGGGTAGATATGTAGGCGCGAAAAAAGCAACAAAAGAGAGTGTCGAGAAAACGAAAGACATACATGGAGGAGCTGCACCGGAATCAAGGTCACTGAGATGAACGGGAAATCTGCAGAATAGCAGAAAGAAGAGCAAACGCTTTAAAAACGTGGAGCACTTCTACAATATCATAGACGTAGAGGAAGAGAGAAAAGAAGAAGATATAAAGAAGAGAGAAAATATAAACGAGAGATGGAGAGTGCACTTCGCAGAGGTGGCACCTACAAGCTACGTCTCGTACGTGTCACCTCTGCTCAGCCACTGTATCGAATACTCATCGACTACAATGGTGAGCGTAAGCGGACCAGTACCGGTTATCACGGAAGAAGAATTTTGAATCGCCCGATAAAACAAGAAGCAAGGCGAATTCAGACGACATCCCAAAAGGGCTCTGAAGGAATCGCGGACAGTCTGGAGTTACACAGCTTACACGACTGCTGAATCAGATAGTAATCCTTAAAGATGCCGAAAGACTGTTGCAGAGATACCGCGATACCGATAAGGCTGAGTAAAGGCGATAATGATAATTATTCTATATACCGGCCTAGACGACTTATGAGCCCCATGCTGAAGATATTCGAAAGGATACTAGAGCGCGGCTCCTAAACAAAGTAAAATTGGCATCCAATCGGTGTGAAATCGTGGTGGCTGCAGCACAACAGAAGCCATCCACACCACCAAAATAGTTATGTAGAGAATCAGGGAAAATCAATGTGAGCTGCATGTGGCGTTCCTCAGCCTGGAGAAGGCATTCGACAAGGTGACAAGCATGACAAATAGGGTGTCGCTACGAAAGCACACAGTGTGAGGAGATTATGTGCAATAGACGGAGGCGATCTACAAGAATACGACCAGTCACGTGCAGCAGCAGGAAGTTTAGAAGAATTCCAGATGAAAGCGTTGCTCATCAAGGACCTGTACCGTTTCCACTGCTCTCAATCACAATCATGGATGCGATAACCAGGAGTGGTAGTAATTTCGTCGAAACCATCATGTTAACTGTGTTTTCATGGCACCAGCTAACCAGCAGCTTCACATCATTTTCCCAACGAAACCACGAATTAACCAATAGGAAACCTCGTGCTATCTTGCAAAGCAAAGTCATTGGAGAAGATCGAAACTCCAACCATTCTCATGCTTGTCGGCAATCATTGCACTTTACCAATTTGCAGTTCGGTCTCCAGCCTTGCACCTTCCTACAACCTTATCTAAGCTGTAAACAAGTAAGCTTTCTTATAGTAAGTTGCAGAATGATCTCCCTCACTCTTCTTAACTTGCAAAACCAACACATCATTGTTTGAAGCGAGAAAGTGGTCGGGGGTACTTTTTCATTTTAAACTATGATGTGGTGGTTTCACGTCTGCGTCTCATGAAATGAAGTGCTGTTTTCATTACTCTATCTGATAAGGGAACAATAATGTTAACTTGCTGATCGATTCATAGTTTGGTTTAGAATGAAACAAGCATGAAACAAGTATGGTTTTTCGAAAGTAACTCGCATGTTTCATATTTTGTATGACCGATTGAACTGAACGGCCATAAGAAGATGATCATGCTTACCACGATGTAATCATGATTAAACTATTACATCATTCGTTGGTTTCGACCATATTACTACCACTCCAGAAGATTCATATGTCAACCACCATGAGTTTTCATATACTTAAAGGCAGTGGATCGGCAAAATCAACAACTCGGGATTTTAACGCGGTAGGTTCCTTATCGCCCAGCTATGTAAACAGCGCAATCCCGGTTGCACAGCATGCTTTCCCTGCCGAGAAAATCGCTCTCGAACTTACACGCGTAGGCCAATCTTACACGCATCTGAACGAGTTAGCAATTTCCTTCTCACCATTGGAGGCTGCCCGCCGCAACGCCATAACCATTAGGTCCCACGATTTAGCGTCATCGGCCTTGCTCCATTCGTCCAATATCAAAGGGAAGGGCATTAAAAAACGCTCATTTTCGTCGTTTTCAAACTTTCGGGATCAGTGTATTGAAAAACCCCGGGTAAGCGCAAATTTGACTAGGTTGAGATTTGCCGAGCCACTGCCTTTAATACATACGCTAGAAGATGATGTGCAGAAGTGGAGCACTCGATTGGAGCAGGCGGCTTTACAATCACACAGTAAAGACGGAGTACATGGAGCTTGGAGCCCAGTCTTTTGGAACCATCAGAATAGGGAACTCGATGATCAAAGAAGAATATTACGTTCTATCTAGGACGTCACATCGCCGCAGATGGGAGGCCTTACGAAGAGATGCTCAGTAAGATCAGCGCAGCTCGGTCGAGGCTCAAAGGACACATGCTCCACAAGAATGCCTTAAAAGCTCAAGTTCCAGATATGCGCAATACCATGCTGTCTATGAAAGTGAATGCCGCGTACCGCAAAGTTGAGCGAAAACTCGATGTAGTGGAGACGAGAATGCTGCAATGGGCCATTGGAGTTACCATGCCAAATTATGCCTCGAACGACAGCATACGAAGTACGTAAAGGCTGCTTCGATCGTCGAAGCTACGAGAGAAGCGCCTACGAAGGTATGGACATAAGGAGAGAAGAAACCCAAATGACAGATTCGCCATGTCACCAATTGTTCGCGGATAGAAACCAAGAGGTAGACCTAGTCTGAGATGGATGGACAAGGTCAAGTCAGATTTAAGAGAGCTTGGATTGGATGAGAACCAAACATTGAACCGAGAAGAATGGAAGAGATTCACAAGAGTAGCAGACCCCGTGTGAAGGATGCAAGGGAAAGCACAAGAAAAGTTATTTTTAGAAACAGCCGAAGAACGACGAAGTCTTAAAAAGTGCTAAGGAGACCTGTACGAATATCACATACAGCTCAGCACTGTGAAGACGGGACCACGAAACCCCCGACTTCTCCCGGTGAAAGACGGAATTTATTGCGACTACTTCTACACAACCTCCTCCGCCCATCAAAGGCCTTTGTTGAGGCAGCTTGTTCCCACTGAATGAGAACCACCACGGATGCTAAACGCGAGTGAGACGTGAAGAAATCTACAACTCCAGGAAATGATCATTCCCGTCGAAGTTCCGAAGGGACATGTGTTAATATCCGTAAAGCTGGCTGCACTATCAAAAGAAGACGGGAATCCGACTTTCCCGATATAAGAGAATCTATCGCAAAGAACTTTTACACCAACATCTTCCGCCCACCAATACCCATGCCAATGGCCGTTTTCCCACTGGAGAAGTATCATGAATTCTACCTGCTGAACTGCGCACAGCTAATCAGATCATGAAAACGTCCACGGCTCCAGGACCAGACCATCTTCCCATCGAACTTCTGCGAGCCGGAGGAAACGTCCAGGGATTTTCGCGTCGCACCTGACATCTTATCTTCAGAAGGAAAGGATTCCCGATCAGTGGGGAAAACGTCAAGGATCGTCCTTCCCTTTGAGAAGAATGAACGGGAGGACCTTTGGAACTACCGTCCAATATGTCTGCTTAGTGTGCCGTACAAGCTTTTCACGAAGATTGTCCTCGCTCGCATATCTAGGACACTGGATGAAGCCCAACCCGAAGAACATGGTGAATTTCGCAAGGGATTCAGCCGCATGGACCATATCCACACAGTTGCGAGGGTCATAGAACTCTGTCGGGAGAACCGACTGCCTCTCGTCCTAAATTTCAGCACCTATAAGGAAGCCTTCGACAGCGTCAAAATCAACGCCATCCTGTCAACGGTAGTCGACCGAGAAGTGAACACAGTTTATGTGAGAACATTAGTCGACTGCTACAAGGACCGTACAACGACGATGCGGCTATTCATCGCCCTCTGACCATTCCGACTTGGACGGGGGTTCGACAAGGCGACACTATTTCGCCGAAGCTGTTCACCGCAGCCTTGCAGTGGGTGATGAAGTCACTGGACTGGGACTAGAGAGGCATACGAGTTGATGGGAGATTCCTGTCCAACCTTCGTTTTGCGGACGACATCGTTCTCTTCTCGAGCAGTATCATTGAAGCAGAGGCGATGCTGAAGGAACTGAACGTAAAGAATCTTACTGAATCTTACTTCCTTGCTGGGGCCCGCATGCAAAGTGAAGACAAGCCATGTGAGTAAACATAGGCTATTGCCGGACAAAGGCGAAAACCTTAGGAGCGCGAACGCAGTCTCATTAGCTGCGGAGCGCATGAGGTGCAGAATTTGAAACAGTGAAGATTTGCGCGCGCCTCGCGCCAGCTCAACTAATACTGCTCTTGCGCCTTCGTCCGCAGTGGCCTAGACCCAATCAAATGAGTATAGTGTTTATCAATTGCCCCCGCTGTCGTTTGGGTGCTGCCCTAGTTATGGCTCGATGATCGGTTTTCATGCGAAAACCCTACTCACAAATTTACCTGGGGGCTGCTTTCATCATGAGCTGAGCGGAACTTTGTAAGGATTGGATTTTGATAACGCAGTCTCATTAGCTGCGGAGCGCATGAGGTGCAGAATTTGAAACAGTGAAGATTTGCGCGCGCCTCGCGCCAGCTGAACTAATACTGCTCTTGCGCCTTCGTCCGCAGTGGCCTAGACCCAATCAAATGAGTATAGTGTTTATCAATTGCCCCCGCTGTCGTTTGGGTGCTGCCCTAGTTACGGCTCGACGATCGGTTTTCATGCGAAAACCCTACTCACAAATTTACCTGGGGCTGCTTTCATCATGAGCTGAACAGAATTGGATTGGAGGATTGGATTTTGATTGCGTTTTGATTGTGCTGCTGGAAGAAAGGTTCCAGAACCAGTTTTGGGAGATCTTATTGTTTTAGATCAATTCAAATAGGAATGAGAATTTGGGACAATTGGAAGAAGAGGGTGATGATGAAGATTCGCTGTCGGTAAGGGATAATGCTCAAGTTCTGACCTGATAATTTTGTCCTCCTGATGCCCTCGAGCTTACCAAAATCTCTTCAGTTTTTGCACCTATATACGTAACCTTCAAAATTCTTTCTAGCTGGATCTCGATGATATAGTCCACGACGACCTTATTGGTGATTTACTCATTCGTCTATTAAGCTCACCACTAATCAGTGACCCGTATTGGTCCAAACCACCGACAAGCACGTAAGGGACTTGACATTTTCACTATTTCTTATCTTGAAGCTTCTGTTCAGGCTCAAAAATATTGAACCGCCAGCTTATCTTAATTTTCGCATCACCTATGAAGAGATTGTGCATTTATGTTCAATGGCAGCAAAATCGTTCCTCGAACAGCCGGCACTAATTCGGATTCAAAAGTAGGATACCCAGACGTACATTATACTAGGAAAATGTTTATTAATGACGTAAAGAGCGCTTTCTGAGGAATTCCCAACCTAAAACAGATATTTGGCGAACAAAAATGACAATCAACTTCGTTGAATGGGATAAAATAGATTTTTTTCCAGGGACGACTTACCTTTACACATCGTGGCTGATTTACACGGTAACATAGCTCAAGTGTTACGGGTGTTCAAGTACTGCGGCATACCTCAGAAAGATTCGTTCCTATTTTTGGGAGATTATGTAGACAGGGGTGTTCAGGTACCGTATAATGTTATTTTTAGCGTAAATTCAAGCCTTATTTCTCTTCAGGGGATCGAGGTCATAACACTGCTGTTTTGCTTAAAAATACGCTACCCCTACCAGGTAAGGAAAAGCGCCTTTGTTTTACAAAAATTACTAATCTCAGAATTTAGGTCTATCTTCTCCGAGGAAATCATGAAGATGCAAACACCACCCTAAACTATGGCTTTTTCGATGAATGCATCACTAGGTGGCCTTCCAATGGGAGAAACCCTAAAGGAGGAGAGAGAGTGCGCTGAATTCTCAAAATTTTGATCCGATTTTAATCTTATTAAGGTGTGGCGTCACTTCTTGGAAGCGTTCAATTGTATGCCAGTAGCCGCCATAATTGCTGGGAAGATTTACTGCGCACATGGTGGTATATCACCTTTCATTGAAAAGTTGGAGGATATAAATAAGGTGGGAAAAGCACGAAGTGACGTGACTGCCAGAACTAGAACTGAGTTTCGGACGCTTCCAGATAAAACGTCCTTCTGTTGTGCCTGCTTACGGTATCAGCTGCGACTTGTTGTGGTCGGATCCATCGCCCCAACGAGATGGTTGGGTGCTTAGCCATAGAGGTGTGCTTGAGAAGGATAATAATAAACATGGTCGAAGGAAGTACTATTTCCAGGAATTTCGTTTTTATTTGGCCCGAAAGCGGTGGAGGAATTTTGCCAAAAACATAACATCGAGTTGATATTGAGAGGACATCAAATTAATAATGAGGTGATTGAGAGTAGAATCTGTCTTAAATGCAGTGCCCCCTTTCGACTGCATAGCGGATTCGGTCTTATCAATCGAGCGCGAGGCCCTTTTGCTGCGTATGCAAAAGGGACACTACAGTCTGAACAGAATGTCGACCTGGAACTTGCTCTGTTGTGAAAATTGTTTTAATTTTCCGCTGGAAACAAGAGCCATCTTGAACTTTCTAGTTAACTTAATTCGTATGTTACAGATGTACAAAAGCGGTTATCGATTTCATTTCAATGGACGACTCGTTACTCTCTTTTCTGCTCCAAACTACATGAACTACAAGAATAACTCGTGTGTTATTACCGTCAATAAGCAGGCAAGTATCGCCACCTGCATGGTTATTTTAACCTTGATATGGACTACTCTCAGTGTGATTTGGCCGCACGCTAAAGTGCGCGCACGTCTACTATGAGCTACCGTCTTTGGGTCAGCCGCACCCCACAGATTTCTGCTTGTGCTAGCACTGTTGCGTACCGAATCGTTCGGTAGAGTATAGCCGCATACCGCTTAAAATAAAATAAACAAATAATGCAAATAATTGAAAATAATTTATTTTAGCTCGAATTGAAGTTCACTGTGTTCCGATGCCGGTACTATCAGATGGGCAAAAAGGCATGGATTCTTTCTTCTTTGCTTCTTCGATGGTGTTCCTCTAACGGAATAGTTAGTTGTTGTGCTCATCTGAGTCCCATAAGCACTACAACATCACGGGAGCTGTCAGCGGGATGTGCCAATGCCTATGAAAAAATCGATAATGTTTGCTTTAGAGCCAGGCATACTTCACGCGATTTCAGTCGCGACGCGATTTGGCAATATTCCAACTGTGCATAACTTGCTGTAAGCACATTCTAAATGTACAGAAGATAGAGCATTTTATCAATCCACGTAAGCTATACACACCATGCATGCGCAGTTTGCTAGCATTGTATCTGTAGACTTCTGGCGAATTGCCAACGCGCCGCGACTGAAATCGCGTGAAGTATGCCCGGCCCTTTTAGTAAACGTGTCTATTCACCTCGACTCATAGGCATCGGCGCAGCATCGTCGAAATGACATTTGCGTAACACATACAAATGACTGTTTCTCACAATTTTAGAAAAAAGCAGCTAAGGAAAAGAAAAAGCCTACGAACGGCAGTGGTAGCGTGGATGACGACGCTGATGTGTGTTTTGAAAAAAATTTTTTGGGAAGTTTTCCCGCAATTTCTATCATTTTCGTTGTTTAGGGCAGCCATTGCTCGTCTCCACAGCATTCATCGGCGGATGTCAGTTCAGGTGTCGAAAAGGTGCATTCAGTTAGGGCTAGGGAACGAACTCCGCTAGTTTAAACCGCCTCCGCAGACTGTTGGTCCTGAAACTACACGCAACAATATTGGTTAAGGGCCAGATGCCCACGAAGGCGGTCCAAACTGGAGGAGTTCGTTCTTCTACCCTTTAGTTGGTAGTTACCCTTGTTAAATGATAGTTTTTAAATTCAGTCAAAAAAGTACAAAGGCGAAGGCGGAGAAAGCGCTGCGCCAAACGCAATATCCCCGGATGTTCGGTTAGTCATCAGAATTTGACAATTTCAGTCCCTTGACGGCAGTGGCAGTTTACACTTTGGGCCTCCGCCGCGGCCTACTGGTCCTGGAACGACATGCAACAGCACCGCAAATTCTCAGACTCGCTGCAGCGACGCGCGCGCCATAATAGCGCTACAGTGCGAGCGGCGCGCCCTAATTGAAGCTGTCGTGCGAGCGGCGCGCCATAGTTGAGGCTGCAGTGCGAGCGGCTCGCCATCATTCGCAGCTGGCGAGCGGCGCGCCTTATTACGGCCGGCGGCGCACCTACTCACAATCAGACACTCCGTGCGGCGGCGCGCGCGCCCTAGTCGAGGCTGCGAGCGGCGCGCAACTTACCAGTGAGCGGCGTGCCACGATGTCTTCCGCATTCTCACATGCTATAAGCACAAGCTGTACCCGCGTGAAGTACGACGCAGTGTTTTGGGTGCTTCATCGCTAGTCCAACGAGGTTATCGCTGCTTCACAATAGAGTTGTCTTAGAGAAGTGGGGTTCTTCCACTGAGGTAAGTCTTCAAAAGCATTGCGAGTAGGTGCTGAGTTTGGATTTGAGTCTGGAAATCCAAATCCTTGAATTTTCAAATTCAGAGTTTGGGAATTTCAAGTTCATGTTTGAAAAATTTGAAACACAACTTTGAATTTTTGTCTGAAGCTGAAGGGTTGTCATTAGTCACTATTGCTGATTCACCGTGATTCACAGTGCTTCAAATGCGAGTGGCATTTTTTCATACCGTGCGAGCGGCGTGCCATTTGCGTGCGGTGCGCGTGTCAATTGCTCGCGGCGATCGTTCCAACTATTCACGGCGCGCGTTCCAATTACTCGCGGCACGCGCGTTATTTGACAGCCGCGGCGGGGGACGTGAGCCTCCGCACGCATAGGGTGGGTCGCCGCAGCGAGTTTTTGAGTTTAAGCACTTCTCCACGGGCGGTCCAAAAAGGCGGAGTCCTTTCCGTCACCCCTTGTTATAGTAATAAGAGTCTCGAAATGTCTGGATGTTGCTGAACTCTGCTTTCATTTGCTTATTTTCAAAATGAAGGTTCTTGGAAATTGCTCATTTGTCATTTTGCGCTCTTAATGGATATTCGAGAACAGCATAATGAATAACAAGGAAACACGGAAAAATTAAAATGGGGCGGGGTTTGCCTAGCCACGGGTAGGGGAACGAACTCCGCCAGTTTGAACCGCCTGCGCACTAGTGGTCCTGCGACGACATGCAACAATGCAAAAGGATCAGTTGCCGGCGAAGGCGGGATTAGGCTGGCGGAGTTCGCTCCCTTACCCCCTAGCCACTGCTTCAATTCACCCAAATCTGAGACGAATATTCTTAGAACAGGTAGAAAAGTACATAATTTAGTTATACGGAAAAAGAAACGTCATACAAATCGATGAAGGCGTCCAAATTTCCTAGTAAAAGCCAATCCGTAAGCTACATGCTATTTGTCACCTTCAGTGATACTTTATTTTTAAGCGCCGTAATGAATTCGTCCAATGGGCTAAAATGAGGGACAAGGTAAAAGAAATTTTTTTCCAGTGGAAAAGGATAATCAAACGAAAGTATCCTTTTAGCGTACTCCAAGATTGTCACCGCTACGAAACCCTGCGGAGAAGTGAGTTTGTCATTCATAATATTTGAATTTAACATCATTAAAATGGATTCAATTTCAGAACGAAACATTAGATTACCGTGCTCGCTGCTAATGGACAACATTGATAAAAAATGTCAGATTTTTTTTTACTAAATACTACCAATAAAATATTTAAGGCTCTTACAAGTACATATCACAGAAACTCATATCAAATTATAAAAACCCTAGAATCTACACAGTCAAAAAACACTTTTTATAAGAAATCAAACAAATGCTCATTGTTCATATGTCCAATTCCAGGGAAGCACAGTGTCTGTCTTCATGAGTATGCTGTTTATAGTCACCCGCTGCCTACGATATCGCTTCAACCGCGCCGTAACCGCACGCATTTGAGGGCATATCGTCTGTGTCGCCTTTCCTCTTGTCTCTTCAGTAAAGGTTACATTCCATGAGTATAGTTCACAGCTTTCCAATACAACGGTGAAAACTCGATGAGCTACTATTGAGAGGGTCAGATTATTATTATGATTAGAGTATGAGTAATGGGTCTGCATAAGATGAACCCTCTACTTGAAGGAAATCATTATTTTGAATATTTGACCAACAGATGATATCAACTTTCAAATATTGCTCGGAATCTAATAATTTCACGACTTGATCATGTAGAAGCTTTTCGAGCAAAATCTTGCGTAAACCGCAAAGCAAAAGCCATCATTGTTCGAAAAATCATTTTTTCCCGAACAAATCACTTTTTATGCTTGCGCTTTGTCTCGCCATTGTTTTCATTATTCTCATTTCATATAGCATTCCAAGCTTTCCATGTGTTCTCACTGAAGGCTCATTAGCCTTCGATTATTGTTGCTTCTTTGAGTGTTTGTGTACTTGCTATAAATAATGAACAGGTGGTTGTTAGTGAGGATGAACCATCAAGATCGAATTGAAGCCACCTATGTTGCGTTCCTACTAATTAAACTAGCGTCCTCGAACTCATGTGGTGTAGTTTTTAGGATACGAAAATAATTGTTGTAACTGGTGACTGTTACACATGTAATCGTACCAAGCGATTACAATCGGATATGTCGGAAAACTTGAGTAAAAGTTGAAAAAAACGCTGCATCCTTTTTCTGGCAAATTGACTGTCATGTGGTAGCTTTATAATAAAACTCTTTAGGACGAATCTATCAAGGCCGCAAAACCCGTGGAACCCCACTTCTAACTCCAAAAAACTAGTGGTGCAACATTTATCAATTCTTAGAACTTAGATCATATCAATTTCTGCCATCTCGTGCAATTTTTCTTCACTTCTCCAAGGTTACGATCTACCACAAAGTCTCGAGGTCCGAAATGTCACAAATATTTTGGAGATGATTGTGCAAATGTTTGCCTAAGGAACTGCTACATGTAGTTGCAGCTAAAAGAAATGACATTTATGACTAACTTTGGCTTCACTACGGTAAGGTTATGGTAGTCGCATGGCAAGTGCTCAAAACCAAAAAGTCTCGTAAATCGTACTCTAATCTTCTCCTACGGGCAGTTTCGAAAGAACAAGCAGTTTGTCTACCACGGTTTTACAATAGGGTTACTTTGGTCATTAGGTATGATTTTGAAAAATGAAATAAATTAATTGGAATTTTGATTGGAGGTCTCCAAAATTATCATATTTGTGAAACGCTGAAAAGAACGCTCTCAGAAAATCTCAGCTTCCCGGGGAAAAACGCAAAAGAATGATAAATTAATAAGATTGCTACGATGAATATATCCATAGTTTTCCTAATGCGCTTTTACTAGTCCGGCATGTACAAAATATAATATTGCAAATTTTCAAGCGATCGAATTAGTATATGAAGCATGCCCTTACTTTGCTTGTCTTTGCTGTAACATACTTTTTGTAATATACTCTTTCTAGACTATATGCCTTTCACTCCGCTAACATTCTGTAAGCTATCTCTCTTTCCATTTTTGAAGCTTCCTTGGGAACTACTGATGAGGGGCACCAAGGAAGCTGCACTACCGGTATAGTTCTTAGCCCCGAAACCGGTTAGTGTAAAAAACAAATGCAAAAATTATCGTGAAATTTTGTATCTTGACAATCTTATATATAAAGCTGAATGTCTGTTTGTCTGTCTGTCTGTATGTCTGTATGTCTGTCTGTCTGTCTGTCTGTACGTATGTTCCGAATAGAAAATTCCATTTCTGAACCGAACCGGACCAAACTTGGCACACATACACTACGGGCCCCGGCGGGTGTCATAGGCTACTTTTCGTCATCGATCGATATCGATTTTATCGATTTTTTGCAAAATTTGAGCTACGGGGCTGGGAGTTGGCACAGGGGGGTAATCGAGCATGCTGATCACCCCCGTGGGGGTGATCAGCATGTTCGATTACACCCCTCTGCCAAATTCCAGCCCCCTAGCTCAAATTTTGCAAAAAATTGATAAAATCTACATCGATTGATAACGAAAAGTGGACTGTGACACCCGCCGGGGCCCGAAGTGTATGTGTGCCAAGTTTGGTTCGGGTCGGTTAAGAAATGGAATTTTCTATTCGAAACATACGGCGGAGCCGGGTAAGCCAGCTAGTTACATTATAATTCTCAATTCTTACTTCACATTTGTTTCATTATACAGTCTGCCCCAATCCTAACCAGGCCAAAATTGGCTTGGCGGGAGTGCGCGTCGCGAGGGTTTCGCGCCACTTCTGTGTCTAGCAGTCTGCTCTCTCCTCAATCTCTTCGCTCTCTGCGACAGCGCGCGTATGCAGCGCAAACCCCTAGCGCTGCGAGCGAGCAAATTCAGCCGACGGTTCGGCCTGGTCCCGATTGGGGCAGACTGTATCTAACGTTTTACGACATCTACATATGTAATGGACAACTCCGACAGAAACTTTTTCTGCGTTTCTACATGTATGTAAGATTGCGAAATTTTATTGCAAGCTGAAGCCTGGCGAGAAGTGTGACCCACCGGTGGATCATATGACATTTTCATCATACTACAGAAGAAGTGATTGATGCACTTTGCTAAGGTGCGGTCGTAGTTGCAATAAATTCAACGTTTTCGATCCCTCCTATCGCTTGCTGAGTTCTAATTGTTAGCAGCAGGAATCCTAAAAACTTCTCTGAAACGAAAAGAATTGCACTTTTGCCCATCACTTGTGTCATGTGAGTGTGTGCTAATGGCTATAAATGTGATTCAAGCGAAAAAGCCGTCATGTGAAAATAAGCAGAAAATGTGCGTGTGTTGGCGATGAAACGAAAAAACATGCTAAATGGTTTCATTTATCGAACAAATCGTTCGTACTTGCACAAATGTTAGGTTTTTGAGTGAATGTTGTCTGTACGATAAGAGAAGTGTCTCCTGCAAAGATGACACAATCTTTTTGCAGTAGGAGACGCGTTTCAGAAAAAAAATGTAAAACCACCCTAGATTGTTAAAAAAAGAAGCTCGTGCACTGTGTAAACTTCTGATAAAACATGCTTGTGAAGCATCTGAGCAACATAAGAACCTTCCTCCCGATTTTCACACGATCACAAGATTTCAAGAGATCGTTTGGCATAAACTCTACTCACAGAATCCTGAGTTTTGCGAAAACATACCCAACAAAATTTTTATCACGTAAAAGCTATGAGAGTCATTGGAAGACAACGATTTTTACCAACATTTTGTTGCTCACAAAAACTGCCAAAGTCAACATCTGCAGTGAACAAGCTTGAGACTATGGAGGTGAAAGAGCACTCCAAAACGAAATTCTATGAATTCTATAATTTTTGCAAAACTCAGAATTCTACGAACTGGTTTTTTGGCGTAAAATTTCAGCAATCTGAAGTTGAAACAGAAAAAATGGGCAATGACAAAGTTGGACAGATTGTGACCAAAGAACGCAAACTAGGAAATAGATAATTTATTTTCATTCTCAACATTGATGCAGATTCTACAAAGAAAATTTCTGCTTACAATTGGTTATTTATTTAACGCTATCGCTGAACAATGATTTTGCGTCACACGAAATCGCAAATGATTTATGGTCTTTCGGGGGGAGCTTTAAAAAAATTCCTTTTGATAACCAGCCTCTTACATCGAGCGAAAGTGATTTTGCTTCAAAATAATATTAGGTTGTCTCATAATTAATGCACGTTTTTATTTGCTTGCTTAAACAAAGCGACCAACTCAACCCAACAAAGGGTAAGGGGTACTGTTCGATAAAGCAAAGCAAGCTCTACAAGATGACACTCATGTCTTTGCGCCACGCTCGATCCACGGAGAGTTCGAACTCAAAATCTAAAGATTTCCAAATGCTCAAAAAATCGAAAAAAATCAGATCTTCGTCCAAATAATTTCCACGGACCTTCCACTCGCTCACATCAATACTATCGATATCTGATATCCATATGTGCGATCGCCGTATTTTTTCCTTGACTAGAAACTGAGACTACGAAAATTTCCCTGATTTTCTCAGAGCAATGCTGAGCCGTTTTTGCATATGTAGTTCTATACTAGAAGCCTAGGTAAGCATAACTGTAGGTTTTCAGCCTATTTCGAGCGGTACTTTTCGAGAAATGTCGATTTTAGCACTGAAACTGAAACGAAAAAATCCTAAATCGTTATTTTTAAAAACTACCGCTTGGAATGGGCTGAAAATCTACAGTTATGCTTATCTAGGCTTGTAGTATAGAACTAAATATGCAAAAACGGCTCAGCATTGCTTTGAGAAAATCAGGGAAATTTTCGTTTTCTCAATTTCTAGTCAAGGAAAAAATACGGCGATCGCACATATGGATATCAGATATCGATAGTATTGATGTGAGCGAGTGGAAGGTCCGTGGAAATTATTTGGACGAAGATCTGATTTTTTCGATTTTTTGGGCATTTGGAAATCTTTAGATTTTGAGTTCGAACTCTCAGTAAATCGAGCATGGCGCAAAGACATGAGTGCCATCTTGTAGAGCTTGCTTTGCTCTATCGAACAGTACCCCTTATCCTTTGTTGGGTTGAGTCTGGTCGCTTTGTTAAAGCAAGCAAATAAAAACGTGCATTAATTATGAGACAATCCTAATAGATTGAAAATCTATGCTTACGCATTTGTATTTTGTCCGCTGAAATTTTTGATTCATTTCTGCCCCC